ACAAAGACGGATGTTTCTTCGAGTATAGCTTCGACTGCTAGAAGTCGATTTTAGCAAATTCTTGTGGAAAAAAATCAGCGATTATTGTATCTAGGATAGAGAGAAAGTTTATCAAAAATTACATCGCAGCCCGTTGGCTGAATTACGTGATTATTTGCAATAATATGATATAAAATAATGTGAAAGTAGTATTAAATTACATCAATCCTGTAATGATAACATTTAAAAAGACTTGGAGTAAAAATTATTTCCATATACAGTTTTTGCATAAAATTCAAGATCAAAAATGATTTAAAAACATTCTACATTCTTCTGAAATACATTAGGCACCATTTACTAGACAGACCATTGAAATCATAAAAGAGTTCTTTGTCCCGTTTGCATGGAGGCGTGGCAATTTGTAGGAGCGACTACTTCTCAGATTGAAGAGCTTATGATTAACGTCTAACTCTATACGATGTACAGATTAGGTTCATAACAAACTATGGAGCACTAACGCCCCCATCTGTTAGCAAAGCTATTAAAAACTATCAGTAATAACAAATTAGACATTAGGGCGAGCAATATAAAGAGAAGATAAGGATTAGCTTTCGAAATGACCAGAAGTTCTGGTCCATTCATGAATGATTTTGAGATAATTGCCCTCGCTTAACTGCAAACCATTCAGAGGCACAGACGCGAAACAAAAAGAATATTAAGAATAATCACAATCAAAGATCGTAGTTGATTGTTTTTCAGGATAAATTACTAGTTTAGGCTGATTGAGAGAGAAATTTTTCAGTTTCCTCTAAAGATTGCGGCAAGGAAAGCTACCTTAATTGTTATATGTTGCTTTCTTTTTCAGATATAGTATACCCTGTATAAAATGAAAACGTGTCTCTGGAGAGAACTCTGGAGATGATTTTACAGCAGGGACATTTTGGCAAGTTAGGGATAGGAAAATAATGAAATCAATCAAGCAATTAGAAACCTCGGTCGCCGGAAAAGACCAGAGAGGGGAAATTTATGCACGGAGCATAAGTTTTGGTCCCCCTTGACTGAACCTGAAACGTTTTATCGCATCCTTACGTAAACAAGACCCAAAATAGAAACAACTCAGCCACACCGACTATTTCCAATACATCCAGTAAAAACCAGGACGACTGTTTCTTTCAGTTGTGTTATAAAAGGCTAGTTTAAGTGAATTTCGCGAAACATAGACGAGTATTGCACCTACCCAATGTTACTTTCATGTTATCACCGCTTCAAGGCTCAACGAGGTCTCTAGAATAACTTATCAGCAATTTATCAACTTTAATCGGTCACCGCTGGTTTCGTGGCTTTTTAGAGGTCAATTTAATCAACATCGGGTGGCATAAAAAGCGGTGCACACACCATACTTTACCATAAATCGCACAGTGTTCCTCCAAGTAAAAATTGCAAGATTGAATCATCGACCTGAAGTAAGTCAGAGCTTTCTCGTTTGTTAAATTCCTGTGCTTGTCTCTAAGCTGATAATGGCTTACCCGCTTACCTTCTGCATGTCTCCAAATTCTTAATGGGGCTCTGTATCCTTTTTCAAGTAAGATGACAAATGATTTTAAAACTTTTTTGAAGCGTTTAACCGATACTTGACGAATTAACAGTTAGAACCGACGTAACTGGTTTTAATTTCATCAACCCTTGCTGATTTTCCCATCTTTAAAGCTGATTTGACCACCAACTCATATTTAAACAACAATTACTTCTTAATGGCAAATTGTTTATTTCCTCTTCCATTTCAAACTGAACTGAGAACAGCAGAGAGATAGCCAGACACACTCCGTTGTCTGAAAAAGTTTAAGAGTTTACAGGATGATTTGGTGGGACTGGTGCATTTCGCATCATTAGTGATCAAAACTGTCCTTATCCAAAATAGAAGACATCACTGAAAATGGAATTTAGTACAAAGAGCAGGGCCCCGGCGAATTTGTTAATTTTATTTTAATAGACGCTTATGTAGAGAAGAAAATTTCCTAGATAAAAAAAAAACTTTATAACAATGCTTTTCTAAGTAAGAAAAATTAAAGCAAAGAAGAAAAAATAACCCAAGAAATACGAGTATGTTTAGGTGTGGCGTTAAACGGACTTTAAAACTTTTCAACAAACGATTTAAAATAATTTCAACAACAGTATTCAGCTCTTTTGGTGGCCTGTGGACCAGAATTTGAACAATTTGTGAGTTGTTTTGAAACAAGAAGCTTGACATCGATATATTTCGATACTGGTTAAGGGGAGAAGGGTTTGATAATTAGTCACTAATTGCGTACCTTAAATTCTGAATCGTCGTAGCGCCCTTAGGCTCAGTTTAATCGCAATCGACAAAATCGAAGACAGTTCATTTCTATCGACGAGTGACATTACACTGATGTCTATATTATTTTTATGTTTGGATCACTCCAGGAAAATGAAGTACCTCGCTTTGTTGCTGATGGTTTTGTGTCTGGCGAAGGCATTCATTATCGAGAGCGAAGAAGACCCCGAGCTGGAAATAGAGGTGCACTTTTCATGAAATCTATTGATATCTCTTTGAGAGGGCTTCTATATTAACGTTTGTCTAACCTACAGAGTAAATAGACTTACTCTCAGTCAAATTATTTTTTCAAGGAACCTGTCGCCACCATGAACGATGAACCTAATCCTGCGATACAAAACGAGGGAGAAAACGGTAAGTTTGTAAGTACAGTTTATCCTTTGAAATTTTCGGGAGGGAGAAGAATTCGAAGCGATAGCTAAATAGTCACTCACTAAACTCCCAGTTGCATGATGGTTATGCATGACCAGGGTAAGCCAAACATTGTTGCGGAGACGACTGACAGCTTTCTGTTGACACTTGAACGCGCAAACAAAACTTCGCAGTAATGCGGCTTTCTTTACGAGTAAATCTCCCTGTCCTTCCGACCATAGAGGAAAGTCATTTTTTAAGAGAAATAATATTCAGTTTATTAGCCTCTTGACTCATGTGGAAACTTAATCTTACTTTTCATTTTCCAGAAAAGCCTGTGAAACGACACTTTAACGGATACGGCCGCTATGGTGGTTACCGCTATGGTTCCCGCTATAGGTACCGCTCTCGTCATGGCAAAAAGTGAACAGTTTCCGGTTCACTTTCCGGTTCAACTCCAACATGAAATTGTTTTTAATTCAGTAACCGTATCTTAAACGTCAGTCTTTTGTAAAAACGCGATGAAAGGATCCATTCAATCATTATAAAGGAAACATGTGGAGATAAAATTACCCAATAAAAGCATTTTTAATGTTTCTTTGTTCCATTGGTGTTTTGCAGTCCAAACAATATTACCGATCCAGGCGAAAGACTGAAGAGACTCGGGCTGGAAACTTTTTTAGGACCTTTAGTGTGCTCCAGTTTCAATAAGAGCCGTTTTACTAGCCATCGTTTATTTCTCCCATCACGCAATCGGTATTTCATTAACATTTGTACACGGCATCTTTCATTTCTACACTCCGTCGGCAGCCACTTATTAAAGCGAAAGCATTTCAGCTCCAAAAAACGTATCCTCTTTAGTCATTTTGGTGTTTTTTATTCATTAATTCTCCAGAAATTTTAAAATCCTACTTTCAGTTACCAACTGGACTGAATAATCCCTTTGATGTACGTCATGTTTGCTTGTATTTAGCGGAGCCCTCCTTTGTCTCTTATGCGGTCACCCGGTATAAGCCCTTTACACCCTTAACATCAGTATCCATATTCTCCATACTATTCACTATACATTTCCCAAGGTGCTGATAAAGAGAATTTGTTTAATAATCAAGAGCTGCTTTAATTGGTGATCATTTCTTATATTCTCATGAGCTTAATGTTCGATTCAAGAGTGATATTGTAAGGAGAAATCAGACGCTGGTCACTCCTAGGGGCTTTAAAAAGGGCTAAGCGGTCGGTTGTGTAATTTTAAGAGGAGATCTCTATTTTAATCGATTAACCCTTTAGCTCCCTGATCAAATTTGTAATTCTCCATACTGTCAACCATACAATTCTTATAATGTTAATGCAGAGAATTTAGAATTGGATCGACTAATTATCTCCCAAATTGATATTCTCATCACTTATCTGGTTGATATTGTAGGGAGAAATTCTGTCTTGGTCACTCATGGGAGTTACAGGGTTAAAAGCGGTCGTGGTTACCCTTAACTGAGTCGCAACAGCCTGTTTGAATTGTCTTTCGCATGTATTAAACAGTCCGTTAAAGCGAAATCGTTGTAATAAAAGTAAGGATAATCTCTCAAGTAAAAGCAATTCCGTGTTTATCTCCCGAAAACAATGTTAGTACTGTTAGTACTTGATTGTCCTAAACGCATTGCAACCGAGAGAGTATATTTCTTCTTGTAGCAGTTAGCCCTCGCAATTCTTTTGCTGGCTGATAGTCGTTAATGACCTAGAGGTCCAACTATTTTATAGTAATAATATACCGTCTACAGTAATCCTGCTTTTGCCCTGGTGCGCAACCACTTTGTTGATGTTGTTTGCTAACGGAGGTTCGATGCATTTTTGAATGAGTTTTTAAATCAAATGTACATTTAGAGATCAGTTGTGACATGAAAGGGCGTTTTTTATCGCGTCTCAATTATATTCCGCGGAACCTGTAGTTAGGTTGCGGTCACCCAGCGACCGCTAAAGTACTGTTGTGACTCAGTCACGTGGGAGGAAATGAGAGGAACCTGAGAACGAAGTTGGTTTTCAAAGTTGTCACGCAACGTCGCACAGATTCCTCACGCTTGACTTTAATTTTAAAATTTTTACACAATCTTATACAGAGAATTCCGAGAGCGTGTGCCCAAATTTACAGTTGCCATAATCTCGCGGTAATCTGCTGAAAATTGCCAACTGTAGCGACCTTTATGAGTAAAACTCAATCTCACTCGATCCTCGATCTGAATGAGACAACGATCGACTGGGCTCTAAGTTTATTGTTCTTACGATCGTATTAAAAAAGTCATTGACTTTTCCGAACACACAGGTAAAAATGCACAAAGCGAATGCTCTGATTTATGTCCTTTCTTTAATATCCTTCGTTTGCTTGGATGAAGTACCCGTAGGACATTTAAAGCCTTTCGGTCAGCATAGAAAGCCCGATGTTGTTACACAAGAAATCAGTGCAGTTCCGCACCCAGCAGAGTTTTGGGAAACTTATGTGTCTAAACATAAACCGGTGGTTTTTAGGGGAGCCGCAATAAATTCCAGGTAAAAAGATTAATCAGTTTCTCTGTGATAACCAAGTTAAACACGCATGAATTTGTAGAATTATTATCTTTTACTTTAATCGCGAGTGATCGGCGAGTTTTTGTTTGCGGGACTCCATAGTTATTTGTTTTCAATTTCAACTTCAGTGGAAACAAAACTTTTCGAAGAATTGAAGTTGCTGTAACACAGAAAATAAGAACGGAAAACATGCCTTGTATAAGAGAGCAATTGGTAAGGGAAGAATAACTGAGAGAAAATTCAGATTTTTTGACTGCCTAAGCCGACAAAAAAAAGAAAAATAAGATGAGTTTCAATACTTTTCATTTTAAGTATTAGGACTGACTCAACTTGTTTCAGGATACATACATGTCTGAAATTTCAGACTGTCCTTTATACTTAGAAAATATAATGGATGGAAGAGGACTTTCTTCCATTGTACGCATGGATGATATGTTGCAAAGGGAACTAAAGTTATACAAAACCTGGGGAACAGGTGTATTCTGAAACTATTTTCAGATGAAAACAGTAGTATTTATCCATACTAATAGATAGGGGTGTTAATCAGTTCAGCAGCTGTTTTATTTATCCAAGTATAATGATTACATTACAATTTCTTGATTACTGAGTTTGCATTTGAAAACAGACTATCCCTTTCCATAAGGAGGGTAAGGAGACTTCAAAACACAAATCTCTAACCAGTTTGAGGTCTTTAAAAAATCTTGGAAGTGGCATGGCCAGAAATATTTAGTTCAAGTATATAGTTTGCTTTGTTTTCTTTTCATCATAAGGGCATATGAATTATGGACAGAAGAATTTTTGATCTCCGAGTATGGAGATCTCACTGTACGTCTTGAAGCACGTGCTGAAGCAAATGATCGTTTACCAGTTGGGGAAGCAGATATTCTTGGCAGAGACACGATAAAGCATTTCATACAGAATTATCAGACCATGGATGCATATGTGATCTCACAGATTCCACAACCGATGGAAAGAGACATAGGAATACCTCCATGCTTAAGGTTAAACCTATAAATTATATAAATATATATATATGATTGTATACCTTGAGGGCTCCAATAAATTAATTAAAAAGCCTGTTAATTCATACTAAACAATCAACCTCAAAGGTCCTTTTCTTATAATTCTACCCCAATAGCTTTATAGCATGCTGCACTTGAAATCAGGAGTTCTCAGGCCAGTATTGTCTTCTTGTGCAAGACAGTGCACATACTCCAAGAGTACCCTGAAGCATCATGATGGATACAAAAGGAACTGTTAATGAACCCTAAAATAAAGTTGTATCCCATCTAGGAAAACAGAAGTACCCCTTAGCAGAGAAGTTAAGCCCTGGTGATATAAATCACTTGGTTCAGGAGCATATAACTCGCTACCACTCTTGCAAGGTTCAAAGATATCTGCATTTCAAGTCATTGTGGAAATCATTTTCAGAACCTCTATGGTGTCATTAATAATAAAAGTAATTTTTAAGGGATTTCAGGGCTGTTTGAAACATAGGTTGTTATGAAAATGGTATGATACATGTAGGACTCTAAACTCATGGAAAACCTTTTAAAAAACACTTGAAAAAACCCAAAAAATTAAAGCTACAGTTACCCTATGTCAGACTCTGACCAAAATTCTGTTTCCTAAACTTTCCTTCTTATACTTATAACAGATGTAACCTTTCCAGTGTGCAGAATACTTTTTGTGTTGGAAAACTATAAACTCCCAAACTTTGACTGTAATTAAAAAAAACTCAAGTTCTAAATTGCTCTTTAAAAAATTTACACTTTTCAGATGTGGTTCCTTTTCTGAGGCTATTCAAGAGGTCCACTTATTTCTCAGTGCTCGTGGCGGCAAAACAAAATTACATCAGGATCCCTTCAGCAATATACATTGTATTTTTAATGGCACCAAAGACTGGCTTCTTGTTCATCCAGATCAAACAGATCTTGTTTACATGTCTGATGATTCCAAATATGAATGGGGAGGATATTCAGAGATAGACATTGACTCTGTCGACCTAGACGAGTTTCCAAAGATCAAAGATGTACATTACTCCAAAGTCAGAATGAACAAGGGTGACTGTATCTTCATGCCTGGAGGTAAGCATTGGTGTTCACCAAATTTCATCTGCAAGAGTTGATATCCTTTAATTTAAGATAAATTTTAAAAGAAAATTTAAGACAACTCTTTAATGAAGTGCTGAACAGCACATGTAAATATTAGGTAGGATTTCACATGGTTTATGACTATCATTTGATTATAATCTGAATGTGATAATGAGACATTTTGCACTGAGACAGTGTAGATTGAGTAAAATCTAGATGATTATCAGATTAAACAAAGATGTTACAGTACCCCTCAAAGGTAAGTTGACAGTCTCAACTTGATACTCAATCCTTGATACTCGAAACTATTGGGAATTGAGAATGGAGGCTCAAGTATTGAGTATCGCACATCGAGGTTTGAGGGACTGTCAACTTACTTTTGAGTGGTACTGTCTATAGTTTTGGCGATGTTTTTTAATTTCAGAAATTTATAGTTAGTCTACAGTGGACAAAATGTAAATGCTTTGGTAATGGTATACATTTATCATTTGTTACCTTTGCTGCTCAGGCTACTGGCACCAAGTGCGTTCCTGGGGCTACATGAACTCTGCAGTATCTATTTGGTTCTCGCAGTTAAAACAGTTCACAGAGAAAGACTGTGATAAAGTGAACATTTCCTTTACACCTATGAATGAAGTGAGGGTGTTATGGCAGTACTCTGGGTATGGGGATCTTAGTCAAGGCCATATGGACATCTACATTTTGAAACGCTTTCTGCTAACCTTAGCTGATAACGAGGGAAGGATTTGGCTTAAAGATTTTGTACAAAAATACTTTCAAAGTGAAAGTAGAAGGAGAGATGTAATGAGGAAAGATGAACAGGAGAGAGTAATAAAGGTCAGGAAACAGATTCCCATTACTAGTGCAATGCCACTTAAATTTTAGCCAAGAAATTAATGTCTCCGTAGTTTGAGCTAGATGGGCATGCAAACTTATTATTTTACACACTAAGATATGCAATTTTTTTAAAAATTTATCCTACCCTTTCTTTACAGTAAGTGAGATTGTATCATACTTTTCATTCCTTTCAAGTTAACATTTGTGATAAAATACTTCTTGGATTTCCGAGGCTTTAATGAATTTTAGGCAAAAGTTTTTTCATACCTTATCTTTAAATTCTTTTCTTGGAAATTAATTCACAAACATTTGCAATCTGGTGATGTGTCCACAGCAATGGAAATGTTGAGTGCCAAAAGCACTAGAGTAGGGTTGTTTGAGTTGCTGACTTCTTCAACCTTTGCAGGTGAAGTAAATTATGATAAATGGACCACTAGTTAAAAGTAAAGCCTGCCCTGTACTTAATTTTTCCATCTCTTCCTTTTCAGTTGGTGGAATACCTTGACCCTGATCACAAAGGTTTTGTAACTCGTGGATATATAGAGAATCTGACTATTGATCAGTTAAAAGAGCTCTTGTTATTTATTGATCCAAATGATGTTTCCAACACTGAAGAGTTTGAGTATAGCCACATTGATGCTCCCTACATTAAGTGAGTTTTGATTGATGGGTTTGTATTTGTCAATCCCTGTATTTTTATTTAGTTGTTATCAAATAATGTTATTCTACATCATGTTAAAACATTTTCAACTATTTAACAATTGGTAATATTAAATAGGTTCCTTACAGATACTCAGCTCAAGAAACAGAGGGAAAATTCACAAATTTTGCATGACCCAGTCTAGTGCATTCTTTTTTCACAGGGCTTTGCTGACAGAGTGCCATGATAAGAGAGGAATCTTTGACAAAGAAAAGTTTATTTCAAGCTATGTACAGGTAAGAATTCAAAGTTGCATTTTAAAAATTTGCTTGGAATATAGGTCAGTTGATATGTTTGACAGCTTTACCATTTAAAATTGAAATGAAATGTTGCAAGAATGTGGCTTAATAGGTACAAATACACGTTATTTTTTTTAATATTGGAAGCACACTTAAACACTTCACTCTCTCCTCAAAATAGGCTCAGATAAACCATGCTGGCATATATAATTTTGGGCACAATGCTATGATCAGAGCATTGAACATAACACTGGCATAATAACTGAAATATTTGACCATAAATACATTTCTAGTACTTTAATTTATAATGAAGTTTTTGGGGTTATTTTCAGTATATAATTTTGTTTCAAATGCCATATCTGTGTAGCTTGTTAATTAAGTTCTTAAAGAAAACATAATGCAAAATCATGAGCATGATACTAAGTATGTTTTCTGGGTGACACTAAAAAAGTTAATGATTGAATTTGTGAGCATAATATATCTACCCTACCACAAAACCAAAAGATAAACTTGCACTAAATAGTAGCTTTACAAGATTAAAAAGCCCATCTAGAAGAAAGATGACAAGTTTATTGTTTACATGCAAGGCACAGAGCATGTTCAACTTGGAGCTACCAAGAAACAGGTCCTGAGTTGGCAGTCAGAGCAATACTCTAATTTGCAACCTCTGCATTGCAAGAGCAAGTTGCTGACTGCTCAGCCATGCTGCCTTCTTTTGAAACAGAATTGAAACCCTTACTAAAGTGTGTCACAGTCTTTTGTCTTTATTCTTATTTCCTTGTGTTTTTAAAGGGTCTTGGAGGAACTCACTCTAAAGCTACAGAGGTAAAGCACTTATGGTTGTATGTGTGGTGTAGTTACTTGGTACATTAAGGAGGTTCAATAATGGCCTATGTTTATGTAGTATTCACAATAAAATAGGCACCAGGGGTAAAATGGACTTCCCAATAAGAGATTCCAACATCTGCTTCATGTTGGTATTTTGGAAGCATATGAAGATGAACTATAAGAGAGAAGGTTTTATGCACCCTTAAAACATCCTTTAATCCATCCTGTGAAACTGTCAAATAAATATTTTTTTCTGCGTTTGTATGAAATAATACTATTATTATTTAGACCAGTGTGGCAGGTTTTTACTCAACATCATGTCACCAGTTTATTCTAGTTGGGAGAGAGAGGCCATCATTATCAGAATTAAGTCTCTCAAAAGCTCCTTGAAGAATAACAATTTAGTCACCCAAGCTGTGGACCTCACAAATTTATGGACTTCTTCATGTATATGCAGGCCACTTCTTCATTGCAAATTTCAAACAGTGATTGAAGACCCCACAATTGTAATTTTTAATTGTCCAAATAAAAATGATTCTCTCTTTTGAGTTTAGATTGTGGAAAGTCTTGGAGCACATGACAAAGACATTGCTATGGCAGATATCGAAGGACGCATTTCAAAAGCCCTGCACAAGTTTTACAGTGCTAAAGAACATGATCCTACATTTGAACGCAAAATGTATCAACACCTTCGCCAACATGATGAACTTTGAGGAGGACAAAGGGGAGACTGTCTTTTCTACTGTTTCTTTTACCATCTTTACCTCACTTACCTTTGGATTTAGCGAATTTATTTTCATTATATGAATATGGAGTCATGTCAAAGTCTGCATCAACTCCAGATAATTAAAGCATATTTAAAAGCAAATGGTACAAAAAATAATAAATACCCATCTTCATGCTTAATGATATTAGACAGTATACTGTCTGTTCAACTTCACAAAGTTAACAACTGCAATTTGCCATGATCAGTTGTTGCTGTCAAAATTCACAGCTGCAAATTTGAATTTAACACCAAAGCTACCTTAAATGTAAATGTACTGTTGATGAACAGTCTAACTCATATTACCTACAGTGACAGTCAAAATATTTATTTATAAAGTAAAGAGAGTAAATTTTTGAAGCTTGTGGTGTCAGTACATTAAAAAATATATGCACAGTAACGCGTTTGTTTTCTGTTTCATCTGTCTAAAGTCAGTGTCCGTCAATTTACAGTCTACAGTCTGCAAATATTTTATTTTCCCACGCCACAGAACTCTCCCGAGCCCGATTCTAGTTTTGAAGTTTCGTGAGATTTATTCAGATCAAGTCAGTTGATTTAAACTCCGCTTAACTGGTTCAGGGAATAAACAATGCAATTTAAAGAGTAACTCTGCTCTTATCTATTTCCAAATATTTCACACAGTAAATCTTAACTTTGGCTGTTCTCACCTCATCAGCTTCTCACGTGGACCAAATTCAGGGCATCAATCTTCTTTCTGGTGTGTCTTGAAACTCAGCGAACCTGAACCAAGTCAGTTCTAGATTAAAAATAACAAGAGAGGTTAAGAACTGTGAAAATAAGAGAAAAATGGTAAATTTTGAAGCAGTACTTTTACTAAGAAGGAAGAAGCCGACACTTTGGAATTCTTGTCACCCGCTTTAAATATTCCCGCGCAGTACCCTATGACAACTCCTCCCCACCTCTACCCCCACGCTACAAACTCTTCGCTCCTCTCTAGTTCCCTCGCATAACACTTGGCGAACACGCTGTTTGAATAGACTACGCTAGACGAGCGAGGGATTTTATTGAAAAAGTGCATAATTCAGCCGTGATCTGTTGTGTCATGGGTAAGTCTTATCCTTCTCTTAAATTCTTTACCAACTTCAGCGATCTACATGTAATACCCCTCGAATGTTTAACGAAAGTTGCTACATTGCATGCACGAGGGCTTTGTTGATCTTTCTTCACTGTTTTCCACTCGAAGGACTCAAACAAATGCGAGATACATTAGCGACAGGCCTCTGATTACTCCAAACGTCATCTCAGAACAATAGCAGGCACTATATCAAAGTTCTTCATCGACGATAAGCAAGAAAATTGTATTATTTTTGTATGTGTGTGTTTCGTATTGTGCCGGTGTCGATGCAGTAAATTTCTACTTGTGTCACTTATTATTGTTATTGATATACCTGCCATATGTCTCCGGCTGTGATGAAACTCCTTCTTCTCCTTTATCATTATTTTAACACTGTTGTTTTACTAAAACAGGTAAATTAGACGAGTTAGGATCTCTAGAGAGATGAAAATTGCTGCATGTAACAGTAAACAGACTTCCTTTGCAGTTGTCACTTTGAGGGAGTAACAGAAAGATTATTTTATGCATGTACGAGCTGTAGGAAAATTGACCTTAACCCTTTCACTCCTAAGATCTGATTGTCAATTTTCTCCTCTAGCTACTACACATTTTGTTGTAAATTAGTTATAGGAATTTTGTTTTAGATCAAGATAACAACTCTAACCTGATAGGTTTGAGTATTCTCCATACCTGTTTGCTGGATTATGTTTGGATATGAAAGGAAATTGTTACATTTTAATCATTTTTGGGAGTTAGAGCAAATGTAAGATGCTAGAGAGCTAGCAGATATAGTGTAGGATATTGATGAAAAAAGCTTAGAGCAAATGTAAGATGTTAGAGAGCTAGCAGGTATAGTGTAGGATATTGATGAAAAAAGCTTAGAGTAACTGGTAAACTAGTTGTTGACAAAACAAGCTGCTAACTATTATATACACCGTAAAGGTCTAATTAACTGTACTGTGCATACGCTACAGCTCAGATAATGGAAGATGAAATCGAGGACATGGAGGAAGATAACTTGGATGAAGAAGAAGATGGTGATGATGTTGATGACGAAGATGAAGGCGATGACGCAGAGATATTGGAAGAGACTATAAAACCTAAGGGAAGAAGAAAACCACGATCTGTTCTCACAGGGCGGGGTGTCACTCTTGGCATGTTGCTTGATGATGGAGTGATGGAACCTGGGGAAAAATGCCTTTCTATTGATTACTTGGTTAGTGTAACAGCTACATGTAGATGATATTACATTACTTTTGAAACTGGAATGTTTATAGTGTTATTGCAAAAGGTGTAAGTTCATACATTTGGAGAACAGGAGTGAGAAGACAGAGCATGGCGTCAAGCTCATTAGTTCTCAAAATTGCCATTCAAAGAATCAAGTTTAATGTAGTTACCACCAAATTCAATTCCAGACACCCAAATAGAGGGGAAAATCACGAAAAATTGAAAACAAGACAATGGAACTGGAGAATTTTGTGCAATGAATGAATGGTGATTTGTTTTAGAGGTCCAGGCAATATCTCAAGGCTAAATTCTTAGACAACTGAGGACAAAGGGTATAAGTCTTTTTATCAATGAAAATAATGGAGCATTTATCGCACTTGAACCCTTCAACTCTCAGAAGTGATTAACATGTATTGTAACTTCTCCCCCAAGGTATTCATAAATAATCCAGTAAACAGGTAGTGAGAATACCCAAACTTATCAGGTAGAAATTTTTATCTAGATTGAATAACAAATTCTTTTAACTAATTTACAAGGAAATGTGTAGCAGCAAAATTGCAACTTTCAGCAGCAACATTTAGTTGCCAAAATTTTTTCTTTGGCCATAACAACCAAAATAGTCACAGAATAATGGCTTGAAATGCTGAAAGAACAAATTTGAACTGAGCATGAATCTAAGTCCTTTAAAAGGATGGAACCTCATTTCTTGAGATTCATTGAAGCTCAGTGACTAACATTTAGGTCAAGACCACCACAAAATTTATAACAACTTCTGATTACAACACTAAATGTATATCAAACAAAAAGCAGTCATTCCAAAAATCAGTTACATTTATCACTTTTAACCCTGTAAACTCCCAAGATCTCATTGGTAATTCTCCTTGCTGTCTGCCATACAATTTATATGATGTTAGTTTGGAGAATTTGGAATTGGATCAACCAATAATCCCCTAAATATTGTTCTGTATTCTCATTACTTGTCTGCTTGATATTGTACTGATAATGTAAGGAGAAATTCTGTAATTAATTTTTAGTATTGTTATTATTACTTTTTTTATTTTAATTATTATTATAATTTTTATTTTTAGTGTTTCCTTATTCATGATCATTGGTACTTTGACAGTCATGAGATTGTGAATTTCATTATTACTAGACATTAGTAAGAACAATGTTCTATTTTGTCATCATTATCAGTATTAAGTAGTTGATATGAATTTCAGGGTCAGAAGTTTGTGGCTGATCTCCAACCTGATGGTAGAATCAGATGGCCAGAGGCTGATCAAGTGTTCAACTCGCCCTCTGCTTGGGCAATCTACTGTAAGAGGCTGGTGAATCCTTCCAAGAAATCTGGCTGTGGATGGGCATCAGTAAGTTGTTTTACAAATTGGCTGTAACTCCCAAACATGTAACTTCTCTTCAGAATTTGAAGACACTTTTCATTGGCAACGTGATGAGAAAACTCATCAATTGGAGGATTTTGTATATTACTGATTAATTAAGAAGCTTTGATTAATGAATTAGGATTTTAGAAAGGTCCTAGTTATAGTCAAAGAAATTTCATATAAAGCAGTTATTAGTAACGCCTAATTCTGCCAATGCAGGATAGAAAGGAGCAAATTGCTAAAAGTAGAGGTACAAAGTTAGGAAGAAACACCAACAGAGAGCTAGGAGAAAATGCGCATCCCTTGTAGCTATCATTCTCCTAATACCAGCTTTTAGTGGTTAACCTTTTAGCTCCCATGAGTGACCAAGACTGAATTTCTCCTTACAATATCAATACAATAGCAAGCAGATAAGTAATTAGAATAAAGAAAAATACAAATGTTGATTTTGCTTGTATTTTTTTTCTTTCAAAGGTAAAATACAAAGGTAAAAAGCTGGATCAGTTCAAGACAACATGGTTTAGGAAGCAAAACCCAGGTGTAAGTATCACGTAAAACCCAGCTTTTTAAGCAGAAAGATGACATGAAGTTACAAAAGTATCAACCAGGATGATAATATATAGATTTAGGCAAGCCTAAAAGCAGAGCTCGCATTTTTTTTCCCACACATCTCTTCAACAAAACTAAAGCCCCTACTATGGATAAAGTGCGTGGTAATATTAATGGATTTTCATTTGCAACTTCTCCGTGTCCGTGTAGAGGACTGATTATAAGATAGTGCCCACGGTACAGTTGGCCATGCATGCTAAAAGTAGCACCTTGTGCGGTTGTTCGTGCGGTCGTACGGTTGTACATCCAAATTTTTTTGGCTCGATGGGTTACTGCTATTTTGTATAATTATGGGGCTATCCTCTGCGAGCTCTGCTAATATTTGAGTTAAAGCCAAATTTTCAAAGCTAAAATAACAAATTTATTGTAAGAAGTGTTAAGGATTGATACTTAATCGAGGGTCTTAATAGTGAAAGGGATGAAAGGCTGGGTTGAAGTTTTTGATCCAGGTCCTAGACATGCAAGGACCCCAACAAGGGCAAAACTCTTGCTTTTTTTAATTCAGGGTTTTTCTTTTTAACCCTTTAACTCCCAAGATCTGATTGTTAATTCTCCCCTCTTGCTGCTACACATTTCCTTGTTAATAAGTTATGAGAATTTGGTACTAGATCAAGATGACAACTTGTACCTGAGACATTTGAGTATTCTCATTACCTGTTTGCTGGATAGTGCATGGATATTGTAGGAAGAAGTTACTTGTTGATCACTTCTGGGAAGTGAAGGATTAAGAATGAGTTCGGAATAAGTTTATTTCATTGGTCTTTGCCATCATTGCTTTTTTCTTTGCAAGACACCTGCATTCTGTCTCAAGGTTTTGGTAGTTTTGTGATGAATTATAATTGTTAGTAACTCTGTGGTTTTGTTGCACAACAGGTATCATCAAGCCATGGTGATACACCAACCACTTCTCAAAAAATGTCATCAGCTCATACCACCCAATCGACAACTTCCTCATCACAAAAGACACCATCTGGCAAACCATCTGGTAGTCATAGTGATGTGCACAGTTTCACATCACCCTCATCCTTGTCTACGTCATCATCATCATCAACAATCACATCAGCTTCTGTTCCAAAACCCTCCACACAAAGAGAACCTGGATCGTCCTCAATCAAGTCTGGGTCAGCTGGTACAAAATCCCTCTATAAACCGCCATATACACAGACCACACCCTCAGGGAGAGGGTAAGTTAAAAACAATTGTATTAAAATCTAACCCCTTTTGGCATTTTTTATTTTTTAAGTGGCCCCAGGTTGCTTGATTATTGCCTGTGACTGTTGTTTTTGGTTTGAGATTCTGAGACTGAAACTAGATTAATCATAACAATATCAATTAATATCAATTAGGGTTGATCCACTATCATATGTTCCATTTTACAATTGCTAGCTTGGTTGCCAAGCCTTTGAACAGGAATGAGGCTAAGGGTGACCCTGTTATGATACAAACCTTGCTTTTTTTCAAATGTAAATTACTTTGTTATCAATTCTTTATGGAAAATTGTTCTGAAAATTAATATCTTCTGTTATTTTACATCATTACAGAAGGAAACCAAACATTGGGTATATCCATCCACCTCCTGCCAAATCACCATCAGTCTTCACACCAACTGCAGTCACACCAACATCTTCATCAAAGTCAGTAACATCAAGTTCTCTTCGAAGCCCTGTGGGTGAGTCATTTTTGTCATTGTCTTTTTTGCTTTAACATTGCAAATCTTATAATCTTCCAACATTTGTCAAAATATCTAAGTCATTCTGTTTGGTTTACAGACATTCCCAGTCCATTGTCCTCTCCACCAGGCTCTGCAGGTAGGAAACGATCAGCTGTTAGAACTCGGCAGTCAAGCAAGCACACGATGGTGACTCCTGAAAGGTGAAGAAAGTGTTACCAACAACAATGTTAATGGTACAAAAAATTCTTTTTCGATCAGTTGGTTCTGTCAACTGAGTTGATAGTCCATCTTACAGTTGCATGCTTTGAACAGGAGTGAGACCTTGTTATGATACAAACATTGCTGCTTTTCAAATGTAAATGACTTTTTTATCATGCTTACTAAATACTGGTTGCCATTACAACAAGGTCACCTTTATCCACAGTCCAAATCAAAAGGCTTGGCAAGTACAGTCAATACACAACTGTAAAATGGCCTATTGGCCAATGTATGCAGTTTCTGAAGCTGACATTCAAGGGTTAAAAATGGACTAATTCTTGAAATGTCAGCTTTGACACTCTTACCGGTGCCAAATGACATTAAAAAATCAGTTGATGAACCAAATTATTGTAATACCCCTCTTCCCCCCCCAACTAATGCAGTACCACAGTTTCTTTAGAAACTTTCCCCTTTTATTAATTTCTTTATCAGTTTCATAAAGGCTTTTTTGTTTGTCTTAGTGATCCACACACTTTGGTTGAACTTGTAAACTTCAGTGCCACTGGAAAAATGCAGCCATTCTCTGTGGATATTTCGACAAACTGCCTTTTACTTATGGTAAGTATTTGGGCATATGTACATCATATAACTGTACACACTATTTGCAGCAGTAGTACCTTGCTATCATACACTGATACTTTACTCTCTAATGGAAACAATCATTAAACAATCCTTATAAATGGATCATCAAAGTGTTTTCAAGAGCACTTTACCCATGTGTGAGCAGGGTCACATACAGTGTATGAGCTAGCAGCTCAAAGACATGCAGAGCAGGAGACTTGGTATTCTTGTAAAAGACACTTTAATTTATGAGATTCTTTCTATTCAGGTTGGGAGGGAGGAGGGGGAGGTGGGGGAAGGGGCATGTGGCTTCATGCTACAGGATCTGGGATAAGCTCTGCCTGGTTTAGGCCACTTGGATAAGATAGGTCTAAATACAAAAATCTGGATTTTCTAAGGATTTTTAACTTGTTAAATGGGATTTTTAGAAAATTTGAGAATTGTTAGAACATTTAAGGATTTTTAGATGATAATGTCTAGAAAAAAACAGCCCATAGCCATATTAGTGATGTTATTCAGCACATTTGTTATATGTTTTCTGTAAGCTTTGTGTATATTTTCCAGGATTATCATTGTCATCTTACAACCAGTGAAGTTGTGGGATATTTAGCAGGGCAGTTTGACCCACAAACACACCGTAAGTGAATTCTATAGGAGTCATTTAACCCTTTAAACCCTGAGAGTGACCAACATCTAATTTCTCCTCACAGTAATATGGCTGAGTCATTCATTAAGATCATGAGAATAAAGGAAATGATCAACACCCAAAGAAGCTTTGATTGTTCAACAAATTCTCCTCGTCAGTACTAATAGAAATGTATAGAGAAGAGTATGGAGATTATGGATACTGATGTTATGGTGTAAAGGGATAACTGTTCTCTTGTTTTGGACACAGCTACATTTATGCAACTGTTATAGAATACATATACTATTTTTGGGCTTCATTCCCAGAAAAGGAAAACAGAGTTGACATAAAAATTCCTTAAGTGAAACCTATTCAGTATGCCTACCCAAGATTTCAATTATATGCACAGTATCATTTAGGTTTGTGTATTACTCAAGGTTCTAATTGGATATTTTTTTCTTAGACATGAAGGTTGTGCAGGCTTTCCCCTGTCGCTGTCGATTTGCTGACAAGGAAAATGCACTCAAAGTTGAGGAAGAGGTAGGGAAATTGATGTTGTTCATGGAAACATAAATGATGTGACTGTGATCCTCCCAAGAGAGCTGCAATTAAAGAAATTGCAGAGAGGAAGCCTGAAGAAATTCTTTAATCATTTGACCCCTAAGAGTGACTAGCATCTATTTTCTCCTTACAATATTAGCTCTGAATCAAACAGTAAGGTCATAAGAATGTAGGAAATGATCACCATCGAAAGAAGCTCTAGATTGTTAATCAAATTCTCCTTGTCAGCACCTAAGAAAATGTATAGAGAGGAGTATGGAGTATATTTACGCTGATGATACGGTGCATCTAGGCTTAATTTAAGATCACTTGTGAGAATCATTTCTTCAATAGTACATGCTCATGTATTTCATTCCTAGGTCAATTAAAATTGATTTCATGGGTACATGTAAATGCTTGCCATTGCAGGTTAGGAATGCAATCGCACAGCGAGGACTTTTTCTGGTGGGTTGGTACCATAGTCATCCATCCTATCAGCCTGATCCATCGCTCCAGGATATTCAGAATCAGTTGAATTATCAGAGCATCCTACAGCAGGAGAACGCACCATATGGAGCTTGCTTGGGTATCATAGTGTGTAAGTGTATCCAAGGTTAGGAGAGCAAAGGGAGCTATTTTGGGGAACAGGGATGGCACAGTGGTAATGGGAACATTTGCTTCCCACTACTGTGGCTTAGGTTCAAGTCCTGGACATGGTGTCACATGAAGGTTGAGTTTGTTGTCAGTTCTTGTCCTTGCATGGAGGGTTTTTCTCTGGGTCTTCCAGTTTTCAATTCACCTTAATAACAAACATTTCAAATTCCAATTTGACCAGGAAAAAGTGGATAAGAAGAGCCACCTTGTGGAATGTCCACTGCTAAATACCCATTTTTATTTTTCTTCACATTTAGCTACTGTATTGCAGAAAAAAAGAGTCTTTTACCCACATGACCAAGTGTAAGTTGGGGCAAAAAAACCCTTCCAACAGAAGAGTAGGTCCCAGGTACTCTAACCATAGAACTTTAAACAAACAGAAACAGAACCAATGGTCTTCTAACATGTTACTGCATGTTAAAACATGTTAGGGTTATGGTTAGAACATGAACTTTGTAATAGACCTTGCTCACAGTAGAGTCCCTGTGGCTCCGTGGTAGAGAGTTGCAGTGCAGAATCCAAAGTTCTGAGGTTTAATTCATGGTGGGGATTCAGATTTTTCTTTATCCCACGTTCATGACGAGACAAAAAACCTCTTTCTCGATGTTACTGCATCTTTCAAAATGGCCATCATTACAGTTTATTGGTGCAAGTGAACCAACCTGGTCCCATGGCAAGTAGTCAGCAGCAAACAACATGTAACTTGACAAGCCCTGAAACTTATGTACAAAACTGAAAAAAAATTTGCAATCCTCAGTCAATCAAATAAACACTCTGAAAGTGAGTCAAGTGTCAGGTTAACCCTCTCCCATGAGTAACCAAGACAGAATTTCTCCCTACAGTATCAAGCTGACAAGTAATGAGATAAAGAAAACTCTGGAACACTCTAGAGGATTATTACTTGATTGAATACCAAATTCTCTACCTTAACATCAGAAGAATTGTATGCCAGACAGTAAGGAGAATTACTGATGAGATCAGGGAGTGAAAGGGTTAAATGAAGTGTAAAGTCACAAGAGAAGTACATTATGATGTATTGACGGGGTTTTTATTTCCTTTTTCCTTTTTCCTTCTAGCCCCCTATGACACCTACAGAACTACAAAGGAATCAGTTATACGGGCTTTTTGGGTTCAAACATCAATGGAAGGTCAAACTCAGAAACTTGGTGTACCAATGCTAATTAATACCACCCTGCATCAAGATCAGTTTCTCACACAAGATCTTCTCAATGAACTGGTATGATATATGTACTATTGTTTTAATCCTTTGGCTCCTAAAGCCTGGTTCACACAGGCAATGCAGATGCGGATGCAAATGCAAGGATTTACACATGTGAGCTACCCCAATGCAAATGACAATGCAAACGCAATTGTCATCGCAAGGAATGAAAACTTTTCATTTCCTGACAATATCACCCCCTGAATCACACAGTAAGGTCACAAGAAGAAAGGACATCATCACCTACTGATAAAAGAAGTTTGTGACTGTCTAACAAATTCTCCTTGTCAGTGCTGTGGGAAAGGTACGAAGAACAGCATGGAGAATGTGAATACTGATGACAGGATGTAAATAATTGATAAACATCTCAGATCAAAGAATGTGAAAGTTTATGAAGAACTGAACTTGTAAACTACTGTAAAAAAAAGTATTCAAAAGTAATGTATGAGTTTCTGGCAATAGAAATTGTTTCTTTGACAACTATTGAAATGTCACTTGTCATCAACTTTTTAATTCTCGGCCAAAACCCTATTCTTGACTAATAATTATTAATTCACTCTGGATGTAACCCTTTAACCAAGACCGAATTTCTCCTTACAGTATCAATACAATATCAACCAGATAGGAGATAAAAATAATAAAAAATAAAAATACCAATTTGGGGATAATTAGTTGATCCAATTCTAAGTTCTCTGAACGAACATTATAAAAATTGTATGGTTGACAGTGAGGAGAATTACAAATTTGATCTGGGAGTTAAAGGGTTAAAGATTGTTAAGATTGACCCACCATTTATTCCCATTAAAAAAAACTTTAACCATTAAATCAAGTGCATACCTACACTATTATCCATAAATTGTTTGATGAACTTGATATGCACCCCTAATCCATCCTGTGGCGGCATGTTGTTCTTATGAAATGATGGCTCAAAGCTACTATTTCAAAGCACTAGCACTTAAGTTTGTATTTCTAACTAGTTCCTTTTTTTGATATTTTTTCAGAGATGGATGTGGAGTTTTTACAAGGGAGGCCCTGATGCAATAAACTTCAACAACTTTTGGCATGGATCCCAAACCTACCTTGACAAAGTGAAGGTGAATCCTCGAATATCAGAGTCTTATACCAGTAGACTTAACAACAGATCCTGCCTTCTTTTTAGAGTGGTGTACATTGGCATGTGAGAGAAATCTTAGTTGTAGTGTTGACTGTTGTCATGATGTTGTGCTTCTGACGTGGAACTGCAACCACACTTATTGGCCTTTTCTTATCGTCACACCCCTCAACCCTTTTTAACTGCCTCTCCTCCTCCCCCCCCCCTCCCCATGTAAATTTACTATTGTAGCCATTACCCTAGAAAACAAAACCCTCTAATTTGAACATAGATGCAGAAAATCAAAATTTGTGAGAGAAAGGTACAACAGATGATCAGCTGCCTCACACCCAGACCTCTCTCTGCCTAAGATGCAGTGAGTGCAAAAGGAAAGGGAGCAAATTTAAAAAAAGAAGAGAGTCACTTTCTCCTTTATCCATCAAGGGGAGGGGAATGGGAGGGGGAGGCTGGTTTACTAGTCCCTTATGCAGGAGGGGAAGCAACATATTATTACTCGCTGCTGCTCCTAGCAGCAATCAGGGTAAGACTTAAAAAATAAACATTTTTACCTTTGTGTATTCTTAAATGCCATTATTCATATTTTCATTTTCAGTCTTCCCTGATAAAGAAATTCCCAACAGACCAAACAGATGGAAGATTTTTAGAATTCATCAACACACTTCTAACCTAGAGAAGTGTTAAAAAATCGTATTTCAGAGGTTATTTTCACGCGGTCATTCAGTCTATAGGTGTATGTTCTCATAATTTTTACTGTATTAAATTATTTCAACACAGTAGTGTTTTTCTAGTGGTGATGTTGCCTCAGCCCCTTAACCCCTAAGAGTGACTAGTATCTAAGTTCTCCTTACAATATCACCCCTGAATCATGCAGTAAGGTCATGAGAATAAAGAAAATTATCAGCAGCTAGAGGAGCTGTTGATTGTTACACAAATTCTCCTTGTCAGCACCTTGGAGAATGTATGGAGAAGAGTGCGAAGAATATCTATACTGATGTTAGGTTGTAAAGGGTTAACTCAAGTACTGTACTATGATTAAAAAAATAATTTTTGAACTGTTTTTCTTGGTGACACTCCTTGTTACAAGACTCCATAGTTTTATCTCGTATCCAGATCCTCCATGTCTTGTGGGAAACAGAAGGCCAGGTTACAAAACCAGAGGCACTAAAGCATGTAGGGACTTGAAAACAAGGAAATCACAAAAACTGTGTTTTTAACTTTTTTATTACATCATTTCTTTTACAGTTATTTATCCATATGTAACTTAAATAACTTTATTTCTGTGTCAAACACTATAAAGCAAAAATCCCTCTACTGATGGGCACATTAAAAAAAAAGGGTGAAAAATCTTTTAACAAGATAAAAACGATAGACTTGATAATAATTTTTGACATTTAATTAAGAAAACACTAGTATATCAATAAAAAAATGATTAACAATGACAGAGCTTGCAATTACTAAGTGCATATTTGAAAATTCCGCGTGAGTCAACTACTACAAAATCTTGACGGAAAAACTAGTGACTTGTCCCCGCTCTTCGACTCACTGGTTATTGGACTGCGTTTATGAAAAATGAATATATTCAATTTAAATCGATCATTTCAAAGTTCCTTCAATAATCGAACGCTTGAACTAGGTATATCAACTATACCGCTCAAGCCTGGAAAACAGCAATACTCAGATTTCATCAAATACCTCGTACAATTTTCTATGTATTCCACAAGCGAAAACCAATCATGAAGTTGTCTATGACAGTAGTCGACTGTTAGGATGCTGAATCGTCTCTTAGATAACATCAGGATTGCTCACAAAAAGTTATTTATTAAATGATAGACTTTCTACGGACATGCTAAAAAAAAAAGGATTGACTAATTTACTCACCAATAGTCCTTTTTTCATATCCTATAACTTCCAATACCTCCACCATTTCCTCCTGTGGCAGAGCCTCCAGCTCCCCAATTCCATCCATTGCCGGGTCCATCAATAATCGTAATGTCCCCAATGTTGAGGTAATTTGTAAAAAAGTGGGTCTGGAGCCGGATCGTTCATGGGTGCATCTAAAAATTAAGTCCGTTTGATTAAAATCAATAACATCATGTAAGCTTTTCCTCAAGAATCACATTATCCAATTAATTTACTCAGTCCTGAATAAGTCCACCATAAACAAACGAGAAATTTCAACAGGTATAAACCATATATTTAATCTCTTTTGGTCACCAGTCCTCGTGGAGTCTTCCTGTATGAAATTGAGAAATGAATATTGGAAGACAATTGGGAAATAGTTTATTATAATAGGTTCTCGTATTGAAAAAGGCTCAGAAAGACTTACCAGTCTTCTCCTCATCCAGCATCACAGGATCACGACCATTGCTAACAAAGAAAAAGATAAAAGAAATGAGTACATAATTTTCTGTTACTTTTGAAGCTAAATCACAAAATCTTAAATGAAAATAAGTAAGAATTTAAGTGATAGTCAATCGCATCATAAAAATAAGAGCTATCACCGCCAAAACAAGCATCTTTTCGACTCTTTATTTTCCTGCAAAATCAGTTCAAAATGAGAAGAAAAAAATAGGAGGCTTTTACAATCGCTCATAATAGTAACAACGTGTTGAGGAGGTATCGGTGTTTCTTCCGTAAAATGGCAGATGTTCTGAAAGACTTACCAATCTTCTCCTCATCCAGCTTCACAGGATCACGACCATCGCTAAAAGAGAATGAAAGACGGAAAACAAAGAAGACGAAATGAGTGTATGATTTACCATTGCTTTTAAGGCGAAATCATAAAATTTTTAAAGACAGCAAATGAGAATTAAAGCGAAAATGTGTCTCCTATCTCTGTTTCAAGCTCGGTGACGTTTCCATTTTTAAGGGGTAGTGCATTTGTCAGAGCGAGGGTTATCATCACCAAAACGAGGCCCTTCATTTTCCTACAAAATCAGTTCAAATTGAGATAGAAAGTTTTTACAATTGTTCATTATAAAAACTCATAATTTTATTGAATCATCGGTGTTTTTTGCCCATAATCAGTGAAGTTGTTGCCCTTAGCAAAGCAAGTAAAATTGTTTTCGCGCGATTTTAATGCATCAACTCACGAACATCGACTTGTCATTGGATTAGTTTTCACGCTTCGGATACAAATTTGTCAGAATCGTGCGTTTGGACAAAATCTGAAAATAATCATTGCCTCGGAAAAACTTTCAGGCCAGTTTGAGGCGAACTAACAGAGCCCCTTTTAAGTCTTAATACAACCTCTAGGAGTTATCTCAACTTTGTGGACCAATCTCCCATGCAATGATCTACCGATGTTCCTTTGATAAGAGGCGTAAAGAGTAATCTTTTCATTGAGTTGACCTTAAGGTTACAGAGGCACAGACCTCATCTTTCAATTTTAAAAGTTGGGTGGAGTGTCACAAAGTATGCTTGACCAAATGTCAGTATGGTTTTACTTTCTAACTTCGTGAACTGATTTTCAAAGTTGTGAGAAAAAAGGTGTTCTTTTTCGTATGAATCGATCTACTTTGTGCATTTTATAGGACCTTACAGCGTTTATCGTTGGCAAAAAACATATCAACGAGATGATCATAAAACCGTCTGGGAAAACCTCGCCACCAATTTAGCCCTGCCTTGCAAAAATCAATTTTAATAAAACACAGATCATTCCTCTTGGAAACTATTCAAGTCGAGCGTGTCGTTGGCTTGCAAATTCATGTTAACATTTGTAGTAAGGAAACTTTTGCTCGTCACTATAGTAAATTGCGTTAATTAATTTATTTTTTAACTCGTTTAATGCATAGGTGTAATTGTAAGTTGAGAGAATTTAAACATTTATCGTACTCTCGTTATCGAACATTCCTTGTTGTTATTGCAAGGTCAAAGAAGTTTAACGTGAAATTTCTGGATTTACTTTGGATGAATTGAATGATATGTTTCATCAAGAGCTGTTCTGGGGGTTAGAGACTGTAAAGAGTTGAAATTCATCGAAAATACGTTTACGGATTTTGTTTTGGTTTTAAGTTGCGCAAACTTTACGCAACGAAAAACGCCGATTCAAAACATACAAGACTGCGTTTGAATAGAATCATTGTTTCACGGAATTTTCAAGAGTACTTTCTTGTGATGAAGACTTTAAGCTTTCAAATATTTTACTTTAGATGGGTTTAACACAAGTTAACTGAAATTTTATCTGGTGTATTCCTCATTCCCCGTTATTTCTTAAATCTTTAAGGAAAATTTTTGAATTTTTTGAAGTTTCGGCTGGGTGGCTTTTGCCTTAGAGATGTAATGTTGTTATGTCATTCTTTTTCAAAAGTTGAAATTCTTTATCTTGTGGCACTGATGTAAAAAGGCCAGTAATGCATGTATTCTTTGTGCAAAATATGACTATTATCCCCGCAGTACACGCAGTTCTTGCAAAGAACCTCTGTCAAAAAGGAGCCCGAAACATGAATTAATTTTTAGAAGTTCACGCCAAATTAAGACCTCTTCCAATGTTTTTTTTCCGAAAGAGATTTTGCGACCTTTGCCACGAGGATAATAAATTCAGTTTTGAAGTTAAAAAACCTTGTTCTTTACGATAGCTGTTGTTCTTACCGTCCAGACGCTTTTTACTGATTCAGGGCAGACTAAAGTTTGATTTAGAAATAGGGTAATTTTCTGCGCCGAATAATTGAGCTTCTCCGCGGCCGGTGATCAATTTTCTGTGTTTTACTGAAGAAAATAACAATCGTAACGACAATTTTGTTTTTTGTTACCGCTATGAAGTCCATTTGACCGAGAATTTTACGGTTTTGTTTTAGATTTATGAAGAGAAAGGCTATGTTATTTTCAATACCGAGCTGACGTTCGTTCCTAGGTAACATGGCGTTCTTAGTATGAATGCTCCAGTTTTCCAGCTATATATGAATATTGATTAAACCTGTGTCCACGTTTAAATCTTTTGGTTGGCTTCTACACTACGTGGACATATTGTCATCTGCCGTAAGATCATTTGTCGACGAGAGATCTGTTGTAATTCACATTTGCAGCAGAGAAGCGCTCAACAGCTGACTCGCTCGTGCAGCATATTCTATTTTTACGTTCGTTTCAAACTTATCTTAAGAATTCTTCATTATATTTTCGTGAGCCGGCCGAAAATGAGCTCCTCGTGTTTTACTTCTTTGGCATTTATTGCCTGTTTGTTCGTCTATGCCTTTGCGCATGAAAGACCTGAACAAGAACGAGATCATTTGTCAGTTGGAATAATGCGAAAACCAGACGACTGTCCAAGAGAATCGAAAGATGGGGACCATTTGACGGTCAGATACAACAACACATTGATTGACCAAACTCCAATTTTAACCACAAGGTGAGCTAGAACTTCCTGTTTTCGCAAGTACAATCTTTCTGTAGGATAAATTTATTTTTTCTTGTAGACTTCTTCAGCCAAATGATTTCCATAATTTACTTGTTCACTCACTGGTTGCATCTCCAAGAGGAGATAAAATCCGAAAAAAAAAAAAATAGCAATTTCTTTTTGTTCTGCTAATGTAGTTTAAAGATCCTTGCATAGCTTTTAGGGAAAAGTCCAAGTGATGAAGACTCAATTATTCAGGTTATCGACTAAAATCTTTTTATTTTATCTGTCAACTTTTTTTCTGACTCAGTTTAGTTTATAATTTCATCGAGTTTGTCAACTTTTTCGATTATACCAGAATTGAACAAATTCCACGGATGTTAAGAGATGTGAGCTTTCTTTTAAAAGTTCGGATTCGTCGTCCTCTCTCCCGTTTTAAGATCAACTGGATGCGTTTTAAATTGAAAAGGTGTTAAATAGGCAAAAACGCTTTCCTCCGCAAAACCAAAATTAAAATATCTACATCCGTTGCATAAAATTAACCCAGAATAAGAAATGTAATTGAGTGAGAGGATCATGAACGCATTGATACGGAAAACTAGCGGTACCGGGACTAAATAAAAAACTTATCAACGAATAGATTCGATTATAGTCTGAACTAATTTCCTCCTAAACTGTTCCGAGAGAAGGCTCGGTTGCGAATTTACGAACGTGGCTAGAAATTTCCGTCTCACGCGCGATCGCCCTACGAGTGAGCAACTCGGGGGCTGGTTTTAAACCGGAAATAACAAAAGAACTCAAGATTATTTTGCGGGTCAAGTTGAATAGCTTAGGGTGGACAATATTATTTTTAGATTCTTTGCCAAATGTTTCTCACCGTTTATACTTGTATACAGTTTGATTCATGCATGACTGAATCACACTCAAAAAGGTGGAATTCTGCATGTTTGCTTACCAATTTAATTAATAATTCCCGATTAGCTTAGAGCCTTGCAGGACGGCGCATTTTGTCAACATTGATAGATTCGTAGCCCGTAAGCAGGCTCTGTTTGGCGTCTGTGGCACGAGCAGGCTGTGAGGCGAAGCCTGCGAATTTGAGCTGATAAGCGAAGTGAGCAAGCGAAAGATCTTCGAGGGGTCTGGTACACATTTTCCTGCCAGAACCCTCGCGGACCGCTCGCGCGTTCGCATCCCTCGCGGGCTCAAAAAATGCGGGAGTCGCCATTTGCGTACAGAGAACCTTTTCGAAAGCCTGTTCGATTTCGTTCTTACTTGAACTGTCAAAGAAACTTCGCCATGAAAAAGGCAACTATTTGAGGGGCAGCTGAAAGTCTATTAACACGGGATAATTGCCTCATCCGTTTTATTCACAGTTATCTCGATCCGTTACAAGCCATGGTCAAAGATTTCTGCGTGTTCCAAACGTTTAAGCATAGAATTAAATTTCTGTTACGTCAATCAAATACTTTAAGATTCTCACTAAAACAGTTTTATAAAATTTCTTACTCCTCGCTCGTCTACAGGAAAAAGCAGGGCTAGTTTCCCAGTTTTTCCACGGTCATTTTCGTCAGATAGACTAGAGTTTAGGATCTGGGGAGGAGATTTGAGGGTACATTCCGTAAGAAAAATTAAAAGCGCTCATTTAAACTTCTGTTTTCTATTTTCTCTTTTGTAGCGAATTTGAGTTTACTCTCGGAGAAGGACAAGTTATTCCCGGCTGGGACATGGGATTGAAGGATATGTGCGTAGGAGAACTCCGTGAGCTTGTTGTCCCGTCGCAATATGGATATGGGGAATACCCCGTCGGGGATAAAATCCCCCCGAGAGCACTCCTAGTATTTTATGTAGAGCTCTTGAAAATCGCTGACCCCTCGGAGGATAGCGGCAAGCCCAACATGTTCAAAGAGATTGATGTCAATGGAGATGGACTGATCTCACATTCAGAGGTAAGAAATTAAACATTCAATGTCTGTCTACAGAACTTCCAAGCCCTCGTCCCTTGGTTCCATCTGCTTTCTTAGCTAGTGAGGCCTTGACATGAGTTGATGTGTCGAACCAGATCTCAACGGCTTAGAGCGCCAATGAGTTCCGGAGACGACATCGTGAATTCTTTGAGGCTTATCAGGGTGTGTGATACTCAGGATTTTCTAGTTGTATGTCTTACTGTATCTGAAGACTTTTTTTTCCGATACTATTCCAAAAATTAGTTAGTTTCCATCCATGGTAGCCTACCTTCGTTAAGTTTCCAATATCCTCTTTGCTTCCATTCCGTTCAGGCTGTTAGCTAAAGCCACGAATCAAATGGATTTTTTTCTGGCGCTCCTTCAGCTGCAAAGACTTTAAAAAAATTGCCAAAACTGTGTATTTTGTATATACCACGTAGCTGAGGAGGTCCTCGATCCCATGTACTTGCTAAAAGGACCTTGACTTTTATTCAGCATAGGACGCCTTTGACACTTTTAATCTTAGCAGCATAAAGGAAGTCGACGCTCGTTTCATGTAGACCCTCTTGGGCACCAGTCATTATTCATCACCTGGGGTTGAAGCGGGGGGGGGGAGGGGGGGAGGGGGGAGGGAGAGATTTTGATTATGTCACAGTAAAAATTTCCTAATCCTCCCAGAAGGCTCTGTAGTACTCCAATTACCCCCCCCCCCCCATTGGTAGTTATAATTTTCATGATCTCCCCCTCCCATGGTGGCTATGAGCAAATACCAATTTTGACCCCTATGCATTGCGGGTAAAAATCTCAAAACTTCCCAAAACACATATATTTTTAAGTCTTCCTTTAAGAAATTCTCGCTATTTCTGTTTTCAGGTTGCTGGATATCTGAGGCGAGAGGGAATGTCAAATGGCGAGGGAGATGAAAGCCATAACATGCTGTTGCAAGAGATCTTTCACGAGGAGGACAAAAATAAGGATGGTTTTATTTCACACGAAGAATTCCAAGGAATTAAACATCATGAACTTTAGATACTTTTTTTCAAAAAATGTTTCAGTCGTAAACATCCCTAAATATAACATCTTACATAGAACAAGGTTGTTGTGTGGCTCATACAAGTTTTTTCTTTGTTCGAGCACTAACTTGATGTTATTACAGTTAAGTGAATTTTAATAAAGATCTACAGTTTCTCGTATACCCAGTTATGTCCTTCGTGTGTTCTTTTCATCAAAACGGTAATATTTTGAACCCAGAGAAAAAAAGGGGACAGAGAGGGCGAATCAGATCGTTAGAGGATATGGAAGGCGTTTATTGGAAGGAGGGCGCTGAATCGAGGGGGATGAATATTTATCTCCTGCATGTACTGATTCCTGTGTAATTGTGGGTTGAAAAGATTTTAACAAGGCGGCAATAAAAACCAGGGTTTCCTTGCATCCCTACTATTTAAGAAAGTGAGGGAAGAGGGGGTACTTACCTCTTCCCGTTTTCAGGAAGTTTTCATGGCGTCCAACTTTTCATGGTGTCCAACATTATGGTAGGAGAAGTGAAAATGTTATGACAATAGCGGATCACATTGAATTCTATTGAATATTCAAAATGTCTCTCTCAGGAGTAATGTACAGACGCAAGGGAAGGCTGACAGCTCTTGCATTTTGGACGGAGTATAGGCATTAAATGTGTTGAAGGTACTTCAAATATCAGAGTCAACCTCGTTTCTAGCAATAATGTGGCATAATATTTGCGAACACGGGCCATAATTGTGATAAGTAGAGAAATGCCTTCCGGCCGCTGGTGTGTCGGCTGACGTCATGTCCGCGGCTGGGATATTGCCCGAAAAAATTAATATTTGATCAGCTATTTATTGTCACCACCGCTTGACTCTTCAAGTAAAGCAATAAAAACGAAAAGTGAAACTTTGACTTTGTTTATTTTTGACGGAAATAATTGTGGGACATGAACGTGAACGGGGGCTGTGGCGCGGTAACTGTCTGATAATTTTGAACACTTTGCATAAAGTCCATTTTGTCAAGACATTTGTATCCTGCATACATGACAGGCTATCTTGTCGTTCCAGACCCCTTGCTACCACTTCCTTCTCGCGCGAATTATCAAACATGGCTGAGACAGGCATAATCTCATACTTTACGCCGAACAGATAACACATTCACCTACATCTTAGGGGAGATCTACCTTCTCGATCAAGGACTTTGTAATAAAGTAATACAGGTGAGCTCAAAGGTTTTACAATTTACATTTCGTGTTTTCTAAGATGTTACAGTGGCTCATGTTAATACATTTGCAGAGCTACTTTCTTTATTTCAAGAATGGCTTCCGCAGAAGGTGACGTTCCTGCTGAAATGCAAGACAGGGGAAAGTGGTATGGAGATGCTGTGGATTACTGGAAAGTAAGTACAGCCATTTAGCTCATAAACCTAACACAACCTATTTAGATCAAGAACCTATTGTAACTTGTTGCTACACAATTATATATCAATACAATTAGTAAAGGTAATCACATGATTTCGAGAGCAACTTGGAAGAAATAAGCACGAGTAAATGCGACTTTTAAATCAACTTTGCATCCCCTTTTTTTGCTCTTCAGAATTGTATTTTCCTCTTCCCATCTATCATTTCTTGTGTAACAGTGTTGAAACACTTGGCAGCCATTCATGAAGGGTAGCACCCCTGCTATAATCACCTTGCAGTGAGGTGATTATGGTGAGATATGATGTAATCCTTGACCAATCAAAGTGCAGGCATCTCTAGAATCAGTGGAGCAATAATACTTACAATATATATTCTCTCTCGCTCTCTTTCTTGTTTTTGACCAATCAAAGTGCAGGCATCTCTGGAATCAGTGGAGCAATAATACTTACCATATATATTCTCTCTTGCTCTCTTTCTTGTTTTTTTTATTTTCACTTTATTGCACCATACTTCCAAGTAAATAAAGAAGGTGCCAAATGGTTTATAAATGAGGTGTAATTAACAGAAAGGCCAGCATGATTCATGAATTTATGTACCCGCATGAGGCATGATTTGCCTCCTGAAATATACAAGACTTATCAAGTTCTCTTTCACTTTGTGAAAACCTTAAGATTTCCAAGAAACTTTGTACACAGAACAATTATTTGAAGTCTTCTCTTCTATACACATGAAGTGTGAGTTTACTAAATTCTGTACATGAATTGCGATCAAGACCCCCCCTTTTGCTACTCTTGGTACACAAGAAGAAACATTTGAAGTATTCTCTTTTATATACATGACACATGAATTTTCTCAATTCAGAGCGCGATCTAAACCCCCCTTAGCTACTCTTAGATAAAATAAGGTTTTGGCTCTTATAAGTTTCTACTGCACAATTGATTTGTCACTGTTACCTTTATCATTTGCGAGGTGAAGCCCATCATGTGAAAGCCTTCTTGTTACTCATGGGTGTTCCTTGTCATCTCTAGTCAATTTTTTTTCTTTATACTTGTAGCTTGGTAATTAAATGTTTGGTGAAAAGAAATAAATTTTTTTATTTTTGTGTTAAGAGTGTTCCTGCAACAGTGAACGGAATGTTAGGAGGTTACGGTCACATCTCACCAACAGACATCAAAGATTCAAAGAGGTTTCTGAAGAATTTTCTGGATGTAAGTTGTATTTAATCCTCCACTACTTTGATTAATTTTTGAGTCAAGTTTTCTGTATACCATATTTCCTTGAAGAAGTGCGCCCTCGGTCACCCTTCTAAATTAGTTTCTATCCCCCAGGCCATAATTTCAAACAAGCACTTCCCTCAAATAACCGCCCCCCCCCCTTCCTTTCTTGTTTTCTTAACCCTTTAACTCCCAAGATGTAAGTATGAATTCTCCCCTCTGGCAGCTACACATTTCCTTGTAAATTTGTTGCGAGAATTTGATGTTAGATCAAGATAACAACTTCCATCTGATAAGTTTGAGTATTCTCATTACCTGTTTGTTGGGCAGTGTGTGGATATTATAGGAAGAACTTATATGTTAATCATATTCGGGAGTCAAAAGGTTAAATAGTGGGGATGCAAGAAGGACCTGTTTCCACAACCTTCCAATAAATGCCTCCTCTTTAAGCTGAAGCTTAGAAAACCACCAGGTTGGTGTTTATTGGAGTGTAGTGCTCAATCAAGGCAATATGGTAACCCCATACTTCATTGTGTATGTGTTTCTAAGTGGGTATTTAATCAGATATATCTACATGTCAATTTGTGTCCTAGAAACATTGATTATTATTATTATTATTATTATTGTTATTATTATTATTATTATTATTATTATTATTATTATTATTATTTCAAAGATCAGGGAAAATGGTGGTAAAATCAATAGATTAGCCTTGGGATTAAGGCCTTTCTTTTGAATTCAGGGGTTACCTATATGAAAGCCTTTCCATTTTTAAAACTTAACACTCTTTTAAAACCTAACACTTTTTAGTACCAAGTTCTGAGAACTAATTTACAAGCAAATGTGTAGCAGCTAGAGGGGAGAATTAACAGTCAGATCTTGGGAGTTAAAGGGTTAACTTAATTTAATTCCTTTTGAAAAAGCAGAACTTGTAAACAATAAATTCTGGAACAAGTTATTTTGAATGAATAATATCATATTATAAAATTCATCACATCAAGAAAAACAACTTTTGTTATCATGGTTATATACTTAGCAAATTATATCCTGACAGTTGCCTTCTTTCCTTTTTGAAGCTTTCAGATAAACAGGATGAGAATAAACCTTCCAAGATGAGGCGTATTGAACCCTTAACAACAGAGGACACCTCTACAACCCAAAAAATAAAGCCATTTACAGCCCTTGGTGAGTGGGCTCAGTATTCCTTTCAATAATGCCTGTCAATTCTTAGATTACCGCTTCCTACACTATTAGGATAACATTTCTGCTTACCCTTAGACTCATTTAACTTCTCCCCATAATGCACATATACATGTATTTTATCCAGATCTATCGCTCTGATGAATGCACTAATTTACATTTTCAACATTGTATTTTATCTTTAGAAACAGTAAACAATTAATAAGAATACTCAAACTTATCAGTTAGAAGTTGTTATCTTAATCTAACCCAGATTCTTGAAACTAATTTACAAAGAAATGTGTAGCAGCTAGAAGAAAGAATTAGGGATTGGATCGTGGGTTAAATGGCTGAAAGACAGATTTTCAATAATTTTGAAATGTAATAGTCAGATCTTTCCAGATATATGATACAAACAATGTTATATTTTTGTGAACATTTTGTTTAGACTGTGGTGCTGGAATTGGTCGTGTCACAAAGAACTTGCTCTTACCATTATTTAACACAGTGGACATGGTGGAGCAAAATGCCGATTTTCTAGAAGAAGCAAAAAATTATCTGGTAAGCAAAATGTACCAAGAAATACAACATAATGTTTTAGGTGGAAATAAGCGATTTTGATATTATTGCCATTTCCATTGTTACCCTGTTAACTAATTGTGCAGAATCTGATTTGTTTCATTCTAGGGAGATAAAAAGGATCGTATTGGACAATTTTATCCTCAAGGTCTGCAGGTGCGAATTTTATGCCTTAACCCCTTTGATCCATAAGATTGACTAGCATCTAATTTTTCTTTACAATATCACCCCTAACTAAAACATTGAGGTCAGGAGAATGAAGGGAAAGATTGCCAACCTAAGAAGCTCTTGATTGTTTAAACAAATTCTCCTTGTCAGTGCCTTGGGAAAAGTATAGAGAACAGTATGGAGAATATGCATACTGAGTTTAGAGTGTGAAGGGATAATAACCTTCTTGATTCATTGGCATGGCTTCAAAAATTTCTTGTGGTCATGCAGTAGGAATATTTTGAATTATGATGAGAAAAATGCACCATCTTTTGCAGGATTTTAAACCTGAACCAGGACGCTACAGTATCATTTGGTGTCAGTGGGTACTCGGGCATTTGACAGATGGCGAGTATTATTCAATAATATGCAAGTTATATTTATAGATTTTCATCCCATCATTGTTGTGGTCATTGGTGCATGGCCATTGTCATGTGGCTATTGTCATATGAACATGGTTGAGTGTCACCACTGAGAAAGAACCGTAACCATTTGTCATCTACCTGTGCTTGAGAGTTTGTCAGTATATGTTACATTTCATTTCCTTTCTTTTCATTCTAGATTCTAGGTCGTTCTGGGTGAAAATGCATGGCAATGTTCTTAAGTAAAACAAATAAATATGAAATTATGTTACAGTATACGTAGGGTTAGGTTTTTGAGAGTTACAAGGGAACCGTATTGCAACAAAACTCTCACCCTCCTTTGAAGCAAGGCTTCGAGCGTGATTTCACAAATTAACCAATCACGTCAAAGAGCTTTAACCTCGACATTGGTTAACTGACGTGGACATTTTTCGCGTATTTTCAGTTTGTTTTCGCAGAGTTTTAGTTGTTTTTGAGCTTTCGTTTCGTAAATTTGTTACCCCTTTGTTTGGAATGTTAAGAAGTTTCGGAGTTTTTAATTTTAACCAAATGTAGGGCTTCATTTAACAAGTTTAATACATATTTTCTACAATATTTGGACTCTAGCCTCTTTTTTCGTAAATTGATTGTTTTACACTCTCTTTCATCTGCCGTCTAGAGACCATTGGAGGGCAACTTTGGTCAGGGCTGATGGTGCCATTTGGTTAGCTTATGACCACTCCATCTCCATCTTCTATGCTGAAGAGGCCAAAACAAAATTCAATTTATAAATGTTATAAAATGATTTTTAAGGAGTTATTGTAATCAAAGCATATTGGTTCCTTTCTTGTTTACCAGATGATTTTGTGGATTTTTTCAAGCAATGTAAGTCAGGACTCATGCCAGGTGGTTTAATATGCGTCAAGGAAAATGTCACAAAGGGTGGGGTTGACTTGGATGCTCAAGACAGCAGTGTAACCAGGTACCATAAAAGAGTTGTAGCTAAGAAATTAGGCTTCCGGCTTAAATTCTAAAAGAGGCTGTTGCTAAGCTTCTTGTTCACAAAGCAGTGGACGCCAGAAACGGAAAGAGGTCATGCACGATTCACGAGTGCTCAAAGGGATTTTTTTTTTCAATTTTTCCCATTTGTTACTGTCACTAATGCTCAGGTTAATCAGGCATATATTTCAATCCTTTCAACTAGACGATAGCGCTCGATATTGAAGGATTGGAAATGTGTATCCTCAGAAGTGCCCATTGTGTTTTACATAGCGATCAAAAATCCAGCCGGCAATTGCCACTTTTTCATTGAGTAAATTTCGCAAGCAGATGGCACTCAGCTACAATATGTGGCAAAAGTCTTTGCTTTTGCATGCAAAATTGAGTTTAGGATCTCGGTGCAAAAGCCACATTTTCAAATAATTCGTGATTTTTATCTTTTCCCCTATTTCAGGTCTGATGAAAAGCTCAGAGAATTGTTCTCAAAGTCTTCACTGACTGTGATCAAGGACGAAGTACAGACGAACTTTCCCACAGAACTCTATGTTGTAAAAATGTAAGTTGTCTAGTCAATTCTGAGGTTATCTATAACTGTGCTCTCAGAATTGTAATATCACAATCTGTCTGGTTGGTGTGAAGTATTCACGGTGGTAGTGCCTGTACTTGAATTTTCTGCATATTTGAAGACATTTCAAAACACGAGCAGTGCTACATGTCGGAGTGATGGATATGAAATTTATCTGGTTTCTGGAGCATACTCAGTCTTAAATTATGTTTCCTTTTTCTTGCACTAACACAGTATATTTTACGTTACAGGTATGCCTTAAGACCAAATGTCTGATACCAAGTTAGCCTTCTAGCGTTTATCTCCAAGAAGTCATAACTGCGCAATGAGTCCAAAACCAGTTGGAGACCAACGAAAGATCTGAATTACGACAACAAATTAGCACTCTCTGGCTCATAAATTTGATTACTCTCATCACCAACTTGCTTGATAATGTAGTGAAATCGTTGCGAGAAATTACGTATTTATCTTCTCTATGAAAAGGGCTAACAGCCATTAACACAATGCCAGATAGGTTTTTACTTGATCGTGTTGTTTGATCCCCCGGGTCAGGGTAGTCTTAAAAAGGTCTGTTGTTGGGAGTAGCGACGGACTATTGGACAACCTGAGTGGAAGGCATCATCAGAGTCAGGATATACTCATGAGTTCTGTTCAGGTTGTCAAAACATCAGTCAACGCACCAACAACAATTTTTTCTAGTTCTATCACTTACACAGTCAGTCTTCACTGACTGTTAGTCTTGGGCTCAAGCTTGTCGCTTCGTGTTTGAGCTGGTTTTTCCTATGTTCTCTATTTTTATTGTACATATGGAGTTGAATCCAAGAGCGAAGAGTTTTTTTTAATAAGTTGTTAATATTCACAGTCCATACGGTTTTGAAATGCAGCAAATAGTTATGTATTGATTTATTACTAAACCTGCAAGTAATATTTGTCTGATTGGATATCTTTTAACAGTGGTTGGTTGGGTTGGAAAGAGTTGGTGAAAACAGAGTAAGTCCCCAGCCCTCACAGATAATTTTATGGGAGAGATGTTCCTAATAGGATAGGAAAGACTAGGATGATTAGCGCGACTCTTCAAGGTTATCACTCAGAGATCATTCCGTTGGTTTTCAATATTCTTTTTTATTTTCAATAAAGCCCTTTTCGATTGAGTGTCGTAAAATCAAAACCAAAGTTATTACAACAGCTTATCAGAACACTGGAAAATATCACAAGGAGCCAATGAGAACTCAAGAATTTAATGTGACATATGAAGTCGGCTTTAAACGCGGGAAAGTGGGAACGATCTAGTCATGAATGGTATCAGGCCTCCATCTGATTGGCCAGACCAATCACAAGACGTAGCGAGCGAAACCAATGCAATCCAAGACCAATCCTAACTTCCTTATGGTGCTCGATGGAAAATTACATAACTTGATACTCAAAAGAAGTCTATTATTGTAAATATGTACAGGTGTTTATTGGAAACCGAAATGCCTAATATAATTCCAGAGTTAGATTTCTACGTTTTTCTTATCTTTAATCGCGGTACGACCTGTTGGATGATTCAAATACATTCTGCTATAATAGTCTTTTTGTACGTAGTCTTAGAGTGCAATGGTATTTAACGAGACACATTTAGGGCGAAAGCGAGGAACGCCATTGTGATAGCATAACTTTACAGAACTTATTAGGCTTGGTAACCTTTCACGAGATTTTGGCGGGAAATTATGGCTAGTTTAATGCACGCGGCATAGTGTGGCGCGAAACAACGAGAATCATTTTCGCATGCGTCGCGTTTTGGCGGGAAATTTCATGCAGTACAAACGCTGCTTAAAACTGCTCACTGATATCAAAAAGGTCTGAAGAGTAAGCGAATCTTTAAGTCAATCACTTTTCTATTACTGCTGTATTCCTACTTGTATTCTTTCAACTATGAATAGAAGTTTTTCTCGGATTTATGGCCCAAGCGCGAACGAAATCCGAGCGTAAAAAAAGGGGTTCTGTAACTTACAGTACAGACCTCGAACTCGGAATGAGGTATGAGTAGCAGCTAATCGCAAATATGAATGATTGTTACAATATCAAAGATTAACTTACACAAACAGGAATTTAACAACTAATAATTCCTTAACTTTTTCGCTCGGTGAGTAACTGTAAAGCGTTTGACATAGGCAGTTGCTGTGTTTTGTTCAATTTTTGTTTATTTTTTAATAATGATGTATCAGCGCTGTTTAAGGGGAAATCAGATTTATCCAAATTTCAAAGAGTGTTTGGATTTTTATCGTTAACTTCTGGTATTACATAATGTTAAGAGTGAACCATGGGATGATACCCAAATAGATAATTGCCAAAAAAAAAGAAAGGAAATTGGTTTCAAATGACTCAAATCATTCCAAGCCGGGGAAGAGTTAAACGAATTGTTGAAAGATGGGTCATCAAGATGAAAACAAGCTAACGAGTGCAAATTTAAATTTCTCAGAATAAAAGGTACTATTGGAGAAAAATGAGTGAAGGAGAAAGAGAGCTTCAAAAAGTAATTTAAATTATGTTTAATCGGTTTTAAGCATGTGGTTATGTTTTGGAACCATTTAGATCATGTGTGGGTGTTTAATACATTATATAAATATCTTCTACTTGACTTTTGTACAAAGCGCCGTGAGCCGGCCAGCAGGCCGAAGGCTGCTGTTTTAAGATATCAGATTGTTTCAAATGTAATTTATGCGTAATGAAAGGAAGTGACAGAGAAAAAAACTAAAATCAAAAGAACCAATTAAGACAAACTTATCTACTTGGAATCACATGGGAGAAAAACGTCATATTCACAGGACACAGACTAAAATGCAGTTAGCACTCTCTCATAACAAACAGATGGAAGATTTCTTTCGCACTGTTAACTTCTTGCAGAAGACATAAAGAAAGGTCGAAGAGTGACTGAAAAGATGAATTCCACCCTGAAGCCTCAAGAAAGCATGAATGCAAAGTGCATAGGGTTTCTTTTCATTGGAAATGTACCCAAGCAGATATCTGCTATACCTTACGCTATTTTGGTTGTTAATATACTGATCTTGGTATTAACTTTTCCTTTTACTGCTGTACTGAACACGCTGGTGATGTTCGCTGTGGGGAAGAAAGCGCAACTACGAACCGTATCCAACGTTGCCCTGGCGTGTTTATCAGCTACTGATGCAATGGTTGGAATCTTTGTTCAGCCTCTGTGCATATATATAGAAATATCATCATTATTAAAACGAGAACTATCTGGTAAAATCGGCAGCTGTTCAACACAAATCGTAGCCAAATATTCGATCAACTTTTTCTGCGCTTCCTCGCTCGTCCACATAGCGTTAATGACAGCAGAGCGCTACATGGCCATCAAACATACCTATAATCACAGCAAAGTCTTCACCATAACCCGTGTGTTGATGGCCTCCACGGCAGCATGGATTATCACAGCAACTGCACATGTCTTGTTATATATCGACCAGAGTGTATTCAATCTCATCACGTCAGCTTTCGTGGGAGCAATTTTAGTATTCATAATCTTCTCCACTGTTATGGTATATCTTGAGAGTCGTCGACACGCGAAGCAAATCGCAGAACAGCAAGTTTCATTGGAGGCCAGGGAAAAGTTCTTAAAAGAGAAAAAAGCCCTAAAAGTATCCACTACAATTGTGTTCATTTTAATTATTTGTTATTTACCGATAATTACTTTAAGAGTGATCAATTTCGCTTTTGGCGTCGACAAAATATCTTCTATCTCAATACATGTAATTTTTGTCTCTTCTGTTTCGTTAGCGCTTATGAATTCCTTTCTTAATCCGCTTATTTACTCAGTCAGATTACGACAATTTCGCGTTGCAATTATTGAAATAATTCACTAGAGCCAAAAATCCGGGTTGTCAACATTAGGTCTAACCCAAACCGAGGTTTTACGCAGCCAGTGGTCTTTGGGTATCCACTACGGGTTGTTTTATTAAATGTCCTTCCACTGCTAGATTTGGGCCCTCGACGTCATTCACAAAAGTATATGTTTAGATAAAAGATTCCGCCAAATTTAAGATAGCTTAGAACGCAGTTTTGTTAACAACGGTTAATAATTTTTTGCTAACCGGCCCCAAGAGTTTTAAGAGAGAACACTCGGATTGGTCAGCATTATCAGAGTCAGAAAGATGGAAAGTGTGGTCTATTACCTTCATGCATATGAAAATTAGCTTAAATGTATCACCGAAGGAAGAGAAGTGTTTTCATTCATACTGAAAGAGCATGCTAATTATTCGCGCTATCTCTATTAAAGTATGCAATTTCTTAAAGCTCAATAAATAAACAAAGATTGTCTGGATTTTGTGTTTTAACGCTTTATTTTATTTACTTTCTTAAACTTCAAAGTAACGTTTTGGGTAATGTTTACATTGTAGATACTTTATCTTAAGAAGTAAGAAAATTAGAAAAACTGCAAGTCACGTTTTTCAGTTCAATTAGGTGCATGTTGCGTTCCTATGAAAAACAAAAGGTGTTAATTGAAAGTGTCGACAAAGAATAAGCTTCCATCCTGTTAAATGGTCAAAACTGTTGAGCCTTTAATAAAAGTCTTCCTCTATAGGGATAGCCAGCGTAATTTACATGCAACAGTCGAACCTGTATCAAGCGCCAACGTATTAAGCGGTCCCTTGTCAAAGTCCTGAAATTAGTTTTCTTTTTATTCTCTATTAAGCGATCACCTCTCTACAGCGGTCGCGATTACCCTTTACTAAGTCTCAACGGCCATTTCTTATTGTCCTAGATCTGTATCAAACGGTCACTGAAAGCGAGTCCACATAAATAAAGCTAAGAATAATCTCTTAAGTGTAGTTTTTAATCCATGTTTCTCACTTAAAATCAAAGTAAGTGGTATTTTCGAGCGAGGTTCTGTACACGAAGTGATAAATTATGGCATAAAGTAGCAATGTTTATCCGCCAATAAACAAAAAAAAGCCAGTAATTTTTTTTCTGTGATACCGTATCGAAACAGGAATTGTACAGCAGGAATTTTTAAACTTTTTCACACGAAAAGTTATTTATAAAGTGTTTGATTTATGCCAATGGAAAATGCAAGCGAATTGTCAATTGTGCACTCGTTATTTTGCCTTTATTTTAAGCATCCATTTGTCGACGGTTTATCCAACCCTTCGTTTTTAAAACGATTTAAGTCTTTACACACCAATCCTCTTATTTTTTTTCCTAATTAGTTACTCGTTAAACGTCACATGAATCAGTCCAAACCCTATTTATTAGAAATGGTAGCCAATTAACGAGAAGAGCTATGGTATACTATGAGGTGTTTTTAGATGAAAATTAATACAATCAATGGAAATGACGCAAGTGAAACGCTCATTCATAAAAACACTTCTAGACAAGCTCAGAAAGCTCAGAAACACATGGGAGAAAAACATCATATTCACATGGCACGGAAGAAAATGCAGTTAGCTCTCTCATAACAAACAGATGGAAGATTCCCGTTCTCGTCACTAAGAAACTGCTAAAGTGCCGAAGACAAAAGGGAAGCGACCGAGAGGATGAATTCCAGCCTGAAACTTCAAGGAACCATGCCTGCAGATTGCAAAGGCTTTCTTTTCATTGGCGATGTACCAAAGCAATTTTCCCCCTTCCTAACGCCATTTTAATCATCAATATAGTAATGATAGTGGTAACTTTTCCTTATACTGTTGTAGTGAACGCAGGGCCTGAACGCACTGGTGATGTTCGTTGTGGAGAAGATAGCGCAACTATAAACCTTATATAACGTAGCCCTGGCCTGCTTATCAGCCACTGATGCAATGGTTGGAATCCTTTTTCAGCCTCCGTGCTTATATATTGAAGTATTAGCTTTATTATCAAAAGAATTATTAAGTAAAATCGACAGCTGTCCTTTACAGGACGTGGCCAAGTATTCTATTAACTTTTTCTGTTTTCCTTCGCTGACCCATTTGGTGTTGATTACTGCTGAACGGTACGTATCCATCAAATATATCTACAGTCACAGCCAAACCCTAACCAAAACACGTGTGTTAATGGCCTCAGCTTCAGCGTGGATTTTCGCAGCAGCTCCACACGCCATACTGCATATCGACCAGCTCAGAGTGTTTTCAACCCAATCACAGACAGGATCCTGGCTAGAACCCGAACCACATACCCTCTAAGTGTTCTTAAATATTTGCGCTCTAAGTGATTTTTTTCACTGCCAAATTCATTGATCTAAAAATCTTCCCACCCCTCCTTGATAGTTGGAAAACACGAATTGGAATCCGAAGGAAAATTACCGGAAGTCGTTTTTTCAGACTTTCCCAGCATGCAGCATTACCGGAAGTTCAGGAGGATTCCGCGCACGCGTGTTACCAACTGCAATAGAAAATTTTGTAATGGCGGACGTCCTAACCCGTTGGTGGTTACACAGAGAAAGCTGAGGATAAATAGCTTAATCCGTGTTAGATCGACGAACACTTGGACTTGTGTCCGAACGTAGGATTTTTGCGCAGGGCTGCGTGAACATTTTAAAGAGAGAAGCGCAGAAGATGTCGATAATGGAAGGGACTTTGTGGAAATGGACGAACTATCTAAGTGGTTTGTAATATTTTATTTCACATCTCTGCTCTTTTGTTGTTGTTTAGATTTTGTTCCGTGTTGTAACTGAATTTTATAAGCGTGATCTTGGTCGCTTCTCTTTCCGACTTATGTAAACTTTGCCTTTTTTGTCAACATTCAGACGTATTTGTAAAGAATTTTTTTCGAAGTGATAAGTTACTACGAAACGATGCGTTGATTTGTGGTTTTCCTATTTCATAGTAGAACGGCTTTCCTTTAAAATATTGCGTTTGTAGATAGACGTATACTTAATATTTCGGTGGCTTTTCAGAAGACAATGTCATCAGAAATTGTTTATTTCTGTTAAGACTGAGACTTCCTTAAGACACATGGGAGAAATTCGCGCGGTTTTGATTAGCGAAATAATTTACCCGGACATGATAACTTATTTAACATTACGGAAGAATCAAACAAAGAAATTCATTATTCATTAATTTACGCCCGGAACTACTTCACTTGCCGAGTCATAGATTAAGCGGTTTAGTGAATTTATTTGTTGATTTAATGTAGTGTGTACTGTATTTACCACACTCTCTGGGTGGTTATTGTGTTAAATGAAAATGTCCGTGCTGTTGGGAACTTACACGAAAGCACGGAAACACAACATGGCAATCGGAAACGGTTATTAAATTTCAGTTTTGTTGAAAGGATCTATTTGAAATCCTTTGTCAAAGGCCAACCATGTTATCATTTTCCTGGATGCCAGAAATAACGTATTAATGACAGTGTTTTAGCTGTTTTACAGCTACAAATGTATGTTGTCCTTAATTGAGTATTATTTGCCCAGCAATAAGCTTTTTTCTGTGCAACGGTACTTGTAGCTACTGCTATTTTGCTTTCACTGTGGAAGATCAAATTTATAGATCAAAAGAACCTCTTTCCTCAAAGGGGACTCAGAATTTTTCCTTTGTCCCACGCTTGTGACAAGGTGAAAATCATCTTTCTCTATTTCTTTACTGAGCTTAATTACTTACCATCTTTCTTACTCTATTAATCCTTTCACTCCCAAGATCTAATTAGTAATTCTCCTTACTATCTGCCATACTATTCTTATGATGTTAGTTCAGAGAATTTGGTAATGGATCAACTAATAATCCCATGATTGATATTCTTCTCTATTCTCATCACCTGCCTGCTTGATATTGTATTGATATTGTAAGGAGAAATTCTGTCTTGGTCACTTATGGGAGTGAAAGGGTTAACAAAACCTCTTTCCTGTTGACGTTCTTGCCTTCCAGTTATGGTGTGATGCTGATTTTCATAAAATGCTTAGTTCTTTTTTCTTCACTCACTCAACTAAGGAAAAGTAAAGAGTAGGTCTTTTGGCAGTTTTATAAGTGAACTCCCATAAGTGACCAAGGAAGAATTTCTTCTTACAATATATAAATCTATTGTCTAAAGTTAGACACTAATATCTAAAATTAGACAGTTGTGTCTAAAATTGACCACTTGTTTCTAAAATTGACCACTTGTTTCTAAAATTGACCACTTGTTTCTAAAATCAGACTCTACTGTCTAAAATGTGACACTAGTTTCTTTAAACAGATGGTCATGTCTATGTTTGGTGTGAAATATCACTGAATATTTTCACGAGCTGTACTGTATTTTGACAAGCCCATAGGACGTCAATACAATCAGTGAGTAAAAATACTCAGAGATACCACACATGAAAACATCCAATGAGTTATTTGTTATCCAACTGTTTTTTTTATGGGGGACAAGTTTCTAAAGAAACTGTGGTGCTGCGTCAGTGGGAGAGGATAATAGTGTAATTTAGAGTTATCAACTGAGTTGAAAACGTAAATTGGCCCCCTTAAAAGATTTGAAGGCTGATGTTTCAAGTATTAGCCCTTTGTCAGAGCGATTGGCAATTGGTCAAACTATTTACAGTAGCCAATTTACATTTTTAACTCAGTTGATAACACTTAATTACCCCGTTTTATTATGAGAACATTTTTTTAAGGAAGAAAAGCAACTAGATAGATATATCACTAATTCTCCCAACTGGTAATCGCATGATTCTTATATTGCTGTTTGTGAGAATTTCGTTTTGTAAGAGTAAAGTTAATTTCTTACACAGGAACACAACACACTGACCTGGCCAGGTCTTAAACTCTAACCTTTCCACTAGTGTTCAGCGAGATATTTATAGGCCTATGCATCTCCCACACATATTTATTGGTTATTATGAATACTTATTGAATTATTTAGAAAGAGTGGTTTTGTGGTTTTATTAATTATGTTTTTATGCTCTTTCAGGTTGGCAGCCCAGGTGGTTTGTCCTAGAAGTTGGAGTGTTGGCGTATTACAAATCTCAGGAAGAGGTTGGGCTTGGAAGCAGAGGATCAGTGAAAATGGCTTGTTGTGAAATTTCAGGTAAATCATTAACTTACAAACCGTTAAGATATATTGAAGTTCACAAGGCAACCAGGTGGACAATCAGACATGGTTTGGTGCTACTTTGGTTTAAAGATTTACTTCTGAGTTACACTCATTAAATCTCTAACCCTTTAACTCCCAAGATCACATTAGCAATTCTTCTTAGTGTCTGCCATACAGTTCTTGTGATGTTAGTTTGGAGAATTTGGTATTGGATCATCTTATCCCCTAATTGGTATTCTTTATTCTTGTCACTTTTCTGTTTGATATTGTATTGATAATGTAAGGAGAAATTCTATCTTGGTCACTCATGGGAGTTGTAGGGTTAAACCAGAGTAACATCAAACCATGTCTAGAGACAGTTACTTAGAGTGTGTGGCACAAAAGAAAGGGCTCTAAAGTCAGTGTTTAACTTATCCACCCTGCCTTGACATAGCTCGTTAGTATTTAAGCTGTGCACCTCACCTTGATATAGCTCCTCAGCTGGCTCTGTCCTTTGAATTTCTCTCCCAAAAGTGCTAAAATTAGTAAAGATTGCAAAATGACATGAGAATTCATTCTTGCTTTCAGGTGCATATATCACAATTTAAATGATAAGCTGATTGATACATGAATTGTGATTGAAGGACAGACTTAAAAATGATGTCACCATTGACAACATTTGGGTGTTTTATCATATTAAACAAATGGAGTCCATGTTGCCATGGGTCTGTATGGTAATATATCACAGAAGATGCCAAATTCTGGTAAGAACTGGTAGCTTTCCCCTCATATGCCACCTTTTTGTTCTTACCACATTTTTCATGTCATCTGTGATCTATTACTGAAAAGACTGCATGGCAAAATTGAATCCATTCGTGAAGTCTAAGGATGAGTAGAGTTCAAAAGTTGTATGAAGTATAACCAAAAGGAATACTTTTTTTTGCAAAGTTCACAATCATTATTAAAGAATAACATCATGCATGATCTGAAGTTGAGTATACTCTGATCCCCATGCAGTACATGTAAATAATGAAACAAAACCATGTGTTTAGTACATCCTACAGATGCTGTTCGAATTGACCTGAAGATTCCCCCGGACCAATACATTTACCTTAGGGCTGCCACACCAGCTGAACGACAACAGTGGTTAGTTGCATTGGGAACAGCCAAAGCATGTTTGACAACAATGAAACATAACGGCCACTCAGAAGTTCCTGGAGAATGTAAGAAATTGTTTTAGATACACCTTTAGTGTGCCTCATCTGTTGTGATTTAATTTTTCCCTTGTTTCAAATTTTATTGTCCCTATGGTAGACATGTTGTTCAATGTGATTTTGTAGATCAATGAACGTTTAATCATATGTCTCAGAATGTAGGGTCAGGCTATTACCCATAATTGTATTGACTGCAATGTTTCAACTGATATACTGCTAGTCTTCGTCAGGCAACAAGGTCAAAGGTTTAGTGTGCATCACATTTATAGCACCTTGGTTTGCTGTTATTGGTGTGTTTTAGTGCACTATAATTGGTGTATGTCAATCCTCATTATTATTCCAACTGCTAGATGTTGTTCCCTCATAGGTCTGTTCAGTGTTTGATTGTTTTGATGGCTGTTACACTTTTGTGTTGTCTCTATTAAAGTTATTGGGATGAAGTCTTACAGGAGACAAATGATAGAACATTCACTTATCATTCTCCATATTAGTCATTCTGAGCAATGCCTTTTGTTAACAGCCATGAGCCAGTTAAAGGAGAAGATGCAAGAGCTGAACATGTATCGCAGTTTACTACTGCAACAAATCAGCACCATTAAGATGCTCTGCAGCAATAAAGAGGACAACCAGGTACTGAAATAACACCCTGCAAATCCTGCCTTTGAAGATGCATTTGATGATTGAATGACTAGCATCTAATTTCTCCCTACTTTATTAAACATTAAGGACACAAGAATATTGGATATGATAGTCAACTAAAGGAGCTCTTGATTATTCAACAAATTCTCCTTGTCCGTGACATAGGAAATATATAGAAAATGGTGGTGGGAATTTGCATACTGATATAGGGATGTAAAGGGTTGCACAATGACATGTAATTGTGTTTCTTATCCAAAAATCTCTTGAAGCATTACTTAATATTTTTTTTGGTTATTTTTGTTAAGGAATTTGGAGAAGCGGCAACCATGCTATCTGCAACTTGTGATGAATTTCTCAAAAACATTTGTGACTGTATGGATTTAGCGGAAAGTAACTTTGGTGAGCTATTATTTCACATCATTTTCATTACAAGCCTGATTTTCATTAACATTGGAAGCACAAACACAAGAACAAGTACAACAGCTCTTATTTCACCCTGAAAACAGCCTTGATTCAAGCATAAACATAAGTGCAAGTGCAAGGACAAAGATCAAAAGTTAACATTTTTGTGTACTGGTGGTTGTGCTTGTCGATGTTTGCTTTTACCCTAGCATATTTACCCTATGCTGGTGTTTGTGTTTGTGGTTGTGATTGCATTGCTAGTGCAAACTGAAGAAAGTTCTCAATTAGTTTTTCTTTAATCACATACTACTAACAGTAGCAGAGCATTTGCTGGGCCCACTGGGCTGCTCGCTGGTGAATAGTGCTGCTATTCCCTTCCATGCTAGCCAATCAGCATGCATGAAAAGCTCTATTTGTTTATTTGGTTTGTGCTAATAGAAAATATTTCATTTGTATTGCTGAGTTGTCTGTGATAAAAGTTGTTCATTTTTCCAGGGAGCTCCTCATCTTCACCATCTTCACCATCAACTTCCATGAATAAGGTGTGACATAAACATTAAGTGAGAGAGGATCAATGTCAGTATCTGAGCTATTGTGCACCTACCCCTTCCCTAACCCAACAACAGTCAACTGATAACAACTAAGGGTTAATGTAGGGGCAGAGGAGGGATGGGTGAGTGGGTCATTGCTCAGATACTGAAATTGATAGGTGAATGACTAAAAAATAAATAGAAAAGAAATTTGTTTTAAAGCTGAAAATGTTCATTTACCAAGATGCTAGTTTACACTCAATTTGGATCAAACAGTAGGTCCTGTCCTTAAATAATTTTTTAATAATTGTGAACAACTTTAAAATTCTTTTTTGGCAAGGATCCAGACTTTTTGTAGAAAGTAAGTGAGGTTAGGTAATGATAGTGATAGTGAATGAGTGATTGGAATAACTGAATTCATCTTTTTGATAACAAGACGCCTGGAGGCATTAACGTGAGATACGTTGGTCGTTGTCTACAGTCACTCTGGTTTTTACGTGAAAAATGATAAATTTAATGTTGATTCTTCAAAGTACAGGAATGACATCGAAAAATAAAGTTAGTTCAATGAAAAAATTATCCTTAAATTTAAGTCATTAATTGATATTGTAAGGAGAAATTCTGTCTCGGGGATATTATATGTTATATGCAATCACCTCTCCAAAAATTAATCCCAACCAACAAGGCGTAACTTCAGTGAGAAGCACAAGCACGAGGCTAATTTTCATATCTGACTGCAACGACGCTGAAGCGAATTCCCAACGTGGTCTGCCACAAGCATCCCACATAATTAAACTGATACATGTTTTTATTATATTTTCTAATCTCTAGACTTTGACATCAACAAAGCACAGTACTTTTCAAAAACAATTACTCCATGATGGTCATAGGTAAGACCACTTTGTAAGAGTATTAACATCTTACTTCTCTTTACAGTATCACTGTTGACTAAAGCGTTAAGGGTGTGAGAATATGGAAAATGATCACCAGCTCGAAATCGTTGAACCAAATTCTTCATATCAGTACTACTGGAAATGTATAGAGAACAGTATGGAAAATATGTTTTAGTTCGAAATATCAGTTCTTCACAGTGACTGTGATACATTTATTATGATTTAAGCTCTGAGATTTTGGTGTTAATCCGCAACAATATCCGCAAACTGTTTTTTTTAGAACGTCCTAGTAAAATGATAACCATATACGTGAAAAATTACGCGCATCTGATCGGCTGAGAACGAGTTCGCATTAACATGAGTGCAAAGTACAAGAAGCGCGCGCACGCTTTCAAAATTTCGTCTGTCTGGAGTTTCGGAGATGTTTTTTTGTACATTATTAACAAGTGGTAACTTGATTTCTCTTGCAATTTGGTGTAAATCTTTCAAAGACTACAAATTGCACTTGCTCTACTGGCACATGCAAGTTTGGTGTCTTTGAAAAATTTACTGGTGCTTATCACACCAAATTGCTAGAGAAATCATGTTATTACATATACATATTTTCATCTTACAGGTCTGCATCCCCTCCACCATCGCCAACTCCAAGTGTTGCCAGTTCATTTAGTTCTACTTACAATGGTAAGTAACGACCCTGATTCCACAAATTCCCTATGGTTTGGAGACCACAGCTACCACAGCGGTCAAACGTCGAGCATGCGCAAGGGGATAAATCTTGCCCGGCCGCTCGCCAATTTCCCGCGCAAAATTTTTAAGGAAAACCAACGAAGCATCTTGCAAATGTTACAAGAACTCTGTTCAAGGAAGTGGGAAGAAGAAAAACGAGAAACTTTTAAAACACGAAGTTTTTCTAATGCGTGTATCCTGCTAATGAACCATTTTTATTTCGAACTTGCACACCTTGACTTACTAGCTTGTGTGGCTGTTTATGACCCTTGTTACACAATTTCGTTTTGACAGGCTGAGAGAACGCTTCATAGTCAGTGCAACACCGGCACATGCGCAGATGTATGACCACTGAGTTGATTTTTATGTCACTAACGTCAGAAATACAAAGCTGTTTTTTTATTCCAGGACCACCAAGCGTCACAACCGTAAGCGACCAATCAGTTCACAGCGATAGAATGACGTCATCAGTTACCAAGCAGCTCACGACCCAGACTCCTAACCAAGTGGTTGGGAACCGTTCTTCAACAAATTCCTCTGAGCATAATGATCGCAGGCACGTGCAAGCTAGCGGAGTGTCGGCCAACCCCACCCTCAATCATCACAAGGCGAAGTATATTGAATTGTCTCGGAATTCCCTCGATTCACAGTCGTCGACTTCAAATTCAGAGGAAGTTAAGGAGGAACCTTTAACATTCTTCACTAGTGTGCAATTTAGGTAAATTTGAGGGAAGTAAGCATTGTGTTGAATTTAACTTGGTTAAAATGCTTTTGAAAATAGCCACCTTGACGTCTCTTACAACATTATTTTTCTGCTTATTATTTTGTAGATTTGAGAACATTCAGTTAGGACCAGACAATGGTATTCCCACTAAACTTTTTCTATCGTCCTGTTCGTGTATCCTACCGTTTCTCGGTAAGTAGCAACACCCTTTGAAATTCTCACCACATAGGGAATTTTTGGTGAAAGGCTTGTGTAACTGAAATAATTTTGCCTTCTATACCATAATAAAACACTATTTAAGGATACCGGTACGTTGGAACCTGGGGTTATCCTTGGCTTTCCTCTTCAATGAGAGAATCAAACCCTTTTTTTTCTTTCCATGCTCGTGAGAAGTGCTTGACATCTTGCATAAAGTTGGTAGATAACCTTTTACCCTCTAAGAGTGACTAGCATCTAGTTTCTCCTTACAATATCACCCCTGAATCGCACACGAAGGTCTTGAGAATAAAGGATATGATCAGTAACTTAAAAAGCTCTTGATTGTGAAACAAATTCTCCTGGACAGTTCCTTAGGAAATACATAGAAACAGTATGGAGAATGTGTATACTGATATTAGGGTGTAAAGGGCTAAAGAATAAGCTCGTGAACGTTGGACATGGGACTTTGGAGCGTGTAAACACACTACGAAGCGACAATGTTCACATGAAATGGCTTCAGCTTTTCATATAAAGTTGCATCTGTAAAAAGGAACGACAAGATATACTTTTGCTACGGACTTCCCCTTTTGTAGAATGGTTGATCGTTGGTTGCTGTCGTAGCGTAAACCTAGAGCCAATTCATAAACAATAAAACAATACAGTGCATGTTGGCAAATATGTTTTAGGCTCAACCCTCTGTCATTTAAGCCCACTCACGCGAGCGGGCTTAAGTACTCTTCAGCCCACCAACATCTCCATTTTAGCCCGCAAAATGCGTCACAATGCCGGATGAAGTGATGATAATTTGTACTAATTGTTGTGTTTTTTCAGATGTTCTTGGATCAACTGCATTTGCTCCTGTTAAACTGGATATCAGTGGGAATATAAAAGTAGGGATTTGAAACAAAGCTTTGTCACTTATTTTATGGTGGCCATCTATAAGTTTATTTTCGTCAAAACATATTAGGCCAACTGCGTATGTGTGAAGTGTGAAATAAGCTTACTAATCACATCGTAGCATACTAGTTTTCAACCAATCAAAATAAAGGGAAATACCACAAGGTGCGAGTGACAACACAAAGTTAACAGACTACGTTTAGCGCGGGAAAACGCGGATGGCAAAGTCTGTTAATTTCAGTTTTGCATCTGATCAGTTAAAAGGATAGCGTGAGTTTTCTAGACCAATCAGAGCGTAGTGCCATAATAACCAATGCAGTCCCGAGTTATTTTCGATACTCAGATGAAAGTTGCTTTACTAAGTTATCTAACCAAATTTTGTATCAATCTATTGCAGAAACTCGAAGCTAAACACGATACGGACCCGAAAGCGTTTGTCACGCTGCAAAATATTGTTTACCAAGAACTCAAAAGCAACACGTGTACGGTGAAAAACTCAGCTACGGACGCGTTACTATGGTTGAAAAGGTGAGTAAAATAAAAACTCTTCATTTAGTCAGGAAATTACTTGGAAAAGTTTTGGTTGACAGTGAAGTTTTTCGCTGTGTTATTGTGTCTAAATGATCAAAGGTGGCGTCAAACCGTTAAAGTAAGGATGTCTATCTGAAGCGCTTTTTGCAGATGAAATTTTACCGTAGACAATTTTTTTGCCAAATATTTACGGTTAACGGTTATTTACCGCTTAGTACTGGTTGCCCTGCGTCATTCACAAGATGTGAATACTTGTGTAAGATGAGTCTCTTACGTCGTCCTATTAAAAATCTATTTCAGAGCTTTAGAGTTTATGCAAGTGTTTCTCGCTGAAGTTGTTCGAGGAGAAAAAGATCTCGCTGTAGCGGCAGGTAAGGTTTTTTTTTTAAATTTCATCCACATTTCATGTAAATAAAGGCCGAAAATGACTGATAACTTCTCTCCAATTGTTTCATTGGCTCACCTTCGTTTATTCCCGAGTGAACCTCGTTGAGTGTCAATTACCAAATAACGTCAACGACCAATCCACCAAGAATATAGGAAATCATCACCAACTTAAGTAGCTCTCGATTGTTAAACAAATTCTCCTTGTCAGCACCTTAGGAAATGTATAGAGAACAGTATGGAGAATATGCATACTGATGTCAGGATATAAAGGGTTAAGCGCGAGGGAATTACGAATAGTTTTAGTTTTGCATCTAATCGAGAATTTGAGACGAGTTTGTACCAATCAAGAGAGAAGTGAACGGAAAACCAAAAGAATGTAGCCCTGTATATCTTGCGACACCCAACTGTAAATTGCCCCAGTCCTTCGCCGTGATCAACTGGAGTGTTATTAGCAGTTTCGGTCGCGGTCAAGCGCCTTTCCAACTGAACCTTCTATAGAGGTCCTTGGTAATTTACTGTGCAGTCGTTCAATGTTTTATTCCACGGGTTAGAGTTTAATTAAAAGTTACTTCTCAGGTACGGCTTACGGCAAGACGCTCAGAAGATATCATGGTTGGGTCGTTAGAGGGGTTTTCGCTGTAAGTATAAGAAGATTTAATATCGTAAGACTTTTGACATTTTTTTTTAATTTCTGAAATCATCACGAAGGTTGGATTATGGCTTGATCATTCTACGTGATTTATTTGTAGTTGGCAGTTAAAGCAGTGCCATACAGATCGGATTTTCTTACAGCTCTTGCGACCACTGAAAAGGGCTTGGCCACTCACAAGGATGTCATACGGGACATGAAGATGTGCGTTGAGGGACTGAGTCGATTTACGAACATTATAAACCAGTTATACCGGAAGCACAAACTCGATTCGGAGGAGACCGTGTAACGACGTCACGCTTCATTTCGGCGGAACCGTTCGTGACATTGTCACGCTTTTCCGCCCTGTTCACGCACACATACGAGGCTTTTGTCCTCGTTCTTATGTAGTTAATCACATAGCTAGCTCAAAATTTATTTTAATAAGAACTATTATTAACTAAGTAACATAAATATTTAAGAACGACAGTCAGTATATATAGAGTTAACTTTAGATCTCGTTGCTAAAAGAATGAATAGAGTCAGGAACCCATTACTTAATGGGCTCCCGATAAAGTAGTGTTCAGAGGACTCCCCCTCTACCGCTGTGAACTGGGTTCCATTTCCAAAGGTGGCATGAAATGTGTGTTGAGATTTTTGCTGGTTTTCGTTGTTGTGGTGAGGATTTTTCTTTGGAAGCTGTGGTTTTCCTCCTCCTCAAAGCACCAACACTACAAATTTCAGTTCGACTTGATTCGTTATCAGACTTTCCCTGGTTCTTCCCAAGCTGTTATTGTTCCACGCAGAGTCTTCAAGCTCAGTGGAAGTTTCCATTAGCCTTATCACTCTCAAGAACTCATCAGAAAATCTCCCATGATGTTAGCAGTTAGAATTTGGTATTGGGTCAATTAATAATCCCCTTAATGATATTTTTCTTTATTCTCATCACTTGCCTGCTTGATATTAGATGGAAGTTGTGAGGAGCTTTGTGTATAGAGCATTTGACCGTAAATATAATCATTTTTCTTCGTTCGTGACAAAATGTTTTTCTTTAACAGGCTGGAGTAATTGTTCAAAATCTCTTTTTTTTTCTAGTTTTTACTGACTGTCGCTCGTAATATATTGAAAAAAATCAAGATTTACCCAGATACTATAAATCACATTAGGTAATTTAAATACTGTTGTAAATTTAATTTCTTTTCAATCGCCCAATAGTTCAATTTGACAAAAACGGTAATCACACAATTACCCTTGCCATTTTAAATACTAGTATAACAGGTAGTTGGCAAATTATAGATCTGATTGGCTACACGATGTCTTTATTGATTGGTGCCAGTCTCAAACCGCGCACGATCAGTGAAAAAGTGAGCAAAGTTGCAATTTCCTCGTCCCCTGATCTTATCGGTTCTTTTCAGGTAAGGCCTAGGCATGAGAAGTGGCTTCTAAGAAACCCTAGGGGTCTGGGAACGAGAATGGCCGACCCAGCATGATATCGCCCGGAATCATTATATTTACTCAAAACTACAATTGAATCTAGCAAAACAGGAAAGCTATTAATTGTATTGTAGGGAAGTTTTATAAAAAAGCATTCAGGGAAATGTATCGTTCAAACTAACTGTACTTAAGTAAATCAAAAAATTAAAACGCTATCAGATGGTAACGGTTCGGTGACGTATGTTTTATGAGTTTTTGTCCCATGATTCTTTTCTTATAACTGTTTCAGTCCAATCGTACGTGCACTATGATTGGTCAGTTTAGCGGGTCGTAATTCACTGTAAGGCCTTTTCAAAAGTCTGTTTGGAATCAAATTTCTCCCCTCAATTAAAACCCAAAGATCGAACGAATTTCTCGTTTTCTCGGTCTGCACTAAAAGTTATGGGACCTAATTTTTCGGTTATGGTCCTACTAACGGCCATAAATCCGAGCGGAACAAACTGGGTTCGTTTCTTAACAGTGTCTACCTCGAACTCAGTTAGCAATAGGTACTTATCTAGAGGACAGACGATATGAGTAAAGAAAACAATTCTAAAATGGCTTAGTTCTCTGACCAGATAAAACATCAAAATCTCACAGCTTGTATAGATGTGTACAATGATTGATAATTTCATCTTGGAGCAGAACTGTAGCACAAAATCGAAGACCCAAAGATTCGATAACGAGTTCAGTTTCAACTTTCTCAGCGAAATTTAGTATTTAATTCGTGAAGTATCCGGAAATGCAATTTTAAATTGGGAACAACTCCCAGCTCTTGCCAGTGGAGAAGTTGGAACTTTCTCGATTAAAAAGCCGTTTGCTTCATTAAAGTGAAAAAGGCACTTGGTTTCCCACGCTGAATTAAATCACGTCCGCGCGCGCCCCACTAAAAATCCTGAAACTTGCACTTTGCACTATCTTCGGATCAGCTTCGTTTGATTGTGAGATCTTTTCATGAAGCGTGCTTTCTCTAGCCTGCAATAGGTCTGTAAGGCGTCCAGCCGGATAAACTATTATTAGTTCCACTCCCCCGGCAAAGCTTCTCTCGACTCGTCTCAAACCTTTTTGCGGACGGAGAAGTGCGCGTCCTGCAGGGCTTATGACAATGAAGACCTGCTTTCCTCTAAAGGCCCTAACTCGGTCCATCAAAATATCTCAAAAGAACTTTTCGTGTTTTGCATGGTGCGTGGGAAATTCTTGCCCATGAAACTGAGTTACCTTTTTTGGTAAATTTTATTGGCTGCCTCATCCCAGAGTCCACTCGATTTTCTAAATGGAGCCGCTACCGCCATTTTGCTTGAACCGAGAAGACCCTGGGGACAATCTTGCTTTACGAAGCCCTCGCGGTGTTCTGGGCCATTTTGAAATACTTCTTGGAACCCGAGAAGTTCACCCAAAAAGAGTTCACGCAAGTTTCAGTCGTATTAAGAAACGCAAGCCAGCGCTATTTCTTCGCGCAGCTGGTGACTGTTACGCTCTGTGGATATTCTACCAGTAGCTTTGTGACAATGTAACTTGAGCGAAATGCAGTTTATGTTCGAATTTTAAATCAAATATCAGCGTTTTCTTTTTACAGACATTTTGGAACTGTACAAGAAAATTTGTGTTCTTTCGTTGCAAACTTGTATTTAAAAAAAACGCGATATAGTTTTGAAAAAATGCTTTAAATATTAAGGAAACTCGGTTGTTAATAGATATTCAAATATTATTTAATTTGAAAACTCTTCCGTTTTCCGTTTGAATTTTAGGGTTAAAATTGGCCGATCAGCGAATGAAATCAATAATTCACAACCAGTTCAAGTGGAAAAAAGCCCTATCTTCGATTGAAGTTTACACTGAAAGTCATCAATGCGTGAAATGGTCGAAAAACCTCTGCGAATTCAAATGACAGCCCAACGGTCACCAAAAGAATGTGTCTCTAATTGGAGTGAATGAATTAAAGCTTGAAGAAGATCTATTTAAGGAAGTGTTGGAAATCGAAAAAGATAATTGTGGGCGAGTGAAATTCAAAATGAGCGATCCTTATTCAAACGAGGCCCCAGCTGACAGAGATGAGGAAATGGAAGCATTTGATATCTCTCCGATGGCTTTATCCTTCGAAGCCGCCGGGATAATAGGAGTTTGTTCGACAGTAATCATCGGTAACGGGCTTCTGTCTGTCCTAAGTTTCAGAAAACCCAGCCAGTCTTATACGGGAAATACCAGCCTTCTTTTCGTCGCTGTGACGGATATGTTTACGGCCATCATTACGATGCCGCTCATGGTTGCTTCGTTGTTGGAGTTGAAGTGGAAATATGGTGACGTGCTTTGTAAAGCAACTGGAGTTTTGACGATGCTTTTCCTCTTTACAAGCTTAATGGTACTTTGCCTTGTTTTATTACATCGTTGCTGGATTGTATTTTGTTCAAACCAAGAACTGGAGTCCATGGCAAGAAAGCAAACACTGATATTTATGGTAGTCGTTGTCCTAGCAATCGCCATTGCAAGCCTTGCGTTTCTGATCAACTGGAAGAGATTTCTCTCCAATCCAACAAGACTTCTTTGTCGGCTTACAAATTCACCAAACTATATTGCGTACAGAATGTATTACTGTATCTTCTCCATGATAACACCTTTGCTGATAATTATTTTGTTGCTAAATCGAAAACCACAACCAGCCACCTGAATATAATTTGTTTTTGATTTGTTTTGAACATCTTACACGTTATCAGCATTGAACCATGAAATACATAGGTTTAAAGCGGATTCCGTGCAAAGGACTCAGACGTCTTCTTTGTCCCATACTTGCTAGTCAAAAGCGAATGTGGTCGAGCTTAAAATTCAATACTTTCTAGGGCTTTCAAAAACGTTTTCAATGAGCGGCTGCCGCTGTTGTGAGCCCGAAAAGGGGACCTGAGGCGAAACCAAACACGCGAGCCAGCTCACATGCTAAACAGACGGCGACAGGATATCTTCCAGGCTGTGGAAGACCGCCGGTAACCGCCTATTATGGAAATCCCTTCTGTTTTCCTAATTATATTTACAGCCAAGATGCTTTAGACATTGCATGGTGGTCGTTGCAGTAATCAAAATACTTAGCTTGCTAAAGAGATTTGGGTCACCCAATTTCAGAACATCCTAAGGGTCTGTCTGTCTGAGGCTCGATTTATCGTAGGGGTATTTGAATTTTTTCTCTGTCGCACGTACGTTACATAACGAATAAAAATACATTCATTCACATCTTTTAATGTTTGAAGAGCTTTGTTTACGATAGCGAGATCACATGTCAGACTCAAAAAAGACAACATTCAGAAATTATATCTTCCACACGTAATCAGCGCTAGCAGTGAAATTGTGCGTTGATTTTCTGACCAAGATTGTGCCCCTTTTGACTTTTTTTTCCTTGTTTTGCCTTACTGTTACAACCTCGGTTGCAAGATCCTCTCTGAAAGTCAAATCCAAGATGAAGGATCCACAGTTTTCAATAATGGCAGACCACCCCATTAATTTTGAGAACCCATTAATTTGACTTTGAAATGGATCATCAAACATCTCTCGTAAGCATGAAATAATATACCTTTTCATTTACCACACATGTATTTTTTATGTTATGTGGTCTGTTCGTCGCTATAATTGATTAGAAAGAGAAATGGTCTTGTTACCATTGCCGGCACGTCACGAAGTCACCAAGGAAATATCAATTAAATACTTGTCAGTTTGTAGTTTGAGAAAAGTTCTAAAGAAACTGTTCTTCTAAACACGAATACTCTGCTATGCTTAAAATTTTTCAACAGAAATATAACATAAATTAAATAGCGCCGGTTGCTGAGATACGAGAGAACCACTTGCGCAAACAGAAATTGCATCTCACTGATACTGGATCAGGAAACTAGATACTAGAGGGAAGGGCATGCAATTATGAAACTCAAAGCTTTTAACTCAAACATCACTGAGATTAGGCGAACAATTGTATCATAAATTGACAGGCGCCGTTACTATTGTCGATGGCGACTGAATTTTAATCAATCAAACTCAGCTTTTTACCAATTTATTTCCATAGACGGGATTAACAGAAACTCCCGTTAATCAAATGCTTTCTAAGACTATCGCTCCTCGATCTATTTTAACGTGAGATTTACGACGAAAACCGCATGTTTCGCTTTAGGTGGCGTTGTGAATTGATGTTTTACAAGTTGCTCCTGGGTAAACATGTTTAATTTTCATCTCCTACGCTTCATAATTCTTCTTTTTTCCAGGTAACGTTATCCTCTCGCTGGGTTTTACCGTAAAACTTCACAGGAGAATCAATACTTTCGTGATTTGCCTCGTTAACATTACAAAGTAAGCCGGCGCACTGCATGATTCTAAAGGAGCGTTTCAAAACCACAATTGATTTGATATGTTTATTTTCGATATTTTTGTTAATGTAGACATAAATTTATGCACTCCTTACTTCTTAAAGGGTATCTTGCATAAAGTTTTCCTTTTCTCCCTTAAAAGACTTCAAAACCTTTTCTTAACTTTGCAAGATGGATTTATTATTAGCAATTAAACTCGTTTTAAATGGTATGTTTCTAAAGTTATGAAATATTTATTTTATTTTTGATTAACCGCAGAGCGTATGGCGTAGCAGAATCTCTTGAACTAGGAGAGAGAGTGGTTAAAAATGCAAACAACGTTTCTACATTGTCGAGTACGAGATAACGCAATGGAGGTTTCTGACAGCTCAAAAGTGCTATGCATTCGCATGGTATTGTTTTCAATCTATGTTTTGGCTGGAGCTGCCGTTTTTCAAGCAATTGAAAGCCAGGAACAACTCCAAGAGATAAGAAGCCATCGAGATACAAGGAAAGAAATTTTGCAGAAATACAACATCACTGCAATCGATGCCGACCGATGGATGGAAACGTTTCCGTCGACTGTCCTGGGAAATGAGGGTTTTCTGGAATGGAATTTTGGAAATTCTTTCCTTTTCGCGATGGTAGTACTAACTACAATAGGTAAGATTACCAATTGTCTCATTTTATAAGGAAAATTCACACCTATCGTCAGCTTTCACACAAGTTTTCATGTCAATGACATGTTTTCACATGCAGTTTTGAATTTTTAACGATTTCGACTCTCAATATCCGAGTCAATTGTACTGACCGCGATGGCGCCACTGATAGCTTTCAGTAGCTTCGTGCTAATGAGCTTCTCGCGAACCTTAAACAACATTAGGATTGTAATGTATTGTAACAGAGAAAATAATGCCAGCGTTAAGTAGAAAATGATAAGTATTATCGGAAACATTCCGAGTAAATCGGATGAATCAAATGGGTTAAGACAATAATCACCTTTATCCTCTCGAAAGTTTCCCCGAAGAAACTTCTGTTTAAGAAATTATTTTCCCGTGGGCACCAGCTAAACTGGAAGCCACCTCCATGATCAGTAGTCCAATTTATCAGCAGATTCGAAGATATTGGCTTTAAAAGGGCATTCTAAAAAATTTCCGCCCAGGCGTTGGCGTTACGGGAATATTTAAAAAATTGGAACAATTTTGTCAGATGTAAATGTTAAGAAATTTTTCATAACACTCAAAAGGAGGTATTTTTTTATCTAAGTAAACGTGGTCTTTACTCTTGTAAAGAATAAGTCAACAGCATTCAGTCCACAGCCATCATTTTGAAAGCTGCACCTTTTGTTTGTTCCATCAAATTTTCATTCAAAAAAATTAACACAAAACTACACAATTAGAGATTCATGCATAAGTGATTTCGATAAAAAACAAAATAAGTCTACTCAATCTTAGCTGCGTTTACTTCTCTCCTATTCAGAAAGAGCGTACCAAAGAAGGAAAAAACTGCGAATCGTTATGCGATTCGTTTTTCAAACAAAAAACGCTTTCAGTTTTCTTCGTCGAATTGCCTGAGCCTGGAAATGTAACCTTTTTTTTTTTGAGGGCGATGAAAAAATTATGAGCACGGAAACATTCTATGATGAAAGTCATAATTGAACCTCAAGTTTCTTTAGAAGTGTATTATTTTATTTTCTCATGAATTTTAATCTTTATTTTATATCAATTTATGCGACTTTAAGATTCAAACTTTTTTATCATTGGTTGATATTGAAAGCATTTACACCGATATTTTTCTTTACAATACAAGACACTCGTCTAAATCACACTTAAATTAGCTGTGCAAAAAAGCACGAAGTCAGAGGTTTGACCATAATTGATCTCACGAAAAAGCTCACCGTACTTATTAAAAGTCTGGATATATTTTGTCTCTTCAACTGAATGAAAAGACTTAAAGATTTTGTTTCGAATGAATTAATAGTCATGCCATTATTTTGAAAATGTCGTCCTTGTGTAGCAGACATTCATCAAATAAAAGAATTAATAGAAACGTTATAGCCACCTTTAAAGCATAATAAACAGTTCTAAGTGAATTTATTGCTCAATAGTTTCAATTTAAATTTTCACACACTAGGTTTTCAGCCACAAATGTAACAATTAAAATCACACATCCAGCAGATGTTTCAACAAAAGCCGGTTACCAGGCTCTCGGCGAGCAGGCTCCCGTGTTTAGGTTTGGCAAAGCCGCCTAATATACCATTGGCGACCACTTATGGAGAAAAAAGTTATTGAAACCAGTGACCTTACGCTTGTCAAACATAACAAACAGAACAGAACCATATCAAAGTACTACTCAATAGCTTTTATATGAATAGTCAAACTCTAGAGTTCCATTTACAGACTTAAAGGCTAGAACCACCAGACTTAATTAGCAATCGATAATCTTACCACGGTAAATGATTTGAACCAGTGGGTAACATGTGATAGTGTAGTCTGATCGTCAGTCCAGGTGAGCGTAGTCCTGAGAAGGACTGTTTATACGAACCAGACTTAGAATATTCGACTAACAACAACTTTTCACTTGACTTCGATAATGACTTCCGCTCAGGTTTTCGAAACGTCAGTCACCACTACCAGCAACAGCACTTCTCGGGATGACACTCACCTGGATGATCAGACTACACTATCGCAATCAACGATCTTGCAGCTTAATAATTACAACATTCATTTGAATCGATCGTCACACTTAAAGGATTGATGAATAGACTACAGCGACCGTAAAATGCTCTTTTTGTAATCTTTAAAAATAATAACACGGAAAAGGGGATGTTACTATTTAAATGATATTACTACATCTACACGAGAGACGCCTACCAGAAAGTGATTGAGGGAGAACTTTTCATGTATTTATTTTCTCAACATTAATTACAGTGTTAATTACCGATCATTATCTATCGCCTAGGGGCTCAGATGACTTTGGTTAAGTCGCAATAAAATTTACCTGATCCCCCCCCCCCCCCCATAAGGCTCTGTAAAATTCTAATGATCCCCCCTCATTGGTAGAAAATGTGCTTTAGTACCCCCTGAAATGTTTGTTGGCGACGATTGATCCCTACTTCCCAATCCGTTACCCGTATACTATGTGATCCCCCAACATTTTCCGACCCCCCAACCCCCCTCCCCCAGGCAATAAAAAATGACCGGCCCCTAGAGTGTTTTTTTCTTTACTTAGGCTACGGTAACATTGTACCCAAGACAGTGCAAGGTCGTCTATTTTGTGTCGTCTACGCTTTATTCGGAATCCCTGGGACGTGTTTAACTCTCAAAGCCGTCGGAGACAAGATCGCGGAAATATTCACAAGACTCGTTACAACCTTTGAGCAACGTCTTCTAAAACGACCACACCCTCGACATGTTGAGCTGAAAGTAGCGTCCATGACAATTTTTTTAACCGTTATTCTCCTGTTACCACTGATGTCTCTTATAGTGAAAGTGAGACATCAGGAATGGACTTTCATCGATAGTTTTTATTTCACGTTTATAACGCTGAGTACGATTGGATTTGGGGATCTTTTGCCGCAGTTTAACAAGGATGCCGACTACATTCTTGTGCTCCTAGCGTTTGTGGGTCTTGCCTTCGTCTCTAGCATTTTCTGTTCAATGAACACAGTTCTTGAGCAGTATGGGGTGAGTGCGCGCGTGGTGCAGTCTTTGCGCGAGAAACGCAGAGACGAGGAAATGTCCACCGTGGACGAAGGCGCAGATTTAGACAAGAAGGATAAATCTCTGTGCGATTCAAATGGCTTCAAAGATGGCGCTGTAATGGGGAACGACAAGCATGTTCTTCAAAACGATAATACCGAGAACGAAGAAAATGGTGACTTGGAATTAAAACCGCTTTCTAATCGAAATAGTTTGATCATAGATGAGGAGGGCAAAATGGCAAATCGACGAAAAAGAGGAAGTACCGTCAGTTTAGGAATATTCCAATGCTAAGTGTTTATATTACCGCAACAAAAATTGTAGGATTATATGCAATGAATTCGAAATTTTCACGTGGCGAAGCTGCAAGGTAGTTTCCTGCACGTTTTTGAATATTTTATCGACCCTGCAGAAAAAATGTTCAAACTGATGAAATACACATCTGATTAGATGAAACATTACAATGTTTCAGCCAGTTGGGCCCGATTGGCAAGGTTTCCTCAAGCAGATAGGAGCTTTTAATCATTCAATTACAGTCTTTATGAAATCTCGATATAACAATGAGCCATTTTTAGTTGTGCACTTAGTTGCCAAGCTTTTGATTTGGAGTGAGGCTGAAGGTGGCCTTGTTGTGATGGAGACCAGTATCTAGTTAGCATAATAACGAGGTAATTTACATTTGAAAAGCAGCAAGGTTTGTATCTTAACAAGATCACCCTTAGCTTCACTCCTGTTCAAAGGCTTGGCCACCAAGCACGCAGCTGTCAAATGAACTATTCAGGAAATTATTGTCTCAATTAAGGATAGGATAATTTTCGAATATTTCAATGCTAAGATAAGTTTCGAACCACTTTCGCTTCGTGATAAAAGTCGAGGAGTTACACATGGTGAGGCTCTGTTGAAACAAAAGATTTATCAAAAGCATGCAGAACAAGCTATTGCATTATTCACAAGATGGAGTCGACTCGGAGTAAAGGTATTTAAACGGAAGTCTTTATAGGGATATTAATGTTTGCTTTTGATAACAAATATTCAATGTTTAACTCGTCTGTTTAAAAAGAAGGATCGAAAGCTTATAACTTACTGTATTTACTTCACAGCGTACGCATTGATAATTCATAGATAGAGTTAAACGAAGAAGCGCTTGTGATAAATTATGTTTTACCGATAATGTAAAATCGAAGAGGTTGTTTTTCCGAAATGTTGAGTGTTGGAATGCGCGGCCGCTAAGCTGAAAATTTGTCATAAAATGTCGACAGCCGCCGAGCAAAAAAAAACCGAAAGTATTTTGGGTTATGTCGTTTCAAGAAAAGATAACAGGAAATTCTGCGACTTTTTTTTCGCTCAGCGTATTAAAGAAAGTGTGGAGTTTACCAATCACACGAGAAAATAAAAGGAACTGCAACGGTGATTGTCCTTGGATGACTTGTATTTGCTTTGGTTTTGTTTGCTGTATAACACAAAGGAGCAAATTGCTTTCGAAGGTAATACTGGTAAACTTCAAACCATTTGCCAAACACTCAACACTCAGCAAAGATACAACAATAAAAGGTCAACGTTTTAAAGTGGGCCACTGGCCCTTTGCCACTCGATGAATACAGCCTTGACAGACTCATGTTCTATCAACGAGTGAATCTAAGTTGACGAAAAGTTGAGTGTTGGTCGATTAAAGTACGTTCCAACAAGCTAAGTTTGTCAGAAGTAAAAGTGACGTCGAAATTATCAGTAACCAGCTTGAGACGTGAATTTTTTTCTTCCTGAGTTGAGATATTCCCACGTACCGAGCAAGTCGTACATTCAGTCAATTTCAAGACTACGAATAGTCCCCCTTCCTGGCGAAGGTCGTTGCGCGCATTTGAAAAAAAAATCTACAGAATTAAATTGATGCTTGTGTGCCGTGCGTAACTCTGGGATTTAGGTGCTTTGAGTAGTTCCTCGGGGTGAACAAAAATCAATTGTTGTTTTCGTGTTTTTCGTTTTCGTTTTTTGTATTTTTGTTTTTTTTTTACTCGTTTTTGACGGATCTCTTCCCAAAGGAAGGCGTGCTCGTATTCTAGTCAACATCAGACGGGCAGAACCTCATAGGATGATCTAAAAAAAGGTTAACTTCGACTTTTGACCTAAACGTCGAAAACACCTTAACTTGTATCGATACATTTCGTAAATATTTATAATTCGACTTTTGAAAAGGCCAGTAATGAGTAATTATTTCTTTCTTTTCGGCGGAACGTGAAGGGTTAGCATGTGTCAGATAAAATTTATTTTTTCATTTGGTTAAATATTCCTTTATTCATTGCACTTACGCCAAACAAGAACTTAAAAATCTTATTTATTAAGTTGACCCTAGAGTTGTTTAATCTTGTTTCACTCTTTCGCGTGTGCGATTGTTACACATTTGAGTCAAGAACTTCATCATATTTTTTTCTTCCGATCAGTTATCCACAAAAATTTATCTAGAACCTCAACTTTTACGAAAAACAGAAGCGAACGATGGATCGGAAGTTCAATTTGCAATTGAACAATTTACCTGTAGTATACAAAACACTTAAAAATTGTTTTTGCTTCGAAAAAAGGGCCTTTTAGAAGGATTTCTGAGAATTTATAATCCAGCCAATTACAACTACTTACCTTCCTGATGATATATTAAATCCATTCAGAAACAGTTATCGATCTACATCGCTAAAAAAATTGTCAAATGAATTTGATAATTAATAAAAGAAAACTGCTTTTCACTGATTTTGGCATTCGTTCTGTGGGACTTGCCTCAGCACTGACGAGACGTAGTTACAATATTTACCGTTTAACTGCAAGTATTGCAATTTTTCTGCCGGCCCGTCTCTGTATTCAAACGCTGATGTTTGGTAAGTGAAGGCATCGACACTATTTTTCTGATTCAAACCTCGCATAAAATGGTTCTGAACATTAAAACAGACAAAGCAAATAAAAGTTATGTAATTCTTTTATCAAATGAGTTGATTATGCAAATTGGCCACGGTAAAGAGTTCCAACGCTGACTTTTCGAGCGTTAGCTCTACCCCACCGACGCGGTTCCTTTAGAAAATTACCCACTTCATGAATATCAAAGAACCTGGCAAACTACGAATACGTTTACTAAAGTCCAAGAATTCGAAATAAAAAGAATTGCAATCAGATTACAGGACAACAAAAATCGGTTGAAAACCATTTACAAACGATCATTCACTTAACGACACAAGCATCAGATCGAAGAACAGTGTCCGAAGACTTTTTTCAATCGTTCTTTTTCTTGTTCTGTTCAAACGCCTTTTCTCCTGTAGTTCCAGTAATACCTCCTGCGGGCGGTGGCCTGGCCTCTTTGGGACGCCAATAAACCCAGATAATGCCGTCCTGAGCAGGATAGCCAACTGACTCTGCTCTCCTTCGCTGTACAGGCGGTATGATGCGCAGTCTTGACAGCACCTCACGCCCTTGCCTCTCCCACTCTTCTCTGGATATCAACGTTTCCGCGGTCTCGGTTGAAGTCGGAACACGATTACCACGGCTAACTGCAGTGCCCATGGCTGGTAGACTCCTTTCTGTCGAATATTTTAATCTAAAAGGACACTGTCGAAGTTGTTAATCGTTTCCCTCTGTTCAAAACGTGATTTTCAATGGGCGCGAGAACTTCAAGCAACAAAAGGGTATAAATTTGACGTAACTGTTGCCATGGTAACAAACATGTCGTCATAGCAAATCGACGTATCATAACAATGAGGATAATTATTCAAACTTACCATCTCCCTTATTCTATTTACAATGTGGAGAATTTTGTGGGAAAATGGGCTGAAAGGTCGCTTTTTGAGATGACCTTTTCGTTGCTAGTGTTCAAAATGCGCCAAGATTTCCTTTCAATTTCTCATGGAGACGGAGATTTAGCAAAACAAAATTGATGTCAATATTTAAGAAAGTCATCGTGAAAGAAAATACTTTACACGAAAGAGGAGAGTTAGGGAAGGATTTTGCATACGGAACTTGAAGAAAGAAAATACTTTAGAAGAATTTTCTTTCAAAAGGCGTGGTAAAATCCTCTTCTGGAACAAGATAAAGAGATAAGAGCATATTTCCTTGGTGCCGATTTGGTCCTATCCTGTGAGAGCTTGGGTCCGAAAATTCGTGACGATAAAGTTGATTGGCAAGGGTGTTATGACGCAACCAGCCTAAAACATGGAGTAGCAATGGGAAGGACTGTACTTTAATCGTTCGTTACCGGGCAACCTCGATTTCAGAGCCAGCTTTACTTAGACAATCGCGGCACTCCAGTCGGCCATTTTGAATTCTCGACGGAGGTTGCCTTTCGAACATAAAAGGCGATGAAATGTTCTTAAATTTCAGATGTCGGAAATAGAGCGAAGGATTCTCCTACAAATAGTTCCGATACCAAATGACAGACCGATAATTCTTGCATTATGTATTTACATCATGCATGCATGTGTGATTTATCAAGTATCACATATAATTATAACCTACTAAATTATTGTTAGGATTCGTTATGATGTTCCAGCATAACTGCTGTCTTTGAAATAACTATATAAGGTACGTTTCAATGATAATGAATGCATAGTTAGCCACAAAGATAATTTATGCACAATGAATTATTCATTCACGAATCTTCAATTACTTTTCTGCTCTGTTATTTTTCCTAGCATAGTAAAAATAATAAAAAAGCTGAGGTCATCATTAATTTTTATTATTAATTTTTTTCATTGCAATGCTGCGACAAAGTAGCCAGGTTTGCCTGTTATAGCAAGATGGAAAGCTTTCTTCGACTTTGCTGAATTTCGTATTTTGACTCGTTATGACAGTGACAAGGGCTTTAAAATGTTTGAAATGTTCTAGTTCGCTCCATTAAGATATAATTTGTTTCATTTCAAGACATCGCTGAAAGCGAGAAAGTATTTTCCACAACTGAGCGAAGTTTCCTCTTGGAATATGGAGTTTGCTCATGCAGGCCTTTGCTTCTTGAACGTGCATGGCAATGCAATTATATTTTACAAATTGTTAATTCCACTAGCGGCCATGTAAATTTCTCGCGATTTTCTGAATAGATACGCCTAGCTGTGAGAATTTTATTCCATTCCCACTGCTTCTTCGAATTCGTTTTTATTTTAAGATGTATCGTCTTGGTCAGCCATTTCCCGTGGACTACTTTGTTGATTGAGGCGTATGTGAAAATTGTCTTTTGTTTGGTGGAACGTTGACAACCATTCGAGCACCAGAAGAGCCCAAGGCGTCTAATTATTGTTTGCTTGGTCAACTGTCTTTAGGAAATTCTCCTCCTTTTCCGTTTTTTATTATTACTGTATTTGGCCACGAATATCTTCGTGGAGCCCAGTGAATCCAAAGTTTGTTTTTATCAATGTTATTTGTAGCCTTCTCATCTTTGATGAAAGCTGCTCGTCTCCGACGAGACGGCGTCTCAATGTGAATATACGGTACAATGAATTTCTTCTTTGGTTTCTTGACATCTGCATTTTCACTAGAGAATGTCCTCCCACACACAATAGTGTCGTTGCTTTGAAACGTCCGACTTGGAACTGAACCCATTGTTTGCTGAGGTTGAGAAGTTTAAATTGACAATTCGCCGACAAAAACGGTGAAGGCTTCCAATATTGTTGACAAAAACGTAATACCAAGTGATTATCATTCACGTAAAATTTTATGCATGTTTCTGGTTCGTGTCGGCGTTACTTTAGCAGCAATTTAGAGACAATCTTGGCAGTAAGTGACTGTTTTTTCACCCATAAATTAATTTCCCAATATAATGTGCTTATCTTTCATGAATTATGGAACAAATGACGTAAACAATGAAGTAAAAACTCTTTTAGCGGGGACGTTCTTGACAGAACGCATTAAACAGAACTTTATCACAATGCTTTAGAGTTTTACTTCAGCCCGTGCGCAGCGAAGGTTTCCTTATTCTTTGCGTCAGTCTTAAATTCTTTATGAGTTCCAGCTGAGTGAAACAGGTGTACTATTACAATAATGAAGTACCATTGTAAAACATTTCTTGGCCAGCATAAACCTTTCAACAAACACTGATTACAGTGCAAGTTCTTTCAACAAGCAAATCAAGTACTGAATACGGAAAAGATGACAAGAGGACCCACTGTTTTATTGATAGAATAAGAGATAACAAACTTGGAGCTCGGTAAAGAAATAAAGAAAGATGTTTCACGAGCGTGGGACAAAGAAAAAATTCTGGGTCTCCATGAGGAATCGAACCTCAGGCCTTCGCAATCGGATTCCGCGCTCCGATGTCCTGACACTGAGCCACAGACTACAGTGAGCGAGGTTTATTACGAAGTTTATATGATACGCGTCCTGTGTATTGCTAGGATCAGCAATGTCGATAGCGTCATATTGTAAATATGAGAGATGAATATGAGAGATGGCAAGTTTTGAGCTCGGTAAAGAAATAGAGCAACGAACTTCGTAATAGACCTCGCTCACCGTAGAGTCTCTGTGGCTCAGTGGTAGTGCATCAGAGCGCGGAATCCAAAGGTCTGAGGAAGGGTTCCTCACGAAGACTCAAAATTTTTTCTTTGTCCTACGCTCGTGATGAGACGAAAAACATCTTTCTCTGTTTTATTTATGTAAGCCATTATCGACAAGTAACTAATTTAACAAATATTTCTAAAAAAAATTATTTTATTGTGTCTTCTCCAACACAGTTTTACAAAGATTAATAACACATCACGAAAGGACAAATTTAAGAGTAACCAATCAGAGGAATACACATAATGAATAACGAATTAGTCATGTGTGTTTTCCGAGCTTGAAATCTTAGGCTCAAGACATTGTTTTGGTATCTTTCTTCTGATTGGTTACTCGTTTTTCCCGCGCTTGGCGCCATGGGTTCATAACTTGTTTTACAAGGTTCTTTCCGATTGGCAATTGCAATCCCTTTAATCGGTTTAATAAATGATTTATCAAGCTCTGAGTTTAACTATTCAACAGGGTGCTTCCTAATTTCGACATTGGAAATGCAAGTCTAATATATCGTTTCAATTCAGAATTATTGAACCGAAATAAATAACAAGAACACCATCAAAACCAGCATCATGCGAGGTCACCACTCACACTAAATGTTGGACAGCATACACTTTACTTCGACACTTTCTCGCATCTTGCCCTGAATAAACACCTTGCTTTCAAAGTCTCGCCTTTTTCTTGGGATAAAACGATGTATTGAAGTATATTTTTACTCTCTCTAAATTCAAATAACCCGGTAAGAAAACAGCAAAAAGGAGCAATAACTTGGCTGATAAGTACACAATATTTGTTGAACAATGTGGCGTCAAGTTTTGAAAAAACATAGTATCATAGCCTTTCTGTCTGGTCTCTCTTCCATCTCAAACCTATTCTCGTATCGGAGGAGAAGTATGCTTAATAATTTTCTGAATCCCAACCAGAAACTTAGAGCATTTAATATAGGCCCTATAAATAACTATATCTGATAATCTAATTTCCTAACATGGCTTTCTGTACAGAAGTATATTGTAATTTTAAAATTTCATTGGTTGTGTTTTCCTTCAAAAACATATAGAAATCGTATGCTGATTAATTTCAAATTTTTTTCCTTTGCCAATGAAACCTATCTTCACGGAAGAAAAATAATAATACTACTTTTTCTAATGAAAAAAACTGTCACAATCTAAGAACGAATAAATCTACCAGAACCAAACTTTACGTCTCTGATCAGTGCTCATTTAACCCTTTCACTCCCTAAAGAGACCAAAATTGAATTTCTCCTTAACATTTCAATACAACTTCGAGCGGAAAGGTGACGAGAAGAAGGAAGAATATCAGATAAGGAAAACCGGTGGATTGAACACAGCATTCTCTTAACTAAAATGAGAAGAAAGATAAAGTAGTCAGTGTTGCAAATTGGTGCTTAAATACGAGTGAGATGATTTAAAGGTAATCTCCTAATTAGTTGCATTATTGCAGAAGCAGCATCGTGCGAATCGCATGTGCAGAAATGATCTTGACCCTTCCATTCCCAAGATCTCATCGTCACTATTCTTCTTGATATTGTACTGAAAGTGTTAGGAGAAATTGTTTCTTAGTTACTCATGAGGGGTTGAAAAAAATTATCACTTCTTTATCACCTCTCTACATCCAAACGTTTTAAACATTCACATGCCTATACAGTTGCATACTCTATGACCTCCCTTGTCATCGTCAGGATTTTCATCTTGAACGCCATCAGGACGACAATCTAAATCCCCAAGGTCGATCGTTGCTGATGGGGAATTGTCCCTGGAATGACGCTCTGTTCTGTGAGGCGCTTCGCCGATGGGCGACTCGGCCCGGGCATTCTCTGATGAGTTATGATAACTTGCATTCCCACCTCCACGATTTCGAGGAGTCGTTTGTGGAAAAGGGAGTGGCGGTCCTCCCCTCAAAGGGACCCTGTGAAGTCTACCACCTTCAGTTAACTGGTGATTTCCATCTTGAAAGACCCTCTCTCCAGACTGGGCCTCTAAACTCTGTGAAGAATACCCTTGGGCCTGAACAAGTAAAGCTCCGCTATCTTTATCTCTTGGAGCTTCCTCTTGAACTGGTAGAACTAATGATTGATGATCTTTCACTGAGGAAGAATCATCTTGGACCGGAAGGGTTAAAGTTCCGTTATCTTCGTCCTTCGCAGCTTCCTCTTGCACCGGTTGAGGTAACGATTGATGACCTTTCCCTGGGGGAGAATCTTCTTGGACTGGAAGGGGTAAAGTGCCGCAATCCTTATCACTTCGGGATTCCTCTTGCACTGGTTGAGCCAACGATTGATGACCTTTCCCTGGGGGAGAATCTTCTTGGACCGGAAGGAGAAAAGTGCTGCTATCTTTGTCCCCCACAGCTTCCTCTTGCACCGGTTGAGGTAACGATTGATGACCTTTCCCTGGGGGAGAATCTTCTTGGACTGGAAGGGGTGAGGTGCTGCTATCTTTGTCCCCCACAGCTTCCTCTTGCACCGGTTGAGGTAACGATTGATGACCTTTCCCTGGGGGAGAATCTTCTTGGAGAGGAAGGGGTAAAGTGCCGCTATCCTTATTACTTCGGAATTCCTCTTGCACTGGTTGAGCCAGCGATTGTTCTTTTTTCTCTGGGAGAAAAACCTCTTGGACTGAAAGGGGTGAAGCTCCATTCGATTTATCGCCAGGGGATTTCTCTTGTGTCGGATAGAGTGAACCTCCGCTACCTTTCTCCGAAGGGAATTCTTCTTGTAATGGCTGAGCCAGCGATTTATCATCTGGCCCTGTTTCCTCTGGAAACGAACGGGATAAAGCTCCGCGACCTTCACCCCCGGGAAATCCTTCCAAAGGAGGGAGCGATGCCTCAGAAGGTCCTTGGGAATCTGAATTCTCTACGGGTGCCCCTGTTTCGGGGGGACATCTTCCATGAGGATCTCTATTCTCCTGATCTCCTGGAAAATTAACCGGACTATCGCTACTTCCCGCGGGGCTCGGGGCTCTAGGTGAAAAAATAAAGAGCAGTAAGTTGATTTTAGCTGTACACAAGATACGAAGTTCTTAATGGATTCTAGGAGAAGATTACAGTACAATGCAATTTGCAATTTGCATTTGCATCTTGCTATTCCATCGGGAAGATTATTCTTTAACTACGGCCGGTTTCTATTTGTCGCAAACAGGGCTGTTTTGAGAAACGACAGAGCCGGTTCTGACCGAACTGACACTGTCGTTTGAAAAAGGTTAGCTACAACCTTCCCGTTCAGATCGCTCTCCAAAATCCAGAGGTGTAAGTGCCAATATTATCGACAGGGAATTTCGAGAAATCCGAACACCCCTACGCAAAAGGAGTTGACTTTTGGCTTTCTTTACCCGCACATCGACAAGAACCAGTTCTCTCTGATTGGACAAATCTGATGAAGGAAAACACCCCAACTCGCAAAACAAAGGTTCCTAACCCGTGCAGAGGAAGCTGTTGCAGCCTCATACAATTATCACCACACACTCTCTTTACACGCAATGCCTTAAATGTAATAGGAAATTTTGAAAGCTACAGCGGAGTCATAAGTTAAATATTTTCGAACTCAGTGTGAAAAAAAAAAATTCGGGAAACCACCACTTTTCAGTCAATCATCCGTGATTAAGGATTGCGACTTACGCACGAGAAAATCGTATCATAGCGACAAACTTCGCATCGCGACAAAACACCTAAATAAAAAGACTGAACTTTCTTCTACCTAGGTTCTTTGAAATGAAGCACACGAATTTTATGTAACTTAAAAATTATCTTAAGCAGTAGTCAACAGACATTTTACCCTGATTGTCCCGTGTTCACGTTGATCTTGCTGTCATCTCCTGCAGCTACATTACCACCGTTCACATCGATATTAAATTCAGCTCCACCAGTGCGCATCTGCTCTTTGGGTACACTAGAATAATAATATCACTGGTCAAAATTCTCTTCGTCTGTTGTGAGGTAGTGAGGTAGCGCCTTGTTATTTCACGTGCAAAGTTGGGAAACTACAAATTAAAGATATCTTAAAGGAACGAAAGGAATCTTGTAAAAACTGATATCACTTAGTAAAGCACATTCTGATTAAATGTCATACAAGGTTGAAAATAATTGCGAAGACATTCTTGTAGTAGGTGACTATCAAAGATAAAGCTACAACGCAAAAAACAGAGACGGTACTTCCCTCAGATGTTGTGGTCGTAGTAATTGGCAGTTTTCTTTAGGCATGTTTGCCGTTAAGTTCAATACGATGTTGTCATTTTTTCTTTCAATACACACACTCGTAGCTGGAAAGAACGAGGGGGAGAGGAGGAGGGGGTAGGGGTGGGGAAACCAGGGAAGAGGGGGGTTACCAAGCACTAAAGAAACCTTTTAGATGCACAGGACTACTATACTTACTTTTGACTATCGGTTTGTGACTTGTTAATTTGAGCTCCTTGTCCAATAGCTGCTGTCCCCCCAGGTTGGACATTCACTTCATAACTTTGATTAAAGGTCACGTTTTCAGTTACTATAACACTAATTGGACCACCTGTAAGGTTAAACGTGACATCAGTTTTGCCATGATGAATGTTGAAACAGAGTGAACATGACTATAATGTGTAACTACGGAGGACTGTACACAGGAAACCAAGTGCAAAGTGATTATTATGAATCACAGACTGAAAGCAAGATGTTTTAAAGTTATTTCAAGGGTTGCAAAGTATTTAATGTTATTTCGGTCATTTGAAGAGGAAGATTTTAACATAGCTGTGGCTCTGGCATAAATATGAAAAACTATCGGTGGACAAGAAATTAAGCGATAAGAGTATCCAGTACCAGATGGCGAGATTCATTTCTACTCAATGTTCAAATTTAGTCTTTTTCATAAGCAAACCCAAAATCGAAGGGAAAATTTTAAGGTTTCAACTCGGGATAAAATAGAACAGCAACCTATCCACATTAAAGTCTACTGATCAGATGTCACTGGAAACAAACTCACCGCCATGGCCATTTGGTGGAAGTTGAGAAGCTACTCCATCTGCTTGGACCAATAAATTCTGTAGATGAGCTGGATTACTGAAAGCTTTTCATAATAAGCAAAAAGCATGAATAAATAAAATTAACTCACAGATCCACCCCGCGCAGGAATATATTTAAATAATTAATGATGCACTCCAATCTATTCAAGAAGAACACAATACAAGTACACCCTTTCACTCTCAAAATATCATAAGCAATTCTCCTTACTGTGTGCCCCACAATTCTTATGATGCTAGATAAGAGAATTTAATATTGGATCAATTGATATCTTTCTTTATTCTCGTCACTTGTCTGCTTGATATTGCTTTGGTATTGTGAGGAAAAACTCTGTCCTAGACACTCCTACCAGTTAAAAGGTTAAGAGGCTGTATTTTAAAATCTTCCGTGTGTGTTACATGACCACTAGATCGATTAGCTCACGTAGAGTTTTCTTCAGTCTTTCTAAATCGGAATTTCGAGCAATGAGCAGCGAAAAGACGATTTTCATCGCGATATTCCGTTTTGTAACGAAATTAAGACGAAATAGCGCTCTTCGTCTTTACGAAATGTGGTTTATAAAGCTTTGAATTTTTTACGTGCAATTTCGCTCGACTTTCCGCGGAAAATTTGCAAGAAAAATAAACGAAATTAATGCATCTTGCGGGCATTATTTTAACACAATATCATAATAACAATGTGTTCATCTTTCAGAAATTTTGTGAATAACTTACAGCTGTCTGATTCCACAGAACCACCTTTTCCTAGCGGCGCTCTTGGCTGTTGCTTTCTAAGATACTGAAACGAATTTCAGAGAATCCAGCAATGATAATACGGTTGGAAAATAAGTTGATTTCATCACAGAAGCTGTAAAATACTTACGGGTGCTGATGTTCTGAGACGTGACAGATTTTTTCAGGGAATATAATGTAAGTACAAGTATGCTTTAGCAGAATGATATGCGAGACTGTCGTTGGCAAGATTACGTTAAGTTTCCAACTTGACATCACCATTCAGTATCTTAATGCATATGAAATGCATATGCTAGACAAGGTTAGGCTGGAATTCAGCAAGCTGTTTTGGGAAATGTGCAAAGGCCCCTTCCCAAACACATCCCACATCACTACACCCTGACTTGTACCCCTCTTCATGATGGGTAACTTGATGCAGTTAGCTTGTGAATGCAAGGAGTGATGGCCAAGGATAGGGTGAGAGAGAGTGAATCTTTGTTCCTCTCCAATAATCATCAACTCTTTCCCAATTCCCCTCACATGCTTTGTACACAAAGGCAAGACTGGGAACAACTCAGCCCCAGATCTAAAAGAGCATCAAAGTTTTCCCCAATAACAAATAACACTTGATAAAGTTAGAGGAAATAAAAGAAAATTTTTAGTGCTAATCAAACAAACTGACTTCGCTGGCTCTTTTAGGATTCCTCAGTAACTCCAGAATTGTTTGGTTACGATGATCATTTGCTAGGTCCAGTGGCGTGCGCCCTTGCTATGGGAAAAAAAAGGAGACAGAGAAAAACAGAATATTCAGTAACTCATAAAAAAAGTTAGATATTCCTTAGATCAGTAGCACGATCCAGGGTGGCAAAGCATGTTTACGAAAACCATATTGAGCAAAAAAATATATATTTCAAACAAAACACTTTAAAACTTATATATCCTGTTAGATATAGTTAACCTCTTTGTATTAAACCAAAAATCGTGGTAATAGAGGAAGAATTTATTTTTTTATGGATTTTAGTATTCAGAAAAGTGAGGCGAATTCTTATGTAACGCGTAACATAATCTGACAAAGCATCAAACATATTCAAAAATTTCTTACTTAAAAATTTAAAATTTCAAAATAATTTTGACTTAGAAATACACTAGAAACATAGACTTTTCAATAAAATAGTTAAAATTGGAACACTGAATTGTAATATTCGCGCTACGAAACAATTTTCTCGGCGACCGAACATGTAACGCTGTTTATACAATATTATACTATACTTCATAGTCACCAAGATTTTGTCGCAAAAAAAGCTCAAATCAGTTTAAAAAAATACATACAATAATTCTCAGATGATTTATTTTCTGTATACAAATTTTTATTCCATTTAATTCAAAGACAGCGTAAAAAATCCAAAAAGTCTGAATCGCGAACACATAAAATGCATAGAAAATTTACCTTAAAATTATTTATCCTCATCTCCAAAAAGGTCTGTGATAGCCGCGCTTAAAATGAAATTGCTCTTCAACTAGCAGATCTGTCATTCTCAAATTCTAAACTTTCTATCGGTACCAAATGTTCACGAATCTAACTCAATTTAACATCTAAATTTATGTCTTTTTTGAATCGCGAACATATTCGATCTTGGAACAGTATTGTTTGCATTGGTGTATCAGTTTACACGCGCAAAATAGTGGCAGTTTTAGAAATCTTCGCATCTAAACTTCGCTTCTTCCTCGCTTACAACAACCTTGTACATTACATCTAGAGGGGGTATACAACAATTAATTGATATACACCCATGAACAAACGATCGTTTGAGACTGGAAATTACTAGAGAACGTGACTTCCCTAGCGTGACTTCTTCCGTCGAGAATTTACACGCTTCGCTTGCGAAATATTCAATGGAAAACAAAAAATATTCTGCTGATCAATGGAGAAAAGAAAAAGAAGAAAAAAAGCTTAAACAACAAAGGGAATACTATGAAAGAAACAAAGAAGTTCTTGCACAAAAAGCAAGAGAAAGAATGCGCTTGCTTCGAAGCAAGAAAAAAAACGCGACAGTCGCCGCAGTGAAAACACGCACATCTGCACAAAAGGCTGATGACAAAAGAGCCAACCGTGAGCGGAATGCTGCATCAGCTACCAAGAAGAAGGTTTTGAAGCAAAGAGAAAAAGAGAGGGAAGAGAAAAAGCGACAGCAAACTCGAGAAAGGGTTCGAAAACTTCGTCAGAATAGAAAAGAGTCATCATTTGCGCAACCGAAACCGGAAGTCAACATCAGAGAGAGGTTGAGATGTCAAGAGAAGGAGATGTTGCAGTCACAAGGCAGAATCAAGACTCAGTCAATGTCAGTAAAACAGTCAATGCACTCACTGATCTTGTTGAAGAAGGAAGTACTGTCGCCATTGCAGCAGCTGATGACGCCATATATGATTACTACCTCTTCAAAGTTACAAGCAGTGGTGCCATAATTTTGGGTGAAGATGAAGTTGATGACTATAGTGCTGCTTATCAGAAAGGTTCCTTTGTCTTCAAGGGTAACTTTTTCCTAAGGGACAATATTATAGACATGACCTACAAGCTTGACAATAAACAAGCTATTGTGTATGCAAACACTGTCAGGACTATCTGTGGAGAACTCAAGAAATTAAATAGGCGTAGAAATGTATTATTCCAGCTTTTACCCAACCAGCATGAGGAAATTATGTCTTCTTTTTAGTTATGTAAATAAAACTGTGTTATTTCTAAACAGAATCGTGAATTTAAGCCTGCAAATGTGTAAATAGAATATATGACCACGCCTGCTATGCATTCTGGGTATTAAGTAATGAGGATAATTTAACAGATAACATCAAATATTTTCTCAAAAAGTAGTTCTTACAATAAAAGTTTATGAATAATCTATGTTTTGATGATTTTTTGGTAATTTTATGAAGTTGCTAGTTTTTCCCTAATGTTACGCATTTGTACCCCTGGATCTTGCAACTGATCTTAGAATTTCAGATCTGAGAATTTGGTGTTCAGCGATCAAACTAGAACTGCCAGCTGGGTTTTTCTGTTTTTTGTCATCACCTTTCTGCCTGACCACATGTAGATGATGTTAAGGGAAATAAGGTTAAAACTATTGTACAACTCAGACCTTTTGTAGAGTAATGTTCTAGAATACTCCAGAACATTCTAGAATGTTCCATTGCTTATCTCATCATGCCTAGTCACACTGATGCTGGTTTGTAAATGGAATATGACGTAATCATATAGAATATTCTAGACTGTTCAGCATATCTATATCGAGTTGAGCTTATTATTTTCAAGGATCTCAAGTGGTTTTTGTTTGATAAGCTATCACTCAAACTGTATTGCAGACTTGCAATTTTATCCAATGTGGATCTTTATTTCCATACCTCATTTTCTGACTCAACACAGGTTCCTGCACCATGTTTTAACAGAAGTGCAACACATCTCTCGTTTTTACTTTCAACAGCATAGTGCAGAGCTGTATATTTTTCCTGCTAGATATTTTAATTCAACAGTGAGTGCTACTAAAAGATCATTGGTTTCATGATTAACTGTATTGAAATAGTCCCAAGATATTTTTGAAAAAGTTATCTTAAGAAGCAGAGACTTTTAGCTTTGGGCTCCATCTCACCTTTACAAATTATAATTCTAAAATTCTTTCTTAACCCCTTCAAGCATTGAAAACACAGTTTCCAAAAACCAAAAAAAACCGAAATCACATGACGATCTTGTAGGGTTCATTAAAGGTTGAGAGGTTTTATTACAAATGCTTTAACTTGGGGAAAACTCAAGATGAATTCCATCTACCCCCCACCCCCCCTTCCCCTTACCCTACTGTCTCCCTGACTTTGAATGAGCCTGTAGCTTACTTGCACAAGGGTTATTGAGATTTAATGAACATGCCTTAGTCTGTTTTCCAACAGTACTTGCATCTACTTTGGCAAGCAACAGTTCCAATACTTGATCATTGCCTTTTTTTGCAGCAACATGGAGAGGGGTGTTGTCAACCTAAAAAATAAAAAAAAAAATTCAAAATGTTTGTCCATGAATTCAATAAGGTAAAACAGTACATTCTTGAAATTTTCATTTTCAAAATGACATCCTTGTGTACATGTACACTCTGGAATTGTTAACAAAATTAACCTGACACTTTTGACATTGCTCATCCTGACAGCATAAAAGGAACATGTCACATATGACCATGTATTATAACCTGACTCTTCATCTACGTTCTCTGTAACTCACTGATGGAGCATATAATTAGGTTTGAGGTTTGATTCCTCATGGGGTCTCAATGTTTCTCTTTGTGCCACAATTGTGACAAAACAAATTACAGTGTATGTCTTTCATTTGGGTGGCAAAGGGAGTATGTATGATTACGCCTAAAATTGATATGTGAATTTATGAACAAGTGTGAAGCATATTTGATCTCTGAAACCACAAGATTTCCCTGAAACCTTATACTAAAGTAGAGAGATTTGAGGCTTTCCCTTTTTAATACAATCTTTTTCTGAAATTCCTCCGTGAAACAGAATCAGGACCCCTCTTTGCTATCCTCTGTATTGATAATGTAAGCAGAAATTACTTATTAAGGGGTAAGTTTCTAGAGAAACCGTGGTGCTACTTCAGTGGGAGAGTGTGACAAGGTTATTTAGTATTAATTATCAACTGAGTTGATAAATAAAAAAATTGATAAATTGGCCACCATAAAGAGTACCAAAGCTGAGGTTTCAAGCTTATGATAAATACCAAATAACCTTAAGAGAAATAATTTAGTTATCCTGGTTATGAAAAGTTTAACAATTAAAGAATCCATTAAGTTTAATAAGCTTAGTGTATTCATATATAATTACATTGTCTGCTTGGTTCACATTAGCCCCCTTTGATATCAGTAGCTCCACGGTTTCGTAGTGGTTCTTTTCCGCTGCAAGCTTCAATGGAGTATTACCATACTGAAATTAAATGAAAATGAATTTACTCATTATAACCTGTTAACCTGTAACATCAGTATGCATATTCTCTATTCTGTTCTCTATACATTTCCTGAGGTGTTGATGGGGAGAACCTGTTTAATAAGGTTTTTTAGTCGGTGATCATTCCTCCATTTCTCATGATCTTGTAGGGAGAAATTAAATGCCGACAACTCTTTGGGATTGAAGGATTACACTTTGATTTATTGATACTTTAACTCCCTAAAGTGATTCACATGAAACTTTTATCCATGTACAATCCAGCAAACAGGTAATGAAAATACTCAAACTTATTACTCAAAGGTAGTTGTAATCTTGATTCAACCCTTTAACTCCCATGAGTGACCAAGACAGAATTTCTCCTTACAATATCTATACAATATCAACCAGATAACTGATGAGAATAAAGAAAAATATCAATTTGGGAATAATTAGCTGATTCAATACCAAATTCTCTGAACTAACATTATAAGAATTGTATGGTTGACAGTGAGGAGAATTACAAATTTGATCCAGGAGTTAAAGAGTTAACACCAAATTCTTGAAACTTATTAATATGGAAATGAGTAGCAGCCAGAGTTCACTTCACTGCAGATATAAAAACCCTTAACACCCTTGCATTCGTATTGATATTCTCCACACTGTTCTTGTCACATTTTCTCTGGTAATGATAAGGAGAATTTGTTTGACAATCACAAGCTCCTAAAATTGGGGATCATTTCCATTATTCTTGAGACCTTAATTTACAGTTGATTCAGGGGTGATACTTTAAAAAGAAATTAGCAGCCAGTCACTCTTAAGGATTAACCCTTTAACTGCCGAGATCTCATTAATAATTCTCCTTAATGTCTACCAAATGATTCTCATTATGTTAGTTTGGAGAATTTGGTATTAGATCAATAAGTACCACCATACGTGATATTTTTCTTTATTCTCATTACTTGTCTGCATGATATTGTATGGATATAGTAAGGAGAAATTCTGTCTTGGTCACTCACAGGAGTTAAAGGGTCAAAAGATTAAGCAAAGAGAAATATGAATCAACTTGGGTTGAAATCATTCAGCCTAAATTCCTTCTTAACCTAAAAAATTCCTACTGTAGCTGTACAGTTATCCAATATAGAATACATTTTATAGCATGTGTTTCATTTTGCCAATTGTGTACCCTCTAACCTCATCTAGGGCATCGACCTCTACACCTTGACAGTTGAGGATTAATTTAATAACACGGATGTTTTCTTTTTCATTTGAAGTGGCAGTATGAAGGGCTGTGCGGCAATGCTAAAAAAGAAAATGAGAAGAAAAACAACCTGCAGTTTCATATCAGTTTTTTCCTTTGCAGCTGCAGTTATTTGGTTAGGCAGGAACAACATGAACCTATTGCTGCTCTTCAAACGATAAAGATATCAAGATCTTAGATAATTTAGATTGCTACTTATTCCGCAGATAACACTCTTGCCTTCTTGATCTAACACCAAATTCTTGAAACTGATTTTCAAAAAAATGTCTAGCACCTAAAAGGTAGAATTAACAATTAGATCTTGGCACTTAAAGGGTAAATTCCAAATATTGCATATTTTATAATGTTCAATAATTCATCTCTTTGCTATCTTACATGATCAGTAAGGTGGACATCTGCTTGTTTCTTCAGCAGTAACTCAACAATGTCCTCATGGCCTTCCTCGATGGCTTTGTGGAGAACTGTCATCTGTCAAAATAAAAATGATCTGTTATATACCTAGACTTTCATTCAACAAAATGAGTACTATGATAGATTGATTCTTGGTAAGTGCCCCTGATCAAATTCAAATGTATCCTGACCTAGATACAATTGCGTAGTTGTTGCCTGTGTGCCAAATACAACAGCAAGTTTGTTTGCTTTTGCCATTTGACTGTTTTGAGAAAAAGTCTAAATATATAACAAAGCACTCAATGTTCTGACGTTCAAGGGAAACATCAGACTCTCGGGAAAACAAAACTGTTTCCCTCTGGACCATACATTCAGTGTATATTACTCAAAATTCTAGAAAAATCTCCTTTTTTCATGGTAGGAAAAAATGAATAAATATTTTTCATTAAGTGAAGAATTGATGTGTCTTATTAGTTCATCAATTAATCCATCACTCAAACAATAAAACAATACAAAAATACATCAACCAATCAATCAATCTTTATTGCCCATAACAGAATTGTTTAAGGGTACAAAGACTGATTGTAGCTTAGAGGAAATAAATATTCCTCGTGGTTCTCAAGTTCTAGACAAACCTTTGTGGGCTTAACAGGCAGAGCCCTGATCTAAAAATGTGATTCAATTCATAAATTATGTCCATTTATTATTAAGGGAGAGACCCTGTTTAACTTACTACTACAACCTCATTGCGCCGCACCGCAAAAAAAGCAATTGATATCTTAAAATACCACAGATCATGGATGGCGAATCCTTTAAATTCTTGGGGGGTTTACCAGAGGCAATCTATTGTTTAAAATCGCCACTGTTTTCTTTATCCAAGAACTACTACATGCATGATGAAATATGGTGCTTTGCAGAAATCTTGCCTTCCAAAGTTTCATACGAGGAAGACACACATGAAATAGCAATTTTGAGTGATGTATCTTACCTTGGTTCGTCCAAATGTCCTTTTCAACAATCTCCTACGCTCTTCATCGGAGCTTTGTTCCAAAATTCCCCGGACTTTTTCCAAATTTCCTTCGCAAACAAATTTCCAGAGTGCCATCTTCGATCACCAGAATGTGCACACGAAATAATCGTATTCGAATGTACATCAAATTGTTATAGTACTGTTTTCCTATAATTCTTCTAGTGTTGTACACTTCTCAGATGTTTTGAAACTTCGACACGTAGATTTACGTTCGATTATGGTGGCTAACGATCCTTTAGCTTAGCTATCCAAGAGGTGAATGGTCATTCAGAGGCAGTAACAGCCTTAAAAATCGTCACTGCGACAGCAGTCGCAGCCAAACATTGTAACCCTCGTAAATACGACTTCAAAGAACGACCATCTTGTTTTTATCGGCCAGGTAACCTGGTACCTATTTGGTTCCCAGTCTTTCAATGATACGATTACTAATGTCATCGATAGGAAATAGCTTCGATTCTAATAAATTTGATGTCCGTTTCTTGTAGAATCTTGAACATCAAGAACGCAAGCCTCTTAGACACAGAGAGAGAGAGAGTGAGAGAAGGATTTTTAGCGTAAAAAAATGATGTAAGTCTAGGGTGGATATTGCGTCGCACAAGGAAAAAAATATTCGAAAGGGGAGGTTTTGCGCCTGTTTGAAATCCCCGGCCGAATTTCCGAATAATCAAATAAATGCGCAGAACGAGGTGGATTGTGGAATAGTAACCATGGATCAAGGAGCAAAACTAGATTTTACATCCCTTAGATTGGCTACGATAGGTTATTATCCATCCCTCGTAGAGTTTGAGGCACTGCAGTAAAAAATGATAAAATAAAAGAAATGGCGGAATAAATGGACCCGGACGACCATACGAAAGACGTAAAAAAAGGAAGTCGGATTATTCGAATTCCGCTACCAAACCTATACGTGCTTGTCCTCAGCTTGAGGAGGTTGACCCCTTCTGAAGGAAATACGGGAATTCTACGCTTAGAGCCAATCGTCATTTTTCGCCTAAGGGCGGGGGAGGGGGGGATATGGGTTTCTGGAGGATCGCATGGTTTTCAGGCGGAACGGAAAGGGAATCAGTCGTTGCCAGCAGAGTTCAAAGTATAAAGAGAACATCAGCTGACTGCCAAGTAACTGGCAATGAGGTGAGACCAGGTAAATTTTATCGTGACTCGTGGCACAACCAAATTAAAATTACCCCAGGCATAATTTTTTTGTATTTTTCAGTCAAACGAAAGAGGCACACGCGAAGTACGAGTCCCGCGCCAGGAGTGGAGCGCAAAGAAAAAAGAAAGGAAGAAAGAACTTTATGATTTCGAGCTCCTCCTGGCGCGCGTAATTCGCGCTTCACGCTCGCTTAACACTCGTCTCCGTTCGCCCGTAAAACGCAAAAAATTATGCTGGTACTGCAAACCATTGAGGCACAAACTCAGTGTGAAGAGCGATGTCTTGAGGTGATCTGTGAAACATGAGTGAGAAATTCGTGGTAATAAAAAGTTAGTGAAAGTCACTCGCACGATCGAAGTTTCGATAAAATTTTTTTTTCTTTCTTTTCCAGAGAGGTGGGATTTTAGGATAGGTATCACCTACAAAATTTAAATAATTGTAAGTCCAGAGTGTGAATCATATTCATCACGTCATATCAATAACTGCGCTAGGGCGTAAAATGTCAAAAGAACAATTCTAAGACGAAGTGAAGGCCTGATAACACAGAGGTCAAACGTCTGCGCATGAGCGAACGACATGTAACGACTGGCGATGGCTAGCTAAGTGGCTATAGCCAGTAGGTGACGGAGTTTTTTAGTGGCCTATAACATTTTTGGTGAAGCTTAAAATAGAATGGTTAATCAACAGGAAGCGCGTTCTTGAATAAGCCTTTTGTTCGAAGAGTCTCGAGTATCCCTTTTTTTCTACTTTTGTTTCCATCAATTTTACAAATATGTTTCGCTTGTTTTGCTGGACAGCGGTTGTTTCTTATGTTTTCCCTTGAAATTTGGCGCGCAGCTGACCAAAATTGATTCACTAGCGCATGCTCGACGTTCAACCGCTGTGCAAGGCTCGATATACAGAGGTAACCTTGGTAACAGTATCAAGCAGGAAGACTGAACCCCACCCATCCCCCTGGGGTGGTTGAGCGCCGGACTTGGTGGACACGCAATTGATTAACAACTTTTCTTCTCGCTAAGCCGAGAAAAATTATAAACCTATTTTGTTTATAAGATAACTGATCACAATAAAAAAATTGGATGATATAGTATTAAGCATTACTTTTTATCATAACCTAATAATGAGGATAAGAAAATCTAATAAGTATTTCCGAGCAGATGTTCTGTAAATCCGACGGCTCCTGAAATGTAGTAGTCTGAAATAACAGTCGTACGGAAGGCTTTCCCTCAAGGCTTTTGACGAGGTGATGAAAAAAATGAGTTTGTGTGTTTTCTGCTTGCTCTGACTAGTCTGTGAAAGTGGATTTATACGTGGTAAAGGAAAAAGAGGGTAAGGTAATGGCTGAGGTGGGGGGGAGGGGAGGGCAGGGAAGGTTTTGAGTCGAATACGTACATGAAAATTAGAGTTAACACATTGGCTTTAACCGGCGTCAGTTAAAAGCGGCAACGCGGGGATTTCTTGGCTTATAAACAGAATTTGAAATTAGATGAAAAATTTATTTTCTTTTACTCTTGAGAAACAAAATATTGCTTGGTCGGTCAGATTAACTTCACTGAGTGCAAAGCCAGGACCATTCTTGCATGTCACGTATCATGTTATCTTATCGGTGAAAACCAGAAGAAAAAGTAAACAAAAGAACTTCAAACACGAATGAAGATGGTTGTAAATATTGAGTTTGGTCATGATATCAACAGAGACGTGATTTGAGAAATTTTAAGTTCCCTGAGAGCAGGCGTATACAGATTTCGCACTACAACTGAGCTTTGAGTGAAACAAGAATTAAAAAAAAAGCAAAACATTGATAAAATGAGAAGATTCTCAAAGCGTAGAAGGATTTAGAATAGATTTGTTGGGCGGAAATTTCACTTTGATCAAAACGGATTTTTTGGTCTACTAAAAGTTTGTACGTGCTTCAGCATTTCAATGGTCTCTATGACGTCACAACTCTTCTTCCTGAGAGAACGACACATGATTGATAAGGCAAATCATATCAGAGACTTGATGTTACTGACCAGTCACTACTTGGTTCATAAGAATATTTTTCTAGAAAATCTCGATCCGACGTTCGCGTTATTTGCCCAAATTTAGGTAAAATATTTGAAGTTGTTACGTTTCAATTTTGAAATTGCGAAGCTCTATTGTGAGTTTTGAATCATGCCAAAAGAAAGCGTTTAGTCCTTCTAAATGCTTTCATTAAGATAACGACGCTTTTTTGTTTCCTTTGTTTGCACGAGTAAACTGTTTATATCTTTCGGGAGGAAGGTCAGGCAATAATATTTTATTTTCATCAAGTACAAGATTTCTAACCAATGAGTAAACGTGTTGTATGGTGGTCACATCAGGTTTGGCTTACCATATCAAAACAGCCAATTAAAAGTCGTGTTGTATTCTGCCAGCTTCTCTGAATATGCTAGTTGCAAGGGATTTCTGCGAAATATAATTGTGTACAGCTAGTATCAGATGTTTCTTGATGAGAGAGGGTAAAGTGATGCAACCTACGATTTTTATCAGCCTGCAGATAGATTCTGACTTAAATTCAATGCTATGAACTCTGCCATTTACGCGTGATTTTTCATAAGACACCGCCAAGTTACTTATCGCAGTGGACGCCTCGAGTTGGTGAACAGCTTGTGGCAGTTAATCGGCTACATCGTTTTAGTCCACGGATAATTTTATGGGCTTCGCATGCTTTGGAGGACTTAACGCTTCATTGATCCTTTTTTCATGATCTGTATCCTGATATTAAAACTTAGATGCGTCGAGTACTCGTATACAATAGACAAACACAACATGATCGTGAGTGCTCAGCGGAGCGTGAGTGTTTAGATGCTGCCGGTGTATGATCTGTTTGTGAAAACAAGCTGAATTGAAAATCTGTGGTCGTACCGTTGGAAGTCATCGGAAAAATCAGTGTATTTCTGAATTCCTGCATGAATTTTGACTGCAGAAAAGGTATTTATACAGGAAGCAACCTTGGTGAAAGTTAACTTTCTTTGAACGCCGAAGCTCCAGAGCTGGGCCGATTGAAGCGATTGTGCATATAAGGTAGGCAAGATCTGATTAGTTTAATCTCTGGACTAAGTTTAAAGGATTTTCATCGTCGTTAAGGCTACTTTTCGCTGCAGTCTTCGCGCATTCAAGAGTTTTTTCTGTGTTTTTGGTACCAGATCTTTAAGACCCATTTTTAATTTCCGACTGATCGAAGCTTCGTTTTAAGTTATCAATCCAGCTCGCGCAAAATCATTTGATATCGTCGAGTTTGTTGTCGAATTTTTCTCGAATTTTCACGGTACCATTTCAACTATTTATCGGGTATTTAAATCTTCCAGGTTCCTTGGTCTGTTGACAATCTTGTATGCAGGGTGACACGAACTTTCATCATAGACAATACAGTGAAATATCTTTTTTTGATCTATTCCCTTTGAAGCTTTGATTTCGGCGTCTTTGTGGCATACGTAAAATTTTAATCGCCCGGTAAATTATTTCAAATGTTCGCTTCTATTTTGTCAATGCTCAGAGAGATAAGAGAGTTTATTCACTGCGGCAGAATTCTCTTCATTACCGGGATTTTTTTTCATACGTAAAATCTTTCTATTTGAAATGGAAATCGAATCGTTGGATTAGTTTTCATTGATATTCACGAGACCACCGAAACAGTCTTGAAAATTCATACTGTAGGTATGTAGGTTGCCTTTTAGTAAGACACGGTTTCATTTGAATGTTGCAGTCATTTGTTTGGTGTATTATTTACCAGCCAAGCGACATGTCGCGTTTTATAGTTTACATTTGTAAAGAGTTCTCTTAAGCCGAAAAGATCTTGCGTTTTGCATAAGAACTAACAATTGAAAGACATTTGAAAACAACAACTTTCCATTGTTTGGAGGGATTTTTTTTGTTTTCAAAGGTGTGTTGATCACATTTTGACATTCAGTTGGGGGTCTGTACAAATTACCATTTCTCAGTGATGTTTTAGTATCAAATATGTGTTATCATGGTGAAGTTGCATGGGCAACTTTTTGGTAGAAATTTCACCTTGTAGGCCCGATCGCGTACCGCTTTACTATAGCCGACCTTCATCGCAATTTCAATGTTTCTCCTGTCGCACGAAACAATGTTGTTTATGTATGGTAATTTGTATGGGTTGACCTACATTCACGATGCATGTCGTTAAAAAATCGAAGCCGAAATATTGTCTTTCATATCTTTTCGATCGCTAAATGAATGAGAGTTCTCTAGAAAAATTCCCAACTCCTAGCATTTATGCAACATTTTCCATTCCAAGACACATGTTTATGCAATTTTGACTATCAATTCACCTGCTTGAATGATTCAAATTAAAGCTTACATCCATGGACAAATTGATCAATTTTTAATGAACCGAAAAGTCTTATGCAAATTAGATCAGCTGAAATGTGTTCGATTTGGTTATGACATAAGGTGAACAACACTTCGTACACTTGTATTTCTGACGGAACTCTGCCAATGATATATTTGCAATTTGGGTGGTTAATTTAAGTAGTTGAAATCAATCTCACCGATACTGTTTCTGTGGAACAAAAATTGATATAAATAGCTTAACACTTAAAACAACTGCGGTCGTGGAAATTATCAACGCAAAGGTAACGTAAAACTTTTGGGAGGTTCCTTCTGATGTTAACTCGTTGTCTCGATCGAGCCAGCTTTTAATTTGAGTTTTAGTTTGTAACACGTTCACATTTCTTGCTACGAATTTCAATTTGTCTTAATGATTCAATCCATCCGAATTTGCATAAATTTAAGAAATGCATATTGTATATTAGAACTGATATTGATTCCTTCGGAAAGTGCAGCGCTTCGTTTTTTTTCCGGCAGTGATCGATTGGTTCCGTTTACGAATACATCGTGACATAACTAAAAATTTTTTCCTTCACGATTTGGAAATTATTGCGCTTGCTACATGTACATAATCTTTACTTCTCATGAGCTGTCCAATTATATGGAAATGTCTCCTTTTGTGTGTGTGACATAATTTCTTGTTTTGGTCAATATTGGGTCAAATTTTTTAACACTCTAGAATATGTTAACATTAATTTTGTCATGTGTGAAGCATTTTGGTGTAGGCATTGTGATGTTGTAGTGTTGAAGTCACAGTAAGAAACAGAGAGAAATCTTTCCTACTGTTGCGATGAAGACATCTACTTTAAAGATTACTTTAAGCCAGGTGATTTAAACTTGTTTGAATGTGCCAGTCACGTACATTATATTTTATGCTTGGAGCCACTTATTAGTATGTTCGTATTTGATCAACAGGTTGCATTGAATTTAAGAGGCTTGAGTTTGTGTACTTACTGAAGTTATTTTTTTCCATTTGTTTACAGGAATACCTGTCAAAGCCTCCTTTTGAGAAAAGATTTACTTCAAGTGTCTTAATTCCCATTAAAAAGCCTCAAATTGAAAGGTCACAAAAGCTTAAGTATGCTACAAAATGGAAGAGTGAGGGTCACTTGGTTAATAACTCTTTTGTTAAGGAAGTAAGCAAAAACATGTCGTACAGATATAAGGATTCACAATCTCAACCATCTTCTTTACCAAGAAGATATTTTTCACTTCCAAAGAATTATTCTTCAGTTGGTACTGACAATGGTAAAGATTCATCACACTCTAAAAGGTATAGGTCTATTTCTTCGTCATCTGCAACTTCGTCTGTGACACCTTATGCTCAGTCTTCAAGATATGGAAGTTTACGAACCTATGGTGCTTCCACAAACAGTTCTACATCTGAGGATATTAAAAAACCAACTTCCCGTCGGGCCTCAGGCAGCTCTGTGACCTCTAGATCTGTTGGGATTAGTAGCATTCCCCGTAAAAGTTCTTACAGTGGTACCTTGTCTTCTTTGGTACCCTCAAGTACACGTGATACAACACCATCATACTCATCTAGACATGTGTCAAGTATTCCGCATAGGACTTCTGGAAGTTCATCAATAAGTGCAGACTCCAACTGGATGCCAGGAGGAGCTCCTGTAAGGCAGCGCTCTAGTATCACACTGCGTGAGACCCAGCCCTGGGGCCCTGATGGTCCTCCAGTTAGACAGTATTCTAGCAGCTCATTGCGAGATTCTCCATTTACTTTGCCACCAAGGAGATCATATTCCTCCTCAAAAGGATGTAGTGATAATGAAACAAGGACATCATCAAGCAGAAAATCAGGTCCTGTTGAAATACTATCGACAGACCCTTCGTCAGCATCAAATGTTGAGTTCAAAGGAAATAATGATAGTGAAGAAATTGAAAGAACATCATACTATAGAAAAATTAGTCCCACAGAACCAACATCAACAAGGCGCACTTCTGCTCCTTCTGTTCAGTATGCAGGAAGTATTGAGATTAAGTCTGACAAACCATCATCACCCACATCACCTTTATCACCTGCATTACCAAAATCACCCACATCACCTACAGTTTCTTATTCTGGTAGTATTGCACATAAAGATATGCTAAGCTCAAAGAGTGAAGCTAGCACAACAAACAGCTCATGCCTAGAAGGTGCCAGTGGTGATAGTCATGCTGCTTCCAGAGATAGTAATGATGATGATGAGGTTGAATCCTCTGCTGCAAGAGACATTTCACTTTTAAGTAGAGAAATTGCAAGCGTTTATGAAGGTTCTCTCACTCGGAGTGACTCAAGGAAAGTCAAAGGAAACAATGTATCACAAATCAAGAGTTCAACAGAAAGTAAAAAGTCAAGGAAAAATTCAAAACAGGAAATACAGAATGACATGCCACAATCCAATGAGAAGAAAATAACCACGAGTGGGAAATCATCTCGAGAACAAAGTCCTGGATCAGATACAGGGCTTAAGTTTAAAAAAGGTCATAAACGAAGTGCAAGTACTGGGTCTACTTCAGTCAAAGATGACAAAAAAAGTAAACCTGTGAGAAAAATTTCTGGAATCTTTTCTCGGAAAAAATCACGGGAATCAACTGATTCCGAAGATGATGAGGAGAGGTTACAGAGCAAAGGCTCAGGGCTTTTCTCCCGAAAAGGTTCAAAAGAATCAGAGAAGGATTTTTCCTCACCATCACCTCCATTATCCCCTAAGACATCTCCAAAGCGGAAGATTTCTGGTCCTGGTAGATTGTTTTCTTTCTCTAGTGACTCAAAGACAACTCCTGAAATGCCACGGAAGTTTTCCGTTCCAGGAAAATATTTTGCAAGTAAGGAAAGCAAATCTGGTGGGGAATCGAGCGATTTGGATTCTGAAGGTCCAAGACCTTCTCGACCTCCTGTGAAAAGGAGAGTCTCTATGCCAGGAATGTTATCTTTAACAAGAAGCTCTAGCACAGAAAGATCATCTGGTGGTGGCTGCCATCCCAGCCCTGATCCTGCAGCTGATCCTGCTCTTCTTCAACGACAGAGAAGTAGTTTTAAGAAAGCACAGTCTTTTGATGCACAGAGTGATAAGGCAAAGCACTCCATGTTGAGTAAGTTAAGGTTTTGGGATCATAACAAGAAGGATAAGTCACCTGATTCAAGAAACTCCACATCACCAGAGGAGGGAAGATCGCGATCTGTTTCTCCTTCTGTGGAACCAACACGTAGGATTTCTTTGGAAGAGAGGTTAGAAAATACAACTTCTCAATCAAGGAGGAGTAGAGAGAGAACTACCAAGAAAAAATCCTCCCAAGAAAAAATACTTGCTGATGCAGTAGCACCTTTAGAATCAAATGCAAGGCAGGCTTTATTAGGTCATGATAAATCACAGGTTTCTCCTAAGGTGACAAACTCAGGTCTAGTGGCAAATGATGTCACAAAGAGTATTGGTAAAGAGCCTAAAGTACAGTATGTTGGTCCTGTTGAACCTTCCACAACATCAGAGCTACGGGCAAGGAAAAGAGCACAATACAGAGTGAATTCAGGGGAGAAACAAACGGAAAGCAAGGTAAAGGCTTCAGGTAATCCAGCACAAGCTGAAGAGTCAATAAAATCTACTGGTAAGAAAGCTGAAATTGCATCGTCAGATGCCACTGATGATGCATCAAGAGACACAGTGTCCAAGTTACGAGAGAGGAGAAGGCGGAGACGCGAAGAAAGGGAACGGTTCTTTGCAGGTTTGGAGCCATCTAAAAACTCAACCAACAGACCTGCTGAAACAACTCGAAAGGATCCCGTTCCAGTTGAACCAGCTGTTAAAGATGTTAATCATGATGAAGTTGATGGAAGAACAATTTCTTCAAGCAACAAGCCAGAAGATAAAAGTGGGAGGATAACCATTGAAAGAAGGAGTGACCAACAAAATGGGCAAATTCCGAAAAAGTCAAACCTCAGAAATGGGAAACCTCGCAATCAAACTATTGCATCTGTGGTGCACAAAGATATTATTGCTGATTTGATCAGAGAGAAGGGCCTTAAGACAACTACAAATGCTGAAGTCAAAATCCCCTCTGTGGCTGAACTCAGAGCAAAGTTCTTGATATCCAAGGATGATGCAAAGGTTATTCCTCCGAGGCCAATTCTAAAACTTGATGATCGACCTCACAGTATCTGTGGGGAGATTTTGTCGCCAACTGAGATGAAAAAGTTTGAAGACATGACTTTCTCCCTTGCTAGGAAAGTTTCTTCAGAGGCTGACAACTTAAATAGGAAATTATCTAATGGTGGTAATGGCTCTTTAACGCAGATTGATGCTCAGTGGAAAACACTTTCAGGTGCAAATGAAGAGAAAAGTCCACCTTCTTCTCCCAGAGTCAACAGTAAGATGAAAAAAGAGAAGAAAGTTAAGAATTCTGTGAAAGAAAATGAACAAGTGGGAGAGGAGCCTGGAAGCCCTGAGAGTGGTAGTCATAAGAAGAAAAAAGGAAGCAAGAAGAAGAAGAAGAAATTGATATTTGGAAGTGAAAAGGAAAAGGGAAAAGAAAGTGATAAAGACCAGGAAGTTAAACCACCAGAGGAGGACACTGATTTGCCACAACATGGAGCTGTATCTGCGGCAATAAAAGCCATGTTTTCACGAAAGCCTTACACCTCAGAGAAGATTAAGATATCGCGGAAGCAGCGAGCCAAGACAGTGCCCATTAACCAAACAGAGAATAGAGATATTGGTCAATCTGAAATGGAATCGAGGGAAAGGAAGAAATCAGCCCCAGCATCAACAGATGTACAGAACTCTCCAGATATGAATGCAAAGCCAGTAAAAGTTGAGAAGAAAGTGGAAAAGGATGAGAAAATTGAGAGGAAAGAGGTAATGGAAGATCTTGAAAAGAAAATGGAAGATGTAGATGAGAAAGAAAAAGCAGGGAAGGATGTAGAGCTGCAGCCAACTGAGGATCTTGAGGAGGCACCAGTAAAGGAAAGAAAGTCCCTCAAAAAACGTAAGTTCCTTTTACATGCTTATTTTTTATTGAAGTAACTTTGGATTAAATCCTTCTGGTTTGCCTTTAGTGATGTGTCATTCCCACTTTGATTCCAAGTTAATTCTGTGGTTTAATTTTTTTTTTTTTAAGTATAAAGTTTTCAATCCATTTGTTTTTTGTTTTTCTTTGTCTTGTGATCCTAATTATCCCAATCCTTAATTTCCCAAGATCTGATTGTTAATTCTCCCTTCTAGCTTCCACACATTTCCTTGTAAATTAGTTATGAGAATTTGGTATGCGTAAAAGATTAAGAGAACTTCTACCTGATGAATTTGAGTGTTCTTGTTACTTGTTTTCTGGATAATGTATGGATATTAGAGAGAGAATTTACATTTTGATCACTTCTGGGAGGTAAAAAAGGGTTATCCTGAACAAGGAAAATAAAAATCAAACATGTTAAAAAAATTTAAGTCAAGAAAGAAATTGAACTAAAATGTAGACATTGCAGAGTAGACAGGAAATTAGAATGCCATGTCCATGAAAATCCAGATTCTCAGAACTGGCAGAACAGAAAATTTGTAGTGCCCATTGTAGAGAATTAGTGGTAAGTTCAGGGTAGTAGAAAGTGTAAAGTGGAACACTGAGCCCAGAGGTTAATTTGTTATTTGTGTTGATAAAATACTAATTTCTCAGAACCAGCTGAGAGCAAAGAGTGTAATGCTTAGAAAGGAGAATTTAATGGTTTATTGGTTAGAGGTGAAAACAATGATGTTATTTTAGCTCACAGGCAAAATTACAGATGTTTTTGTCTCTTGTAAAGCTGTTAGCAAGAGAAAAATAGCTGGTGATAATTGTATCAAGAAAAAAAATAATACACAGTGTTTATTGTTTTCTCTTTGTTAGCAAGGTCAATCCCACTTTGTTATGACAGTATTCTGTAACACAATGTGCTATGTTGATATTTTCAGTTCATTGCCAAAGATTGTTTGTTTAATCATTATGGAAGTTGTGATCATGGCCTAAAAAAGCTTAGTGTTTTACCCTTAGCTTCTCTTTTTATTACATCTCAGCCAGTGAGATTGCAAGAGAAATGTTTTAATTTTGATTAGAGATTTTAAGTGTTGATAAGCTTTGCACAGGAAACATTAACAAAAATATTAATGTATAACCTTCATGAGGATGTGCTCTGTGAATTGTTACTAAATAAGACATGGATTCAAAAGTAAGTTTACTTTTCTCTTTTTTAAATCAGTGAATGTTTCAGTTAAAATTTACCTCTGTGTCTGTGTGACAGAATGTTTAAGTTAGCAAAGGATATATTGTATAAATCTTTTAGATTTATCTGCAACTTGATACACAAATTGATGCTCTCACTGCTCTGAGTTATACAGCTGCAGCTGAGGAGTTGAAACGATTGAAAATATTTTTTGTTTCAGTTTTTCTGCCTCATGTTTGATTCTGTCAAATTAAAACAGATATTAATTTGAAAGCTGCATGTGTTTGTACTACATTTACATTGTAGTTTTGTCTGTGATCCTGTTTTGAATTGTATGTTTTCCTTATATAAATTACAGTAGTTTTATACATGTGTTCCCAAGTGTATTTGACCCCTCTTGGTGTAAATTACCTTCAAGATTTTGAGCAGGGTTGTGCGTGTATTTTCAAGAATGGAAGGCTTTTGCAAATAATTAATTTTCATTCTGTACTTTGAGTTAGAGCAGTTCTAACTAACTTGGACAATTTTGTCCTTTTAAGGAACCCTCTGATTAATATTTGATGTGTTTTTAGATCAAGTTTGCATTTGTGAAGAAACTATTTTTAAAAATCTACTATACAAAACAGTTTTAAATGTTTTGTTTATTTGTATAAAATGTCAACTGCTGTATGTCTCTGGGGTACGATAATCAATATTTAGATTTTTCTAGCCCTGAGTCTAAAATTTGGACCATTATGAAAATGTTTTTATTTTTTTAATGTATACCTGCTAATGATGCTTTTAATATATAAATTGAGACCAATACAATGGAAATGTCTGTCAGAGACAATATGATAATTAGGCATCTTTATTTTAAACAGAGGTTGGTTGTAAACATTATGGCAATCTAAAGTGATATTTAGAAAGAATAAAGGGGTGAATTTCTAAAGAAACTGTGGCACTTCTTCTGTGGGAGAGTATAACAACCTAATTTAGTACTGTCAACTGAGTTGATGTTCGTAAATTGGCCATGGTCATTTCAGTCCTACTTTGGTCACTGTAGCAAATTTAGAGTGCTATTTCAAGTCAGAGAGATTTGACATGGACAGTGAAAGGTTTGAAGTTGTTAGATCAGGAGGAAATTCCCTACTTTTCAGCTAGGCAACAATGAAAGAGAAACAAATCAGTTCTTTTTGCAACAAGATTATTCATTCTCATGAGCAGTCCAATGGAGAAAAATGATGAGAGTTTGTGTGGGTACAGAAGATGGTAACCACTTTGTTGAGAGATGAGTTTCTACTCCAGGTAGCAGTGTAGAGAAATGTAGGCAGCTATGTACATAATGAATTGTCTACTTGGAAAAATTTGGTGCAATTTGTTCTACTGTATCACTATCAATTCATGTAACAGCTGATGTTGTCTTCCCCAGCCATCTTGTTTCCTCTTTGGTTTTTTCTTATTATCTCTTGTATTTGCCTTTCAAAGAATATATTTTGCTGATTATATTTAATGATAAAACTCTGTGACAGTCAAAGTCCATCAAATAATTTGACTTCAGGTATGTCTCTTGAACCCTTTCACTCTCAAGATCTCCTTAGTAATTCTCCTTACTGTCTTCCATACAATTCTTATGATGTTAGTTTGGAGAATATGGTATTGGATCAACTACAGAAGTAATTGCCAATTGATATTTCTCTTTATTCTCATCACTTGTCTGCCAGATATTGTATTGATATTGTAAGGAGAAATTCTGTCTTGGTCACTCATGGGAGTTAAAAGGGTTAAAAGGATGATTTTCTCTCTGTTTCCTTTCAGCTTCCAAAAGCAAATCTAAGAGAAAGTTGTCTACAACTCTGAAACCCTTCAGCATGATGAAGACAAAATCAGAATCCAATCTTGCCCAGCGATTCGACTTTGTGGCTGTGGATATTCCTCTGGATGGTGAGCCAGAGCAGGAGAAGGATAAGGAAAATGAAACACAGACAACAGAGGATAAGAAAGATGAGCCAATTAAGCAGGATGAAGCACCTCCTCATTCCGGTCAAAGAGGAAGGCGGCCAAGTGTTTTTGAAGAGGGTCTAAAAGAATTTTATGATTCAACCACGACTGGAGAGAAGGTTGAAGCTAAGGAATCAAAGGCTCCAGAGATCACTCTGGAGGATCTTGATGCTGTTTCAGGACAGACAACAGAGTAAGTACAAATTAACCTTTTAAAACTCAAGATCTGATTGTTAATTCTCTCCTCCAGCTGCTACACATTTTCCTTTAAATTAGTTACAAGAATTTGGTTATAGATCAAGATACCAACTTCCACCTGATAGGTTTGAGGATTCTCATTACCTGTTTGCTAGACAACATCTTAATATTACAAGGAGAAGTTACATGTTAATCACTTTTGTTAGCTAAAGTGTTGTAAAGAAATGTTGTGTAAAGTTTCTGAAGGCGAGGTTTGCTGCCGAAAAGAAGACAATCCTGAGTGTCAGCTGTTGGGGTTTGAAGAAATTGGCATTGGCTGGCTATTACAGTTTTTTTATGAAACCCTGAAAAATACAAAAATAGTATTATCTGTAATGTTGTGTCCTAGGAAACTGACATCTTTAGCAGGGGACAGAATGAAGATTAGACCTAAGCGTCACCACAGATCAACAGCAAATCCAGTGAAAAACCTACAGCAGAGAAATGATGTGCGAACAGAGACTGAGGTAAAGTACTGGCACATGTATCTGGCCTTGCTCACTTTTGAATTCTCTGTGGTTCAGTGGTAGAACAACAGAGCACAAAATTAATAGTGGTCAATTGTCCACTGTATTATTTATCATTTACAAAAATTTCAAAGAGTGATCTTTTTAAGAGTGCTGTCAATGAATGTTGCTGAAGGCTTTTTATTATCTGTGTTTACCAATCAACTTGAAGCTTCAACATCCCCTCCCCCCTCTAGGAAATCCATGGGCATTTTCTGTTTTCCATGCCTGGGGGAAGGGAGGTGGGAAATTTGAACCTTGCCTGGCTGGGGTGAGGAATTTGAACTGAGAGTGTCAAGTTTTTTCAGCAGAATACTGGAGTTGTATCTTGAACTATCTTATGGTAAATAGTTTACTTTTGGGAGCAAATGCTCAGTAGAAACGGTCTACAAGGTGTAGGTTGTAAAGTTTGGTCAATATGTAGAAAGTCACAGTGGCTAAAATTGGGGAGGGCATTTGAAGACAGCTTTTTCCCTGGCAAAGGTGGAGGGAGGGGAGGGGGGGGGCAGAATTTGAACAAACCAGTCCTCAAAAGTTCAAATGCCCAGGGGGCTGGTGGAGAGGGGGGGGGGGGGAATTGAAGCTTCGAATTGATCAACACATGAGAGAAGGTCATTTGATGATGATGATGATGATGATAATGATAATAATAATAATAATAATAATAATAATAATAATAATAATAGTTATAATAATCACAATTATTATAGCACTTGGATAGAATCAGTTCTTTTGACTCTCAGGTTGAGCGACCGAGAATAGAAAAGAAACAGGTCACAAGTGAGCATCCTGTCATCAAGAGAAAGAAAAAGAAATACAAAGATCCTGACAACCTGTGTATGTCCTTTTTTCCTTCTAGCTGTCAAAGCACATTGCAAATTCCCACTTCTGTGTAGCATTTTAGGAAACTTGTCTGCCTTTTATCCTTGTGGATATTCATAGCATAGTAATGTGGAGAATCAATTTGTAAATTTTGTGGAAGTGGAATGGCCTTAGGAGTTTGGGGAAAACTGTATCATGGCACAGATGGCATGACCCGTTGTTAAATATGGTAGATTAATTTTGGAAGGCTTTGTGGGATATGAAGGCCATCTTTGGTGTCAAGTATTATGGTAGTGCTCGCTTGTCATCGCATTTCATCTCATCTCATTTCATCTCATCCCATTTCATCTCAACCCATTTCATCTCGTCCCATTTCATCTCATCTCATTTCATCTCATCCCATTTCATCTCAACCCATTTCGTCTCATCCCATTTCATCTCATCCCATTTCATCTCATCCCGTTTCATCTTATCTCATTTTTTCTCTTCTATTTACATCTTATCTCATCTTTTCTCGTTTTATTTTTCTCTTCTTATCCTATCTCATCCCATTTCATCCCATTTCATCCCATTTTGTCTCGTCTCATTTCTTCACATAGGTATCCGGATAGATCGCGCCATGGTTAGATCGCTCCAATTAAAAGTTAGATCGCGCCACTCGAAAGTTAGATCGCTCCATCAAATAAGTTACTTTGCTAACAACATAAGGTACTTCGCTCCATGTTGTAATGTGAAGTATTACTTTCCAATGATCTTTAAAGTTTTATAGGTGATGATGTGTCTTGTGACGATTCGAGTACATCGTCCTCACTCTGTCCTTCAGATTAGCCACTGAGCTACCGATGTATGATGTATAGCGATGATGGAATACATGATCGTGGAATAGATTATAACTTTATAGTCTGAAGTGTATTAATCATTCTAATACCAATACTGTCCAGTGTGGCCTTTTTTGCTGTTTGATGTAAGGAAACTGATATCTGCCATCTTTAGTTAATAAATTAGATTACACTTCGTGAGTCCCTTACATGAGGCTTCATTTGTTTTTTCTGCGTAGCTCGGATTTTTTTCAAGCGCGCGCCAGCGATTTTAATCGATTGTTAGGTAAGATATATACGTCATTTAATGAATTATCAATTTAGATACCTTAGTTTTGCTACCTTAACCTTAGTTTTCGACATGGAGCGAAGTAAATTATGTAGGAGCGAAGCCACTTACTTGATGGAGCGATCTAACTTGCCAGTAGAGCGATCTAACCATGGTGCGATCTAACCGTAATTCATCACATCATCTCACTACACATAACTCTACTTTCACATTACATTAAAAAACCTTGCACCAACAGTACATGTATATGATGTTATCTTGTCTACCTACAGGGAGGCGTCACACTCTCGACTTGGCGGCATCAGCATTAGCTGGTCTGGCCAGCACTGAAGATTTCACTAAAGTCAGATTGCGTAAAACTGCTGGGCCTGAAGAGAAGGAAAAGGATGAGTACAGAGGAATAAAACCTATTATGCTGATCCACATAAAAGGTAAATAAAAATCTTTTGATTTGGAAAGTCGCAAGAGTTTTTAACCCTTTAATCCCTAAGAGGGACAAGGTTCTAATTTCCCTTACAGTATCACCCCAGAATAAAAGGTTTAAGTCACGAGAATAAGGGAATGATCAGTAAGCAACGAAGCTCTTGATGGTTTTACAAATTCTTCCTGTTAGAACCTAGGAAATGTATAGAGAACAGTATGGAGAATATGCATGATGATGCCAGGGTGTAAAGGGTTAATTGTGAGGGACTATATGACAGGAGTTACATACATACATGTGGGTATGACAGTGGCCTGATGGTCAGTGCACTGGACTCCGGGTCGAGAGGTCTGGGTTCAAGACTTGGCCAGGTTACTGTGTTGTGTTCTTTGGCAAGACACTTTTACTCTCCCCATGTCTCTCTCCACCCAGGAAGGAGTTTAAATGGGTACTGAAGAATTGTTAGGGAAGCCTGATGAAATACTAGGGGGTAACCTTGTGATAGACTGGCATCCCATCCAAGGGGAGTAGTTACACTCCTTGTCGCTTGATGCTTTATGGAAACTGGGAAAGGCTCCAGCTACGTGGGCCAGAAGACTGGAGTACAGACTTTATCTTTACCTTTACATACATATATTCATGTTAAGCCCTTTGTGTTTTGTGTACAGGACGGCGTCATCTTCAAGTACGTCTCGTTGAACCAAGTTTAAAGTCTTTAAATTCTGGAGACTGTTTTGCTCTTGTGACAGAAAAGGATCTGTTCTCCTGGATTGGAAAGGAATCCAATCCGTATGAAAGAGCCAAGGTTTGTAAATACATGTACTTCTGTAGGAATTGCTACATGCCGTTTTTTCTATTTCTACCTTCACCTCTATATCTATCATTGCTGATACAACTATTGTTACTGATGATACTGTCACCGATATTGCTGTTTCTGCTGCCTAGTTCTGCTAATGCTGTTTCTCTTGCAGCTAATACTGCTACTGATGGTGATTCTTCCTGTTTTTTTGTTCTTTTGCTTCTTCTGCTTCTTCATTGCTTTGGTTTTCTGATATTGCTTGTCTTGTTTCTTCTATTGCTTCTGCCACCACTACCACCTCTGTGTCTGCTTCTGCTTCTTCTGCTACTCCTGCTCAGTTTCTGCCACCACCCCTGATACTGTGTTTGTAGATCTCATTTTGGATTGTAAGTCTTAAATAATAATTTTGACTTTTCCGTAGGTGACAGAAATTGTCTCCAAGATTAAAACAAAGAATGAATTGAACTGTAAGGCGCGAGACATTGTCACCATTGAAGAAGGAGACATGGACTTCAACGCTGCCTTGGACAAATTTGCAAACATTCTGAGTGGAGATCCTGGAAGTAATCCTGTTAAAGGTTGGCTAACATTTCTCTCACCTTTAACCCTTTACATCCTCTCATCAGGATGTATTTTCTCCATACTGTTCTCTATGCATTTTCTAAGGTTCTAACAAGGAGAATTTGTTTAACAATCTAGACCTTCTTTCGTTGGTGATCATTTTCTTAATTCTTGTAACCTTACTGTGTGATTTAGGGCTGATATTGTAAGGAGAAATTAGACGCTAGTCGCTCTAAGGGATGACTGGGTTAAAACTTGCTAACTACAAGTACCTTCTGACTGAAGCAAGATATCCTACTAAGTGCCATTTGTATGTTTAACCTTTTGACTCCTAAGAGTGATTATCACAGGATCACCCCTGGATCACACGTCGACATCACGAGAATAAAGGAAATGATCACCAACTAAAGAGGCTCTTGATTGTTAAACAAATTCTCCCTGTCAGCATCATAGGAAATATAGAGAGTACTTTTAAGGGAATATGCATACTGATGTTTGAGTGAAGCAGATTAATTGCCATGATACCAAATGTTTCAAGAATGATTACCTCAGCTTGAATTAAGAGTGGTGTCCAAACCAATCAGTGCCTTCTATGGACAAACAGTTCCCTTTGGTTGACACTAAGTCATTTTCCCAGCTCTGTAATTTTCCTTTGCCAAGGGTTTTTTCAATAATGCTGGCAGAACCGAGTGGAGTTATCGCAATGAGAAGTTTCAACCTGTCGACCCCTCGGAGTGACTTGCTTCTTATTTCTCCTCTACAGTTTCACCCTTGCATCAAATGTAAAGGAAAATATCATAAATTTAGGAAGATTCTCATCGTCAAACAAATTTTCATGGTCACTGTTATAGGGAATGGAAAGTGAATCGTGTCGAGAAAATCAATACCAATGATAGGGGTATAGGGTTTATCTCAAGTGAAATCTGTAATTTACAAAATGAATTTTCTATATGCTGAATCGAGTGCAGCGGTTCACAGTCAGCACTATTATATTTTGTTTTGTCTACACTAAAATTCAGTTACCACTTATCCTCATATAGATGCTCAAAAAATGGCCAAAGATGAAGAATACGAGAAGGGTGTAGTTAAGGGCAACATGGTTTATAAAATTCACTGGACAGATCCTCCAACTCTGATGCCAGTAGAGACTATGTGTGGACGAATTCCTCAGGTCTCCATTTTTGACACTAAGGAGGTAATTACATTTTATTAGTAAAGCTTTCTGCTTTTTGCTGGTGACCAATTATTTGATCATCTGTGAATCGTGTTCACGTTGGAAATCTTGTTTCTGTGTTTTAAAACACTGAGTCGAGGGTGACAATCGCTAACGCAGTGGTCAAGCGTCCGCGCATGAGCGAACGTCGGAATGACCAGGTGCCAGTAGTTGGCGTGCATTGAGGCTGTCACAACCTAGATGTTACAAATAATAGCACAAGCCAGTTAGTCACGGTGTTTTGAAAGCGTATAACTTTTTCGGTAAAGCGCAAAGCAGAATAGTAAATCAACAGGATATCTGTACTTGAAAGAGCTTTGCGTTCGGAAAGTCATCAGTTTTCCTTTTCCCTGCTTTGTTTTCTTTGACAGATTTCAATGAAAATTTCAATTTTATTTCGTTTATTTTGCAAGAATGCGGTTGTTTCCTATGTTTTACAGTGAAATTTTACACACTTAATTGGCGCACGGCCGGCCAGTATTGATTCCTTTGCGCAAGCCCGACGTTTGGTCGGTTTTTCTGCAGATTTAGCGTTTTGTTTTGAGTTTTATCAAAATAGTTATACGGTTTTTTAACACTGCGCCATACTCGATTGCGTGGTTGTGTACAACTCTTGTAAGGCAATTTGGCGCACCACTCACATGAAGCCTATACAACATTCACCCATCCACAGACGTTCGACCGCTGTGTTGCCTAAATTGCACTCAGCCACACTTTTTCTCTCACAGTCATAGTCAACACATTTTCTTTTTATTCAGGTTTTCATATTTGACTTTGGTTCAGAACTGTACGTGTGGAATGGACAACAGTCGTTATCAGGTCAAAGAAAGTCGGCCTTCGCTCTGGCAAAACAACTATATGAAGAGCCTTTTAAACCGTATGGAAAAAATTATGATCCAATCTACCCGTATGGCAAACCCGAAAATTGCACCGAAGTAGACAATAAAGTTTCAACTGGCAGACCACCGTGGACGTTATTTGCAAGGCTTCACGAAAAGGCTGAGACAATCTTGTTTCGTGAGAAGTTCCTCGACTGGCCTGATCCAACCAAGATTATTCGAATGAAGGGACATCCTAGTACGCTTGAACTAGCACCAACGGTACAGTGAATTTTGATTACTGCTTATCATTAGGGACCGGAAGTTCACTTCTGTTCTGGTTGGTTTGGTTATTGCTAACCCTTTAAACCTCAAGGGTGACTAGCATCTAATTTCTCCCTACAGTATGACCCCTGAATTGCACATTTAGGTCATGAGAATAAAGGAAATGGTCACCAGGAAAGGAACCTTTTGATTGGCAAACAAATTCTCTTTGTCAGCACCTTAGGAAATTTATCAAGAACAGTGTGGAGAATATGCATACTGATGTTGGATGTAAAGGGTTAAGGGAGGAAAAGGTCAAAGGGTCCTGTAGAGAGTTAAACTAAAGACGATGGTAAATTTTAAGCTTGGTCTTCAAAGCAGATTTTTGTTTAAAAGTGAATTGTTCGCGCAATAATTCCTTTGTTTCCTCGTCTCGAGCGTTTAAAAACTCGACTCGTGCCTTGAGTTTTCGAGGATCGAGATCGAGTTTCGAGGGACTGTCAACTTACTTTTGAGCGGTACTTTAAATTTCAGTTTGTAAAACATGCACAACACGAAAGACACGGAACAGTGTTGACAGTTTGAGAGTGAGCTTTGTTGTGAACAGTAATATCATGTTGGTTTTCTCCATGACTTTTAGCCTCCTCCTGTGGAACTGAAGCCCTGTGACCCCAAGAGCATGCTGAAAAGTCCACCGCCATTGCCAAGCCAGATGTTTGAAGGGACGAATGTTGGGCGTGGCAATGGGATTCCTACTGTGTGGGTGGGTGACGTTTACAAGGAGGGAAACCTTGTGACAACCGCCGGTCTAACAGTGTGGCATATTAACGAGTACAGACACTTTGAGGTACAGCCAGCACAACATGGACATTTCCACTCAGGTAAACACATCAATGCTGATAGTGTTATTTATTCTTGTATGATTCTTGTTTAGAAAGTGGTTGGCGCACGGGGCAGGGAGGACTGAGTTCGAGCCATTGCCGAGTCTCTGTACTATTGTCTGAGGCAAAACACGTCAATAACTGAGTGCCTTTCTCCACGCTGGAGTTTAAACCTTCCGAGTGTCTGGCTTGTAATTTCTCCTTAGATTATCACTTTTAAATCAAATGTAAAGTTCATGAGAATAACAGAAATGATCACAAATTTAAGAAGCTCCTGATTGTCAAACAAATTCTTCTAGTGAGTACCACAGAAGAAGTAAAGAGAACAGTGGGGAGAAAATGGATGCTAATTTAAGGATGGAAAAGGTTAAATGGGTTGCTTGTGAAATGTTAGGAAAACTCGACGTAATGCCCTTGGGGGGGGGGGGGGTTTCAATGGATTAGCTGAGAGCAGACCTCCATTCAATGTCTTTAAGACGTTACTTTAATGTAGTATTTTGATGTTGCAGGGGAAGGCTACGTGATCAGGTGGGCCTACTTTGTGCTCGCCGACAGAATAGTCAAAGATCGGAAGTCCCGTTGTCGTTCAACCGTTGCTGGGCGCGTCCGCTGCGCTTACTTTTTCTGGCAAGGAAATGACTGTTCTGTGAATGAGAAGGGTGCAGCTGCCATCATGGCTGTAGAACTTGATGAAGAAAAAGGACCGCAGGTAACGATATGAAATGTGTATTGAAAGCCTTATCCTGAAGTAGTTTGTGTGTGCTGTCCTGTCTCTGTTTGCCTTCTTGCTTGCCTAGTTCTCTCGTCTTTTCGTCTGTCAGTCAGTATCTTCTTCTTTTGGCTGTTTTGTCTTTTTTTTTTTATTTCTTTTGATTGGTTAGTTTTACCTCGATGTTATCTTTACAGGTAAGAGTGGTGCAAGGAAAGGAAACTCCAGTATTTCTAAATCTCTTCAAAGGGGGAATGATTATCCATACTGGCAGGTACACAGTTTGTGAACATCTAGTTTTGATCAGCCAGCAGTATTTGATTATCAGTAATATTTGATCTTGAGCCAAAATATGTTCGAGTGATTGCCTTCTCGGTGGAAAAAAATCACTCTCGCAGCGTCTCTCTTCACAGAGGAGTACAAATTGACAAGGAAACGCGAAAATTATCCGAGGTGGGATGATGAAGGGAGTATCTTAGGATGGATTAGCTGCCTGTCTTAAAGGAGTAGCAATAATTTTACTCACTTTATTCTATGGAAACCGGGATATGCTTCAGCGGTTTGGGCTATAAAGCTCATGCGCAGAAGTCGTCTGTGAATAATGAATCTGTATTTCAGATATTTCCTCAAAAATGTCCTTCACTGGTCAAATTTTCAGCAACCCGCTGTCCATTACACTAACACAATGCATGAATATTGGACGTCAATTTTATCATTGCGTTGCAATCAAACAGCAGAAATTCATGTTGGATGTTCTCAATCACGCTACCACGAACACAGCATTCGAGTGTGTTGATTCACTGGTAAACTTTATCATCAGGAGTCGAGATTATTCACGTATTCGTTGCATGTTTACATTATATATGTCCCATATATCATTTATCACGATTTAATTTGAATTGAATTGCAGTTAGGCTACTTGACTCGAGAACAGAAGCATCTCTCATTCTGTGTGAATAAAAGAGCCGATGAAAACTCGTGTTGAGACCAGCCTGCGAGCAAGCCTCATTCTTAGCGCTGCAGGACGCGCGTTTCTCCTCTGCGGAAAGAGCACAGACGAGTTGGGGAGAGGTTTGCGTGGCTCAAGGCGTTGTACTCTCGCGCAGGCGAGGAAGTGCTCGCGCTGAAGCCCCAATAACGAGGGCCTGTTGATATTGGTTTCGGTGCGCGAAAACGCGAGTGATCAAGTCGCGATTGGTTTTTTCATTTTTGCATCCAATCGGCTGAGAAAGTGGGTCGAGTTTTTTCGACCAATCAGAGAGCGAAGTATAGCAAACTGACAAGACAATTTCGGATTGCCTTCAAATGCTCACTTATAAATTGCTGTATCACGCTAGAACAAATCATTTTCTAAGCAGGCAGCCATACTAAACTTGCAATGGGAGATGCTTTTTTCTCAGGCCAAATAAATGTTTATCAATGATCGTGATAATGAACAGTTTAAAGGAACGATGTGTCTAACATTTTTTAGATAATCTACCGATCCAAAAAAACACACAGAGAAGAATGGTCTAAACTCTGAAAATGAAGATGGGAGAAAAGCTGAGCTACTTTTTGACAAATACTATTGTTTATGTGAAATTTCACTTCACTAATTCTTTTATTAACAGCTTACCCAAGGGCTGGTATGACACAGAGACGTAAGTTTAGTTCTGATTTTCTAACAATAATGTCCGCGTAAGGAATTATTTTAAACAATATCTTGGCAGGAAAACTTCCCCTACCTGAACCAACTTTAATTTCTTCGTTAGAGCAGTTTTTAATTGGGTGTAGTGAAACCAGAACCAAAATAATCAAAGTGACCAATTGGAACAAAGGTTTACATTATCATTAACCAATGAGAGCTCTAAGTGAAAACTTGCCAACTGCTTGAAGCGCGGGAAAACGCGAACGGCCGGGTCGCGGTTGTTTTTTAGTTTGCATCTGATTGGTTGAGAGGATGGTGCGAATCAAGTTAAGGATGGCGCGAGCAAAGTTGAGCGAAACGAAAGCAATCACGGGTTACTTTTGACACCCAGTAGAAAATTGCTCTGCTTTAAATCAAACTTTTTTTTGACGAGGGCGTTACTGACTGGCTTAAAACTCTAACTTGCCTTGAAAAGAAAGAACCAAGTCCTGAATTAACAGTAAAATCACGTAACAGTAAAAATGTAGCGTAATTTGGCGGGCGAGTGCTCATTATTTTCTCGGCGAAAATTGTGACCGCCATCTTTGATTTTATTGGAAGCGGATGGCTGACGGAGAGAAAGAAATTTTTCCTAAGGGGTGAGCGAAAGTAAAGAAACAAGGAGAGGGGTGGGGGTGGGAGAGTTTTTTCGCTTTTCCCCGCTCATCCCCCCCCCCCCCCACTGTGGACTATAACTCCAAATCAAACATGGCTGGTTGAATAAACGATGGTTCGCTTCTTAGCGTTAATTCACCCTATTAAGACGCCTGCACTGCAAGCTCATGAAAATTTTAATGTTAAAGACCAAACCCATAAACTTCCTGATGAAACCACAATAATCGAAAATAATTATTTCAACAAGTATGCTTTGGAGCGCAAAACATCACGGTAACCTATGAGAAGCATAATTGAAACGAAGTTTAAAGAAAATAATTTTCATTTTTCCTGAAGTTAGTATTAAAATAATTCAAATTGTAAATGGAATTAACGTCTGAAAACTCATTTGTCAAATTTCATAATTACATGATTTCCTGTTCATGATTCCGCCTCACTGCCACTGCCACTGTCACCCGCACAGTATATGTCATTTTGTTTAGCATTTCATGTCTTCTCAGTGGACACTGTGTGGTCACTTACATGAGGTTATTGGGGCCCTTAAGCACCACGACGACGACGCCGACGAATGATAGGCCTGTTGGTTGTCACACAACGCCCCTCTCCTCTGAGAGGGGGCGTTGCATGACACCCTAAAGAACAACTGCGAAGGAGATTAGTGATGGATTCAACGTGTTTTCAGTTTAAAACGCCGCGCGACCTCATCATCAGCATAACATGCGATGGTAGCCCTTGGTTTCAAAAAATTTTGAATAATTTGCCGTCGCGGATCCCGCCTCTAGACTTCGCTAATGTGATAATTTTACGCTGTTGTTTAGCAGAGGACGGCAAGCAAATGTACGAACTTTAAAACTTTCGTGCTGCGCCATGTAAGTGTTCCAATGTTGTTTGGCCTCATTCTTGTTGCCGTCGCCATCGTGGTTTGCTTAATGTCCCAACTGTATAAGATAGACTCCTTTGGTAGGACGACAGACTGAACTTATAGGATGCGCAAGTAACGCACATACAGACCATCATTCCGTACACTCAGTTATTGGGTCGTCACCTACCGCACATAGACGCCTTACGTAGACAAACAAGGGGTAGGGGTGGGGTGGCTGACACTTGGAGGGGTGAAGGTGTTTCAAAGTAGACACCACCCTTAGTCAGGAGCATATCACGAGTGTGGTGGTTGGGCTCGTCTCTCTTGGTCCTTAGCTTATCTCTTGCGGGATGGCCGGTCGTTTGTGCTTATGTCAGAGGTGTTGAAGAGCAAGCACAAAGAACATTAACTGGTTCTCATAACTTGATACTTTCACTTGCTCAATAGGAAAAACATGGTAGACGAGAACACAGCGAAATTCACAGGTAGGCTTAACTCATTAACTTTGAGAGAAGATTTACTCGTTACTTCCTCTCCTCTCAGTGAACAGGTTATGAGAATAACCTTCGTCATGTTATCTTGATGTAAAACTAAATTTTCAATAATAACAATAATACTATAACTCGCTTTCATTTGCTTTCGTTTTCTGCCAGATTCCTCTGAGACTCGTTTGTATGTGATTCGTAATGAAGAACCTGGAGAGGCCTACCTGAATCAAGTCAAAGCAAGGTAAAGGCTTACTGTGTTGTGATCATTTCACTGTTGTGTCACATTAGGCACAGTTTTAATCTCCTCACGCGATACGCTTGTCACGCGGAAAGTTTGTCTTTTCACGCGTCTTGAAATACTCTCTCTTGATATTTTGGAATGTTTTCTCACATAAAATACAGCTTGTCCCACCAAACACGCATATCGCGCAACACGTTCTTCACGAAACGCGCTCGTTTTAGATACTCCCAGGTGATCATTTGATTATTATATCGCATGAACTACAGTTCTAGTCTCCTCACGCACCGCGCTTATCGCTCAAAACGGTCGTCACACAACACGTTGGTCACGTAACACGCTCGTCTGGCTTGAATACCTCAGATGAGAGCTCTAAAGGAGACAAAGACGCAACTTTTATTTTTTTCATCTCATAGTTCATATTCGCTGCGATCAAGGACCAGTTTAGTTCTGGTGTCACGGCGTGAAGCTCACATCTACTTGTGGCATGGATGTAAATCCAGTGAAGATTCCCGCGCCACAGCCAAAGCAGCTGCCAAGAAAGTCCAGGAAAGGTAAGGCAGAAGTAAACAGATGCAAAACAGTTATGGCACAGGGAGTGTTGTGGGAGATTGGGCATTGGGTTTGCTTTACCAAGTTAAGGCAATTTTCAGTTGAGTCTCAAAAGTATTGTGGTGTTTTTCCTTCTGCGTTCTTTAAGTTTAAGTTCTTTTCTTGTTTGAGAAAACTCTCTCTATCCTTCAACCCCAAGAGAGGCAGAAATAATCCTACTTGCGACTTGGGTACTCTCGTTTTTCCTGGCTTCATGCAGTTGACGCGTTTTTGCTCGAGTTCCTATGGGCTCGTTTTGATATTTTCGTTCGTTATCATTGGCTGTTGTCACTACTGCGGTTTTGGTTGCCGTACAGTCGAATTTACACTACCACGCTCTTTGATTGGTCCGGCGAATCCGCGCCGCCCTCTCAACCAATCAGATGCAGACTTAAAAGCCATCGTGTCCGACTCACTCGCTTTTCCCGCCATTGAGTTGTACTCGATATGTGTTTTTAGTTACGCCTTTTTGATGTTCCATTGCAGGAAGAGTGTTGATTGCAATATGGCTGGGATTACAGCCTTTTCTCTCAGTGAAATCGAGGAAGGAAGCGAAACAGAAGAGTTTTGGAAAGTGATTGGAGGAAAGAAGTACTACTGCAGTTTGGCGCATGGTATGTAACTGACCTTGTTCACTCGTCGTGCTTATAGGCGCAGAACGGATAAATGATACATCAGCCCATATGAACGTGGAGTAGACATCATTAGAAAGTGCTTCTCAGGAGCTTTCATGGACTAGAAACAAACAAGGGTTTCCATCCGTAGCTTCCGTCTTAAGTTGGAAGATTTCATCCACAGACCTCAGCTAGAACAAACTTGTAAAGCAACGTCATCACACCACGTGAATACTGCTGAAAGGGTTTATTTTTTTTACTGTGGGACTGTTCTAGTTTAGTGGAACCTAACGTTTGACGAACAGGAATAGAGTAAGGAAAGTTTTGGCTCATCCTAGTCTTTTTCGGCTGCCATTTTGGAATGTTTTGCGGAGGGTAGCATTGTGTGACGTCTGAAAAAAATGAATTAGGACAGGTTTCCTCTCGATTCTTGCTCGACTACGGTGTGTTGTTATGAGGATTTGTTTACGTGTTTATTTAAGAAAGATTTTTTTTTTGTCGTAGATCCATCCAAACACAACTACCAACCTCGACTTTTTGAACTAAGCAGTGCCACTGGAAAATTCACAGCGAGTGAAGTTTTGTGTCCCTCACGATCGGAACCAAAACTGTGCCCGTTTCCATTCCTACAAGAAGACCTTTATACGGCCAAACAACCAGGTGCGGAAGCTAAGCATAGTTGTTACAAAACTGCACAGGGTAATCGCAATGTAAGGAGATTTGCGCGAGGAATAAGGAATGAGAGAGAGAGAGAGAGAGAGGGAGACGAGACGCCTTTTCCATTAACACTCCCTTCCCGGCCTTTTCCTTCCGCACCCTGCTACCCTGCTACCCCTCCCTGCTATCCCTCTCCTCCTTCCCCCTCCCCCCAGAAGACAAGTTTTTCTAAGACACAGATTTTTGATTATTAATTCGAAGATCATTTGCAGGGTTGTTTATCGTAGACGGTTACTATGAAGTCTACGTTTGGGAGGGTTGGATGCCTGAGGATGACGATGATGTGCGAACAGGCTCCGGAAGACAGCGCTGGGACAGAGACAGAAAACTCGCTATGGAAACGGCGCTTAGTTATGCTAAAGGTGTGCGATTTGTTTTTGTCCCTCTCTCGCTGCAAGTGATATTTTTGTCTTTAGGTGTATCGTTGTGTTTCTCAAGTCTATTAGTTGCCAAGTTAATTTCCAGTCATAATGAAATAAGAGATATTAACTTTTCTATCTATCATTGATTCCTTTCAATGATTTATGGTATTAATTTTTATTTATTTATTTATTTCGTATCCCTCAGAGGCTGGAAAGCGCGTCTCTCACCGTGTGTACGTGGTGTATGCCGGCATGGAACCGATGACGTTTAAAGTTCTTTTTCCTTACTGGAATGATACACCAGATGTCATCAAAATACAGAAACTGGTATGTACTATGTCGAAGCATGCAAGCAAGCAAGTTTTCCTTGGCAAGTTGCACTCCTTTTAGTAGAATTAAAAAGCCGCCCTATGCTTCTTTTATCGTAATCAGTCATTCTTGTTGTCTCTTTTCTAGGACGGAAAGCAACCTAATACAAAACACTCTGCCAGCGACTTACTACAACAGTTTACAAAGTAAGTGACTATAGAATCATGTTTCCTGTCACACAGAGCTGTGTTCTTCTCCTTCAGCAGTTTCCATCAGTGCTTCTGGTATGAGATTTTCCAGACTGTGACAGAGGGCGCACGCTTAAACATTGCAATTATGCAGAGTTTGCTTTAGTAAGCTCTGTGATTGGTCCAGACTAACGCACCATTCTCTTAACCAATCAGATACATACTAAATCGTTGTCGACGTGGTTGCCTGCATTTTCCCGCGTTTTAGACATTGTGCTTGTTTTAAATTTGGATGCCCATTGGCTCCACGTGTTTATTTTCTTTTATATGATTGGCTGATCTTGTTATTGTGTGTATGGTCTCAAAGACACTTTCTCTAATGACGCTCTATCTTAACTACTCCTGAATTGCTTTCAAAGGGATTTTTACACACTGGCTGAACTTCAGAAGATACCACCACCCCAAGGAGTCGATCCAGCGAAACTTGAAGTTTACTTAAGCGATAATGACTTTAAGGTGAGTTCAGAATGAATTTAATGAGAAAGTGCTCCAACTTACGTTTGTAAGCGAACCTCAACATGTCACTGTGTGTCGTGGTGTTCTATATTGATATGGCCACCTTTTTAGGCGAGAGATTGGTGCAACAATTAAGCATTTTCCTTTTCTTTTTCTAGGAGATTTTTAAGATGGAGAAAGAGGCATTCAGTAAGCTCCCAGGCTGGAAACAAATCAATCTAAAGAAAGCTGTTGGTCTGTTCTAGAGCAAAAAAAAACCTCGAAACTACATGGTGGTAACTCAGACTATTTATATCCTTGTCGACAGGTGCGAGAAGAAGGAAACAGTGGTTATTACTTATAAGATCTAATGCGCTAGATTGCCTCTGTCAACCTTTTATCTCCCAGAGTTGATTGACGTGTCACCTCTCCTTGTGATTCCACCGTGTTATTTTGCAAACATGTTATGAGAGCATACAAGCTAGTCAACTGGGGGGTTAAGTCTTGATACAACACGAAATTCTCCCGTTTATTTTACAAGGAAATATTTGGCAGTCTGTTGGGAGAATTGCAAATATGATTCTGGGAGTTAAAAGGTCAGGGATACCTAACTTTGAGATATAGTGTGCCGGTAAGGAATGATAATAAGATTATTTTCTTACGCGTATTCCCGTAGCATTTAGTGTGCTGGGTGACACGAGGCAAGTTTAAAGGCAGATAGCTTTATGTGTAACCTAAAATGCTAAAAGATGTATGTTTTTTGTAATGATGAATTACCTTGTTAAGATAAAGCTATTGATATAATTTTTGATGTAATTTTCTTGGCGCAGCATCAGTAGGCTTAAAAATGAAATGTGATTTTTATTTAGTTCAAATTTTAGATGGTAATATGATAACTTAGGCGTTAGAATGTGTTTCACGTCAGTTTGGTTTCAATCAAATTGGCTCACCTTGAATTGAAAAGAGTTATTTCAATTTGAATTTCAAGAAATTGTTTTGAGTCAAATATTTTTATAGTCGAGAATTAGATTGCAAGTAATTTGCGGTACTTGATAATATTGATTTTAGAGGAAATATATTTTTGAAATTACGCAGTTGATTTTAGAGAAGTGTTCTTCGGAAAAGGTTTTAAAATTCACAGCCATTATTCTTTTTCAGACGGAAAATCTCGACAATGTTTTCTTTATACGTTCGTTTCTTCATATTTATTTCTTCGCATAATTTATTTCTGTATCTCAAAGATTTCGTTAGAATTCTGCTGGGCGGATGTAATAGATTTTGCATTAATTGTTATCATATGTAAAGATTATGTTTGTTGCATATTTTTCATTTCAAAAAATACCATGACTAAACTTGAGTGTTAAATACAACGATTACAGTTCCTTTCGGCTAATGATTTCGTCAGATGACCTGGGATAAGTTGGAGCGCTTTTCGATTGAGTGTCTTGAAACGGAAACCAAAATAATTACACTGGCCAATCAGGAGAGGAAAATACCTTGAAGAACCAATGAGAACTCAAAGTAAAACCGAGAAAACTGTCTAAAGCGCGGGAAAACGCGGGCGACCAAATTTTGATTGGTGTTTGTTTTGCATCGGATTGGTTGAGAGGGTGGCACGATATTTTTTTGACCAATCACAGAGCAAATTAGAACAAGACCAAAGCAATCCTGGATTTGTTTTGACACGTACTATTGAATCGAAGATTGCGCTATTCGTAAACATCGGAAGAAGTCAGAGCTGGTAATATTTCTTAGGCAATGGACATATCTCGACCCAGGCAACGAGCAATTTTTTTTCCCATATTCCTTTTCATGTCGAAAGCACTGATTGCCAGGGTCGAATGAAGTTGGAATCATTTTGAGTTTCCTGCAATATGATTGGCTAAGTTTCTTAAGAGCAGTTTTCAATCGACTGTCGTAAAACCATAACCAGAATAATCACAACAGCCACAGCCAATCATAACAAAGGTTTTGTGTCATCGTCAGCCATTTAGGACTCAAAGTAAAAACTGAAAAGCTACCAAAAGCGCGGGAAAACGACTAAGACACGTAGTGTTTCCTACAATTCTTGATGTTTTAATGGTTATAGCAAATTATTGTTAATCTCAGATTATTCAGTAAGCTTAATGTATTATAAGAATTGAGCTAAATTGTTTTCGTCAAATTGAGCAGGAGAAGGTTGTATATACAGAGAAAATTATGAAAGCTGAAATGAGATTAAATTTATGTTCTATGTTAATCCTGATGTGATGTACATAGTAATAAGAAGCTTTGCGTCAGGTTTTTATGCAGTTAAAAAAATATTACTTGATTGAGTGTGTCCTGTGCTTCATGCGTTTACCTTGCATTTCATTTGTTCATACGCCCTGTCTCCCATGCATTTGTTCATTTTGCTCGTTCGCTCTTTTATTTGTTCGTTCGCCCGATCTTTGTTCGTTCAATCATCAGTTTGCTTTCTCTTTGTTTATTCACTCGTTTGCTTTCTCTTTTTGTTGAGTCACTCGTTCCCTTTTTCCTTTTTTTTTTTACTCACTCGTTTCCTCTCTCTTTCTCTTACCCATTCATTCCTTTTCTCTTTCATTCTCTTTGTTTCAGTCACCCGTTCGCTGTCTCCGTTCTTCACTCACTCGTTCGTTTTCATTCATTCTTTGGTTCCCTCGCTCTTTTGTTCAAATTTTTGCAGTCAATATTTCACTGTATCTTTCATCCTTTTTTTAAATTTTTTTTTTATTTCTTGTCACCCACGGGTCGTTCCCTTTTCTCTTGGTTTGTTGACATGCCTTTTCGTTCGCCACTCCGTCGCTTTTTGGTTTCCTGACCCCCTCTCCCCCTTCCTTACCCCCTCCCCCTCAATTTTTTTCTCTTCTTCTGTCCTTCTGTCCTCTCTTCCTATTTGCTATTTTTTCGTGTTGAACTCGCAAAGGAACGTATCACATTTCAATCCTTCAAAAGGATGTTTTATTGAAAAAATTTTTTATAAAACTGTTTATTCGTCATACGTCGTCCATGGGACTGCTTTTCGTGTTTTTCTATCTCATCTTTACTGTAGGAGGAAAGAAACCTTGCATTGGTGATCATTTTTACATTTGACTTAAAAGTTGACTCGCACAAACTACACACACTCCCACCCCCTGGCTCAATCGGTTTGCTTTTTCTCACCGATCAAGTGATCGAAATAAACCGGGACCCTGGGAACGTGATCGACTCATTTTTTTCTTGGGTGCAGTAATGACTGATCATTCTCGTCTTCAGGTCTTCAAATTTGTACTATCTGTTGTAAATGACGATGTCATTGACACAAAATAACTGAGTGACCGAGAATGAGTCGCACGAAACTATTCCATGTATAACACGAGACATGGACCGCTTTGTTCTCGTCCCCAGGTTTTCTTACGCTGTCACGGGCGCACACGTGACCGAAGGAAGCGATAACTCTGAGAGCCAGGATGAGCTGTAAAGGAAAGCAAAAGTTTTCCAAGAGAAGTGTGCCGATCTTGTGCATGCGCGTGAAAATTTGAAAGGCTACAAGAATTAGAATTTCTGAGGCAACTTAACCGCACATCGTTGTGTGTTAGGGTTTAGAAATTTCTCTACAGGGTTCACTTACCCTTGACGTCTGATGCATTAGCAGGGAAGTGTTTCCCTCAGGACATGTTAGAGATATTTTCGGCGTAAGGACGTAAGTCTTTTGGTTTGGAGCATCTGGCATCGGAATCGTCAATATATCCTTAGAGTTTTCTTTGGACACACTAAGGACAGAAAGGGAGGTAGTTTACTATGGGATTAGGCTAGAATTTGCATAGAGTTATACAAGTGCATTGGTACCGTCAAGAAAAAAAGGGAAATTTACCAGGAAATTAAGAGAAAAATTCACGCCACCGCATCAACCTCGTTTTCAGGATCCCTCTCTGATCCTTGGAGCGAGGCTGAACTGCAATTCCACTTAATCGTTGTATGGGTTCAATGCCAGGCTGCCGTGATTGTCACTTAGCCCCAATTGCTCTGTGCCACGGAGGTATTGTTTTCTAGCCGTTTGGTCTTTTGGTTTTTATTTTCAAATGAACAAGCTTTTCCTCCGTGATAAATATCGCCAACACTTCGAGAGGCCCCGTACTGATAATTTTTCGATTTTCGGGGGCCGATTATTTGACATTTTGGCCTTAAGGTGGGCGCTTATTCAGGGGAGGGTGCTTATTCGCGGAAATACTTTATATTTTGTATAGCAACCCCACTTAGCCCAAATGGATAGCGATAAAAACTACTATCCTAGGGTTTGGATCTGGAAGAGGAAATTGTAAAAACTACCTTTGGTAGGGATTACTTGCCAACGCTGTACTTGAAAGATGAGCATCTTCAGCTGTCATGCCAAACTCCTTTCGAATCAGCGTGCGTTGTCTATGAAACCAAACACGTTTGTCACATAAAAGAAAAGTGTTTTGTTCCCAACAACCTCAAGCCGGAGACTGTCGAAAAAGCCTCTCGGTGTTTGCGGTAGTACTTCACCAAAGACTTGTCTGCTTTCATTCTCCTCAAGATATTTATAAAACACGTGAAGAGCATATTACATCATTATTGAGTGATTGAATATCTCAAGTCTAAAAAGAACTTCAGCGGGTTACATTACTCTCAGAAAAAGGCCAATTGAGTCTCTCAAGCTGATATATAATAAATATTTTAATAACCTCGTTTTCTCAATCCGTATTGTAGGTTGCAGGACCTCGTTTTTTCCGCCCGGATTTATGGCCCGCGAACTTCGCATTGCGGGCATAACTTTGAGCGAAAAGAAAAAACTCGAATTCGGTTAGTAAGGGTTACCTTTTTTGGACAAGATGTATAAGCCACAACATGATGGCTCCTGAAATAATTGCGAGTAGCGACACCATTAGTGCCAAGGTAGAGATCTTCATTGGTGTTGGAGATGCAGGATGACCGACGAGACTTCCATGATTAACTTTTATAACAGGAGAGCTTGAAGTAGTAACCGCTGTAGATAACATGCAGATAACATAAGGGTAACGGTGGTCTGCGCAATATTGGTGACGCAAATCTCGTTAGCGAGCTAAGCATTATTACTAATAGGTCATTATGGAATTTAGTATCCACTGTGTAATGCAAGTCACAGCAAAATGAGGATTGTGTTGTGTGTCACTAAAATTAGAAAAGTAGCGAATTTTGAGCCGGTCACAATCGCTTTGTCAAAAGCTTGGAAAAATTAAAAATTCTGAGTCCTCAACGAAAAACCGATGCTTGTAAAATGTAGGTTGTTCAAAACGAACCAACAGCATATTATATTTGGTAGTAAAATCATTATCAATAAAGTTGTTATCGAAAGGTCACAGTACAACATTTTGTACACGAGTCGACGTATCCTGGCCCAGGATACGTCGACTCAAGTCAAATGATACAAGACAAGAACTGAAGATTAATCCATTTGTGATACTTACAAGTTGCATTGTTCCGACCCACGTCTCTGTAAACAAAACTTGCGCTGTTAGCTGCAGCAGAAGAAGACAAAATTTCGAAACTTAACAAAACTGTATTTTAGAGAAGCGACAATTTTTGACTGCTAATTGAAAGATCATTTTTCAGATGAGTAAACATTGTAATACACCTGAGCAGAGCCTGGAAGGTGTCATCACAGTGTTTTCGTAAAACGAAGATTTGTAAAGCGAATGAAAACAATGCGCAAAATGTCAGTGATCTAAAACGCTTCTACTCAAACCTTTTTGAAGGAGAAATAGGTTGACAATGGACAGCAAAATAATCAACTGATGCTTTGGTAGCATTGGTAGAGATAACGAATTCGTAACTTTTTTTTGTTGATTTGTTTCTTGACTTGCACACGGAAGACGTCCAAGGCGTCGCAATGAAATATTTCTGCTTTGAAAATTCTTGCGACTTCTTTTTTAGCGCGAGGTGGTGTTTATGACGTGCAGAACCGCTTTTGATTGGTCGAAATCCGTGACATGCGCGTGCTAAAACACGCTTACCTACGATAAATTTACAAAAGAATGGATCGCTGTTTACTATGCGCTGTTGCTGTCATCCCTTAACAAAAAGCTTTACAATCGTTTGAGGTTTTGTTCCAGTAAACAACTATCTTTTGTTTTTTCTTGGAAATAATAATCCTTCGATCTCCATATGTAAATTTTTCACCTTGAATGTGACGCATAATTTATCTTTTACAATACTATAATTTGTACGGAGGACGGAGGAATAAGCTGAACCTTGCTCCCAGCTTTTTTTTCTCTTTCGCCTCCTAAACAAGAAAGAGCCCTGGGGACGAATTAAGAAGAGAATGGGTGGAGTAGCCTTTTCACAAGTTTAATGAGACGACTACAGAGGCCCTAAGGTAATCAGCTTTTGTCAATGGTGCCTCGATCTGATTGGAAAGTGGCAAAATATTGTTTTTGCTCTACCTACAACTTGTTTCGTCTACAATGGTGTACGCTGTAAGGAGGTAAAACTACGCCGACACAAAATTCAAGGGAAATGAAAAATGGATCGAGATTCAAATAAACTGAGTCATGATGAAGAAATATCCATTCAAGCGAAATGTCTTATTTGCTCAGGTTCATTCAAGTTCGACTAAGTATCCCTACAGATACAACAAGACCACACTAGTCATCATATTTCGTACTACAACTGAACGAAACTGACGATGACTTGACGATGATTTTCAGTCCACCATTCAAAGTGGGAAAATTCATTTGAATTTTAAATATGCTCAAAATTAATATTCATAGCTATCGATCAGTCTTGCACGTGGAAAGAGCTTACGAACTGCAAGAACATTCAGCTTCGTTTGCGTTATTCCAGGGCCTGAAAACACTTTACTTAAACGTCATTTCCTTCAGATATTGTTTATTCTGTCAAGGCAGGCGTATGTTTCTCCGAGGTTGCTGAATTGAGAGATATTTATGGGCTCCGCGTTGAGGATTTATAAATGTCACTTTAGGACTGATTTTCTCAAGGTAAATAAACCAGGTTTAAAGACATTTTTCACAGAAATGAAGTGTTCGGAGTTTTGTGCTGGTGCACTTAAAACTTAGATGAGTTTGATGCTGAAAAAAAAAATGAAATGTAACGAACAGCGCAGCGTGAGACAAATCACTAAGAATGACCGCCATGACAGTCCTTCAATCACGTGACGAGGAATTTGTGCTTTATTGACAACGTGTAAATCTCTTATTTCTGTACCAATTTATTCATTTATTTACTCATTTTAATATCTGTCCTCTGTTTTATACTGTATAAAGTCGTTTGTTTGTCGAAGGTAAGACACTGGTATCAAAGGAGTACCTTGTTATTGTTCGTATTATAATCACCATCCTTCTATCTCGCAAAATTACCATAGCAACAGTTAAATAAGTGAATTCAGACCCATGGAAAAGTTAAAATGTACTCTGTGTTCGCGTTCATTTGTTTGCAAAATCAAATTGTCTGTAACATTTTTCAATTAAGGAAATTGACATTGTTTTGTTAAATGCGGGGGCTTACATTAATTTTTCGATCCGAATATTGATCTTGCCACTTTAAAAAGTGAAGTACCAACATAAACAAAGGTTGAGGGGCGCGGCCACGACTTTGAAGGAGGGGCCACAATGTGTCACACCCAGGGTACGGTACCTACCCGACTGTAATGTCGACATCCACGTTGTGTTTGACTAAAAGTTACATTTCATAAGATGAGCAGTGAGGGAATAACACATACTGTGTAGATTCTCCGGATTCACTCTTTTTAACCGCTTGAATTCTAAGGCTCTCATGTTCCCCAGGTGACTGTAAAAAAAAGCGTCACTTCAAAAAGAGGTGAAGGGCATTTGAACACACCAAGATCACCCCCGGGCTACACCCCTCTTGTTGACATTTATCCCAAGATTACCCCGAGCCACGCCCCAGTCGTTAGCATGTATCTCAAGGACACCCCGAGCCACGCTCCTGTTTGTGCCTTGTATTCCGTGAGCCTTCTGAGTTACGTCTCGGATGATTGCGTGTGTTTACATTGAATTTCTCTTTTATTTCACATTCCAGAAAGCGTCAGGCAAAGAATGTCTCGAGATCAAGAAATTCAACGAGGGAAAAGACGGATAGCCTCTCAGGAGGTTAGTTATATATCTTTTTTTTTCAGAAACGAATTAAGTAATTATTTGCGTTTAGAAAGATACATGCTAACGACTGTTCCTTCGGAACACTACGGTCACCTTATTCGCTGATGACACTGCTATCTACTGCTCTTCTCAATCAGCCCGTGACCTACAGACCATGTTGAATCAGGATCTAGACAGGCTAGCTCAGTGGCTCTACGAGCATAAACTTACACTAAATATCTCGAAGTCTAAATTCATGCTCATTGGCGGTCCAAGGAAACTTAACACCTTAGAAGAATTCACATTAATAATCAAGGAGAAGGAGTTAGACAGAGTCAATTCGTTCAAGTATCTGGGCGTAATTATCAATGAGAATCTGTCTTGGACTGATCATGTGGATTACATTAAGACCAAAGTGTCTCAGAGGCTTGGCGTTTTACAGAGAATAAAACATCTTCTGCCAAGAAATACAAGGGAACTCTTTGTAAAAGCCATGGTGCTGCCAATCCTTGATTATGCAGATGTGACTTGGGGGGATAAATCCAACACCACTCTGATGAACAAGATCCAATTACTCCAGAATAAAGCAGCTAAATTAATTTTAGATATGCCAAAGCATTCATCAGCAACAGAAGCTCTTGATCTACTTGGTTGGGATACATTGGAAAAAAGGCGAAGATCACATCGTCTATTTTCGGTTTTTAAGTCCTTGAATGGACTAATTGATTGGAATTTTAATTTTAATCATTTTAAAGATATACATGATTATAACACTCGTTTTAATAACAACATTTGTAAACCACAATCAAAGCGTACATGGGGTCAGCATCGGTTTGTTTGTCATGCAGTAGATGACTGGAACGCTCTCCCAGACGGCATTAGGAACATTTCCGATTTTTCAGTTTTTAGACGTCTTGTTAAAAACATGTAGTCTCTTCTATTGATTATACCCTTTTATCCTATTCTTGATAACCATATTTATATTTTATGTTATCCTTACGTTAGATTTATGCAGGGCCTCACTGAAAACCACACTTTGTGACGTGGGCTCCCTGTCAAAAGATCTTATTTATTATTATTATTATAGAAATCTGGTCTACACTAGATGCTTAAACCTGCATTTGAAGAATGTCTGCAATTAAGACCAGACCAGAGTCGACAATGAAGGAAAAAAGCAAGCAAATGAAATTTTCTTTTTAAAAAATTGACGCCAGTTTCTCTCAATGTTTTGATCTTTCAATTTTTCTCAAACTAATTAGAAATTCAACTATAAATTAGAAATCGTCCCCTTAACTCACTAACAAACTATAAGATTCATTGCTGCGTGTTGTAACTCTTGAGGCTGAACTGAATTCCTTATAAGCCAGATTTTTTCTTGTCTGATATTTCGGTTTTATTTCATTCACAAAAACGGCTTAGTTTTGGAGCGATGTAGCCCTTAAGACTGAAAGCAAACAGTTAAAAGAATACCTCAAAAATAAATTTTCAAATGATTTTTTTAACAAAAATTCATTCCTGAACCTCTTTAATATTGGATTGTTTGATGGTTTTTTTTTTGGAGCCTATTTGCTAAATATTGTAGCTCTTAAGTCTGAGACCAACTTTTTGGAGAATTCTCTAAAAATATATAAGTAGATATTTCTCTTAAGCTGACTTTTGTTGAAAATCTCGACACTTTTATATTTATTGAAGAAAGAACAGGGAACTTTCTCTACCTTTTGAGAATGAAAACTTTTTTTTTAAGCCTGTTTGCGAAATATCGTTGCTCTTAGAACTAAGACCAACTTTTTTAAGAGAATTATCGAAAATACGTAAAAACTGTTTTCTCGAAACATCCTTGAACTTTTTCTTAGATACCAAATAGACTTTTTTTCAATATTAAATAAAGAACAAGGAACCTACTTTACCTCTGGGAATTAATGTAAAGTTAAATCACATGTCACATGTATCATCATTACTTAACAAATAGAGAAGCCTTGACTGTGCTCTGTTCTGTTATAAAGCACGCAGGAAGCGGCTAGAGCACGAAAGAAGTGTAGGGAGAAACACGAGACGTAGTCGAGTGTTTCTTTCCACTTCTTGAGTAGACCGGAACATGAAGATCGCTGGGGATGACAGCGCCGCAAAACTCGGCTGCAGTGACTGAATTGACTTTCCACTCAACGTATCGGAAAGGATATCAGAGCAAGCTCTTATTTTTTCACTCGAAGGGCGGCCGATGTAGTTTCTGAGGCTTGCTTTACTGTGATGACCGGAGATCGCCATGATGAGCGAGCCGCGATGAACTTCAGCATGATCATATTCGCTCAGACACCGTCATGATTAGTATGAATTTTAATAATTATGCCAGTTTGGTTATATTTTTCATCATTTCTGTTTTTTTCTGTTTTGTTGCAATCTAACTGAGCGTGAAAATTTTTAAAACTCGGAATGTCTATTTTGTTTTTCCTTTGAGGATTTTCGTATCTGCTCAGGTTTTAATAACGTAAATTACGGCGCCTGGTATGTTTACAAACCTTCTTCTGTTGCTACTTGCCGGCTCGCTTCAGTTCCAAAATTTCCCTTTCAATTATCGGAAAAAAGCTAAAAAGAAGTCCCGGAAAAGGTCGAACATAGTATAATTGGCAGATGGCGTGACAGCTTTGGCTCAGCTCTATGCTCTATACTCTCATAGAGCACGCTCTTTCAACCAATGA